GCTTTCTGCTTTCGTATCGCTAGCTTTGCACCGACGCAATGCAATCTCAACAGATCGTAAGGATCTTTGGGAAAATACAGGGCTTGTAGGCATCGACCAGAGGCATGAAACCAAGGCTAACAGCTTCAGCACGGCTACAATCCACCGCCGTTATCATCAGGCTTCGGACCTGATCCATCACGGCCACGTCCACCTCGATTGCCACCACGGAACCCTCCTTCACCACCTCGGCCACGACCTCGGCCCCCACCACGTCGGTCTCCATCGCCTCGATCACGATCACCCCTACCTCGCCCTCGCTGATCCCCTCCTCGTCCTCGACCTCTGAACTCGCCCCAGTGGCCACGACCTCGACCGCGATTTTGATGATGTATGACCTGTTCGAAACCATCATTTTCTTTTGTAGGCTTCTCGTCTGCAGCCGCATCTGCATTGACTTCTTCTGCCCAGCTGGTTGAATTGTGCATGGCAGCTGGCGTGGCAGCGACTCCGGTCTCAGTCTCGGCAGGATCACGTGGCACCTCGACCCAACCTTCTCCGGAAGGCGAATCACTCGTCATTGATGCCTGAGGGTCCCAGCTGCGTTCAGCAACAGCGTTAGCTGCATTGGCAGCTATGGATGACTGCTCGGGTGGCACCATCGTATCGGCCACTGCCGGCTCGTCGGTAGTCTGGTATGTCATGGTGTCTTGGAGCTCCGTCATTCCTGCATTGGCAATCGTCGGGTCTGTGGTCACGTCGGCTACGGCGTCGGGCGCGGCAGTGTCTTCTACAGGAGATGCTGTCGCTGGCTCGTCCATGACCGCTGAAGGCGCGTCGTTGATGGATGTCTGCTTCACTTGTGCATATGTGAAGTCCAATTGATCGCCTTCAGTGTTGGACACCTTCTTGTCTGACCCTGCGGCAATGTCCTTGAATGCAGCTAGAGCAGCGTTATTTCCTTGATAGACCAGCAACAGGACACCTTCAAAGGCAGCTTTCTCAACAGGATCAAGTTCATCGTCTTGCCGCTTGGCTGCAGCTGCATGAAGGAATTGGCTGAGCACTAGCAGATCCTCGTCGAACTTGTTGAGGAGTGTAGTTGTGGCTTCATCTGCCGCCTCGAGTTTGGCTTTGGCGAGAGCTTCGGCATGCGACTCCTCCAGAGCAGATTTCTCTTTTGCAAATCGGTCCTCGTAGTCTTTGCCAAATTTTCGGTATTGAATGACTTGATCTTGAAGTCTTGCCAGATCTGCCTGCAAGGCGGGTCTCTTGAGGATCTGCGCCTTTTGGTCGGCATTGATCTTCTTCGTCGCCACTAGGTCGTCAAGTGACGCACCGGGATTTTCGGCGACAATAGATTCGGTTTTGCTGGACGCAGTCTAAGAAATACACAATCAGCTACCGCACATTTGGCGGATGGAGGGATGGAGGGATGAATGGACTCACAAGCTTCTTAGCGATGTTTCGGATACTCCTACACACAGTTAGATCTCCCGCCGGCATGGTTGAAGTCTGCAGAGCAGATGCTTGCTCACTTGTTCAGTTCCTTTAAGTATGGACTATCCTGCGCACCGTCCACTCCATTCGTTGCTGGGTCAGATGTCAAGGTGTGAGAGTTTTCATCTACGGCGGGTGTAGCAGTGCCAGATGATGAAGTTGGCCGTGCCTCACTTTTGCCTCTCTTCTTCTTGGCCGACTTTGATTCGACGGTGGGTGCGGAGGCAGTTCCCGGAGCCATGGTTGATAGTCTCGAAGCAGTGTAGAGCTACGGTGAGGGTAAGAGAAGGGAGGAATGCGACTGCAAGAAACGAGATGCAACAGGTGCGAGGAGAAGCGGACAGATGACGACGATTATGACGATAATCAATTACTGCGTGTGTCTGTCGGGTGTTGGAAGGGTCGGACAGTGAAGCTTTGATTGAATTTATGTTCAGTTTGTGATAATTCTTCAGCCGTGGGCTTGTGAGGCGATCCGAAAGCCAGACGAGGGTGAGCTGGTGCACGGGCCATCGTCTATGGTCCATCGTCCATTAATATTATTGTCCATCTGTCCGATAGACAGCAGTGCAGTGAGCTACCGGAATAATACTGTACTACAGACACACAGACATACATATGTGCAACATGTGGGAACTCCAATCACTGCTCACCAAGCATCATTTGGCCGGCCATTGCAATGCTACAAAGGTATGCTTTTCTTTGGTTGAGGCTCTGAGATCCGGTTCCCTAGTGATCTACTACCCTGAACAAGTCGTACTGTCTTGCAGCATGGACCTTAACTCGTTGAGCTGTGGTCATTCTCTCTTCACTGCCTGATTCATTTTGATTGGCGGGATCCATGTCTGCATCCTTCTCGGGTGAACCAGACACAAAATGGCCGGCCAACTTTCTGGCAATGACTTTCCTTCTGCTGCAGGTGTTGTCAAGCACAATATCTGACTAAATGTCCACCCCCTGGCCCTTGGTGTGTTGTGGTTTATTCCAAGCTCGCCATATTTTACATTCCAACATTCGTCCTCGACGCCCTCAGATTATCCTTTGAACTTGCGCAAACTGCTCTGCGAAATGGTCAGCACATCGAAGTCGGTGTGGGTGTACTGTGCCTACCATCGTGACCTTCCTTATATCTCTCGCAGCTATTCTCTTTTCTCCACTGGCACGAGCCTTGCGAGAAGCATTCCGCATCAGCCTACCCAGGGTCAGCCGACAGGGTGTCCGACGCGCTGCAGGCGAGATGATACTGACTCTTGTATAAAGAGAACATAGTCGACGTACACCTGTTGTGGAGATCTTAGTGACTGCGCGACTTTGAGGCGATGGCCAGTACGAACCAATGCATCAACGTTGCGGCCAACCTTCTTTTCTGAATGGCCTTTGATGATCTTCTTTACCGTGGAGCGCGGGTACGATCTGTTGCGCGTCTTGGTTTTGATATTGCCGGACATGACTTCGTGTTGGGGTCCGAGGGAGAAGCAGAGAGTGTGGATGAGACTCTATGCAGCGATTATCACTGCACCCTAGCGTGCTCGAGATCTTGTAATGGCCTCTGGTGTCTGGTATTTATTATCTCGCATCTGGCATCTGGCATCTGGCATATCTTCGCTTGCGCATTTGTTGACATCTGCCGACGGCCATTAAGCCCTTTATGGGCTAGCTCAAGGTACCATATCTTGGCATGGGCACCGCCTTCCAACTCGGGACTGGACAAGTCCTGAGCATCGAGGGCGCTCTTGGCATGAAAGAACTTCGTATGCTCCGAGTCGTCACAGTCCTACTACGTAGTAAGTGCTGTGGGACTGAGTACTGGGAGCTGCACTTTCTCTCTTCCTCTTCCTCTTCCTCTTTCTTTTCCTACTCTTGATGTGCCGTTGAACATAGCGTCAGCCGGCCGATACAAAGAGGTTCCTTACACCACTCGTTCTTCCCAAACTCCACCAGGGCAGTTGAGCGTACCAGTTATCACTCTCAATTCACCAGAGATCTTGCCAAGTCATCGCGTCATAGACTGAGCATTCTATTATCATCATCACCATCACCACGATGTTGTTTCCTCTAATCCTGGCGTCGCTGGCCTTCAGTGCCATTGCATTTGCTCAGACTCCTAATGGTGTCGAACCATCTGTCCAGACGCCGCTCACAGTGCTCTATCCCAGGAACATCACTGTCTCTCCACCAGGCGTTCTGCTGCAGAGAGCTGGTATTCTACTCTCCCGCAATCAAACTCCAGACTGCGCTGCTAATTACTCGCAGATACCCAAGTCGCACCGACTCTTACCGCACCAACAGGAACTCCTACTGACCGGACATACCTGGTTATCATGATGGATCTAGATGTGCCACGTAATGGAGGCACTACTCTGCTTCACTGGCTGCAAACCGACTTCACGCTCTCCTTGTCGTGACACCAAGCCTGGCCAGTACATCCACTGGCGCATCCTACGTCGGTCCCAGCCCGCCTCCTGGCACCCCTCATCGCTACGTCTTCTGGATGTTCGCCCAGCCAGACGAATTTGCCGTTCCCGAGTCATTCAGCAATGTCAACCCACCAGCATCCAACACTGACCGTATCGGCTTCAACCTCACCGACTTTGTCGCTGCTGCCGGGCTGGACGCGCCACTTGCAGGCAATTACTTCACAGTCGTCAACAGCTCTGCCACTGCGTCAAGTACCGGCAGTGCCTCCGCCACCTCGTCGCCCGCGCAGTACACGGGTAGTGCCTCGACATCGATGTCCGCTTTGGGCATGAGTTTCGGCTTTATGGTTCTGTTCGCTGCTGCGGCTGCCGGCTTTGCTTGAGTCTGACCTGGCCTTGGCCGTACAAGCGACAGTCGGCTCGTTAGCTGAAATGGTAGAATCTGAAAATAATAATAATCGTAGCTCATGCATTCCTCGCTCTGAACACAGTACGACCAGAATCGCCTGCCCGCTGCAATATATCCGCACGAGTATGCTCTATCATTTTCCGCAGTCCGTCATGCTTTGTTTTCTAAGGGATGGATCAACGAACAACCGAAAACCCACCGGCCAGCATACAGAAAGTCGCTCTGCAAACAACCCGTGTCATTGACCTCTGTCTACCCGTTACCCCATCTCTCATCGTACTGACTGCAAAATGCTGGACTTTCCATCCCCGGAGCCAGTATGTATTGTCTCTGCCAACGACGCCGATACGAACGTCTCAAGATCCCAGCCCAAATCCCACGCTCAACCACCGGCGTACCCACCCCACCCAACTGAGCAGCAAAAAACATCACCCATGCAACAGCTCGGCAAAAAGGCTCAAGGCCGTCTTCGTCCTCTCCTTGACATCCACATCGACATCCTCCTTCAACCCCATGACCTTCTCCACAAAGCCCAGTCTCTCCAGCTCCTCAGCCCGTCTCCGACACTCCAGCTTATCCTGCGAGTCGCGCGAGTCGTCGTGGTACATGAGGTTGATGATGATCCAGACGGCGTGGCGGCGCACCTCGCGGCTGGCGTGGCCGAAGGTGCTGAGGATCAGCTTCATGATCTCGGTCTGCGAGATGATCACGCTGCGGTAGCGGGGGGTGGCGGCGGCGATGTGGATGATGATGGCGAGGACGGCTTTGATGACCTCGGTCGGTGGGGAGGGCGCTTTCAGCGTGTCTCGCTTGCTGTGGTTGGGAATGGTGCTGGTGCTGGTGCTGGTGCTGGTGCTGGTTGAGGGACGGTTTCCACTGCGAGGTTTCAGGCGCTGCGCGAGGATGGTAAATAGTTCTTTCTGGTTGAACTCCTTGAAGAGATGGTCGACGACCTCATCGGCACCGTCTCCGCAGATCAGGTTGACGACCAGCTCGAGGACTTGGGTCTGGATCATGATGTCGTCTTTGACGGTGTGCCTGCTGTAGTCGTCCTCGGACAAGGCTTGAGCTCTTCTTTCCGCCGTGTGCCGGTTCCATGTCTGTAGTCCCGGACTCTCTGCCATGACCGTATCCACCGATCCGTCTTCCAGGCGGGGGATTACGTCCTCACCAAATCCATGGGTGATTCCCATCCCAAGAACCGTGCCTGGAGTCACGTCTTCCGGATCGCTAGCCATCAGATGCTTGATCCAAGCAGGTTTCAGTTCTTGGAAGATGTTGAGTTTCAGATCGTTGCTCGAATTGTAGACCAGGTGCTTCAAGGCCCACAAAGAATCTAAACGAAGCATCGGATTGGCCGAATGGGCGTGCTGGCAGAGTGTTTTGACGATGTTTCCACTGACAATAGCCTCTTTCATAGGGCTAAAGTCCAATGCCAGATTGCAAACGACTTTGGTGGCAGCAATCTGCACTTCGGAATCCTGGTTGTTCAGTAGGTGGAACAACGGGGGTGCCACACCGGCGTCAATCAGACTTGTTCGGAGCACACTGACAGAACGAGTCAGGGCTCGAGCGGCGGCGCAGGCGGCCAGCAGCGTTGCAGCAGGATTACCAGTTACGACATTTGGCCCAACAGGGCTGTTGTCTGTCAACAAGGGGTTTGAAGTGTATGGTTTGAGCGAGTCTATTATGTAAGGCACAACGCCCAAGTCGCACATTGACTTCCTGTACTCGTCGTCGAACGGCGCCAGCGAAGCCAACGCCTTCAGAACGGCTTCCCGATGCCTCAAGACGTGACGAGCCATAGGACTCGGGCCCGTATCGCCCAATGCCTTGTCTGAACGGCCACGGGAAAATCGCGGGTTTTTCTCCGGACACCAGGCGGCTCGACGTTGGGGCGGTATAGGGTCAAAGCTCTCTTTCAACAGTTGAGAAAGTTTTTTGATAGCATCAGAGTCCACTGCAGCCCTCTGCAGTAAGCGCGAGTCCATCACCAACATGGCAAGCAATTCCGGAGCCTCTTCTCGGACGAGTAACTTGGTAGGTAGAACATCCAACTCGGCCTTGTCTGATATCTCCTCGACATCATAGTCCTTGTCGAGCATGCGCACGAGCAAAGGTACGAGCAGCATAGAGAACATGCCTATCCGAGACTTCCTCACAAGGCCTTGACGGAACAAGGTCACCAGCAGTTTCGCTGCCGTCAAGCGTGTCATCCCTGTCTCATTTCTTACGAGATAAAGGAGCCATGCAACGGCAGGACTCTCGTCATCTTCGCTTGATGTATCCTCATTGTCGCTGCTGCCGAACGCTAGCGCAGCCGAGAGGAAGGAGGTGTCTCTCTTGGAGATGGCCGCTATTGAGCTGAGTGGCGGAAAATTGGCCTGCTCGGCAGCCAGCTTGGCCGAAGGCGTCGATACAGATGGGAGCAAAGCATCAATTGGATTAGATTGAACATGGCGTGGCACTGCGGTACCGGAAAGATAAGTGGCCGCGCCCCACGGAGCTTTCTTCACGTCCGCTGGTGCAAATTCTGGAGGTGGTTTGGGAAACACAGTGAGCAGGGCGGGAGAAGTGACAAGATGCTCGCAACGTGCTCTCGAGCCATCAATGATGACCGCAGTAAGACGTAGGAACGGAGCCAGGCGAGCTCGTGGTGGCGCAGGAGGTGGGAGAAAGGCCAAAGAACCACTTTCGTGCAGACGACCCTCAGCACCAGGCAGCACGAATCCCTGAGCTACGATGAAGGAGGATAATCTATTAGCCAATGCGTCTAGCACGTCTGCCTCTACCAGTGCATCTTTTTGCTTGTTTGTCGAACATGTCTTGACAATCAACATTACTGCCAAAAGGATGCTTTGCTGCACATCCGGATCCGGCGAGTTTTGACCGATGATCCTTGCTAGGCTACCGATATGCTCCTGCGAATAAAGCAGGTTCGCAAGTTGTTGGTCAGGTAGCCAGTCGTTCGGGTTCGCAGGTGGCAGTCGATCGGCAATTGTGATGAGGGTCTTCAGGATGGCGACAATCAGGCTGAGAGAGGAGGAGTCGGATGACATTAAGGCAAGCAGTGAAGAAAGCACGTTGCCATGGAGGATAGGCTGAACGAACATCACGCCTCCCTGAGCCAGGACGCCGGTGATAACAGCAGCCTGCGTACAGGAAGCGTCATCATCTGTGGTCAGCGATCGACGAATTCGAGTGTTCTCGCGGCCATTCATTTCTCTGCTACTGCGCTTCCCCGACATCCGCCTGGACATGGATAAAATGTCTGCAAGAGTCGGCACCAGGCCAGCTGCGATCCACGCACGCTTTCGAAGATCATGGCCGATAATCTCGTTCTTGATCAGTCGGAGTGTAGCGGCCTGACTGCTTGTATTGCAATATTCCTCTCGAACTTGAGCGGGTCATCCTCATCGCATTCCGTGGTTGGTTTGAGGCCACTGCATCCGGGACAGCTTCGACCTTCGTATGTTGTATAGTGAAGATACTGTCTCGGATGGGGGTGCCTGCACTCAGTCGAGGACGAGGGCTGAAAGGTGACTGATCAAGTCAGGCTGATGGGTAGACTGTAGTCGCAATATGGGTAGAAGGTTCATCTGGTGATCAGATCAGATCAGATCAGATCAGGGGGTTGGAGCGGTGTTTGAACAAAGATAAAGAGGCTGTGGGGGATAGACATGTTGACCCGAGCAGTTGACAGGTGGATGCCCTGGAAAAATCTGTAGATGCCTGGGAGCGCAAATCACCCAAAGCGGAAGGGCGGCGCGGCATCAGTTGGCTTAGGTAAATAAGTAGGAGTAAGGATGGAGGATTGCGCAGAATGCCACCCCGTCAGCCCAGTCGACGCAGCCAGCGCAGCCAGCGCAGCCAATTCACTCAAATCCCTCAAATCCCTCGATTCCCTCGATTCACTCAGGCCACCAGGTCACAGGTTCGCCGAGTCAAGCATCTGGTCTGCTCGCAGTGGCCCTCGTCCTCCAGCAGCAGTCTTGCCAACCAACTGTCTCTCCTGACCATCGCCTATATTTTTCATCCTACATCTTACATCCTACATTTGACATTGGCACCACCGCGGACCTCGTTGTCGCACCATGCTCTCATTCGTAACTACAATACTGTACCGTCCTTCATCCCTCCAACTTCCGTCCTCCCAGCTGCCTCATCCCTCTGCACCACACAGACCCAGCGATTGACGGTTGACGATTGATGGTTCACGCTTGACGATTGACAATTGACAATTGACGACTGAGACGCCAGATCTGTCATGATCACATCGACCTCCTCTCCTACTCTACATTCGAGCAGCTCCTCCTCCCCCTCACATGCCTTCTCTCCTCGACTCCAGTATGAAAACTCTTACCGATCAAGACTCGTCCCGCCTGCTACCGGCAGACCTCGAAGCACCCCTCAGTACCCGCGGGCCCCGTCCGATCCCCGGATATCTTCCGCCAAATCCTCACCCACCACCCAGCGGTCCGAGACACCTGCAGCGGTGACATCACAGAGCCAAGCAAGAGACACGGCGCACCTGCATGCGGTACAGATGGTGGATGCCAGCACTCAGTACTCACCACGAGAGGAACCGATATTCTCCCAGAGCGTCTCTGCTTCTGGCGTAGCGAGACTGCGGCTGGAATCCAACAATCAACCTGCTGCTTATGCACCGTCGCCATTTGTGCCCGAAAGTCCCAAAGCGCCTGCTATCGCACCTCGCACATTGGGTCAGCCAAGAGCGGTTATCCATACAAATAATGCCACTCCAACCTCCACCCTCAACGCCACAGCAAAGCGTAGCACGGCAGACGTCTCCGCCGTGAGAACCTCACCTTCACTACGCGCTCCATCAATATCGAATATTACCGGTCCCGATAACGAACAATCGGCGAAGCGCCTGCGGCCTCCCAACGCGGCGGTCAAGCTGATGCCCATGCAATACGAACATTGCGATCCGAAAGACCTCGCGGTCTTGATCTCTTCCATGCTTATGGAGCTGATACGGTACAACGACACCATCCCTTTGCGCGACGGTGCCCTTACCCGCTTCCATTCTCGTGCTCCCCCCACCATCTCCGTTTTGGATTATCTCCAACGTCTTACAACACACGCTACACTGTCCCCACCCATCCTTCTAAGCATGGTCTTCTACATCGACCGTCTCTGCGCGCTCTATCCCGCCTTTACCATCTCAAGCCTCACCGTACATCGATTCCTAATCACCAGCGCCACCGTGGCCAGCAAAGGCCTCAGCGACAGCTTCTGGACAAACAAAACCTATGCACGCGTGGGCGGGGTCAAGTTGAAGGAGTTGGCGTTGCTGGAGTTGGAGTTTCTCTGGCGGGTGGAATGGAGGATCGTGCCTCGGCCGGAGGTGCTGGTGGATTATTACCGGAGTTTGGTAGACCGGAGTGAGGGTTATGAGATTGATATTACGGGCAAGCTAGAGGATAGCAAGGCCTCAGCGGTAGCGGAAGGCAGCATATCGGCGGCGGCGGCAGCGGCGGCAGCGGCAGCTCAGTCACAGGAAGTACAGCAGAATCCTACATGAATTTAGTCCTTGCACTTGATTTGTTCTCCATCTTGGTCTTTGCACGCAATGTCCTGTCAACGTCGAGTTGCTGTTAGTAACCAGGATATTTGTGGTTTTTTGCTGGAGGACTTTCGTTCAAGGGGTCCTTTCCATCACATGGCCGGAAAATTCCTTGCCCTGTGCATCACTCTACCTAGAGTAGTACATAAGTACGTAAGTACATAAGAAATTCTCCGAGCTTTCCGCATCCCTCCCCTTTTGCCACCCCCTCCCCTCAGGGTACTGACATCGCACTTATGGAGTACATGTAACTAGTAAGTAACCGAGTTCTAAATAGGGAAACGGTACAACAGACGACTCGGATCAGCTCTGAATTTAGTTGCCTGGGAGTGTAATGCGATTCGCTGCCTTGACAGATCAGTTCTCTTCGCAAAAGCTCGGATTGCAAGACCTTCCTCTATCGTACCTCACAATAGGGGCCTGTTACCCTACATCCCAGTCAGTACCAAGAACCAGAACCAAGCTCCATGGAACCAAGAAGGTTCAAGTTGGAAGGAGATCGTGTGACAGGGCAAAGGAGCCGAGTACGGTAAATTTCGCGTAGGCATAAAAGAGCCCTGATGCACAACGGAGCACGATACGGGAATCCGGCAAGACATCAATGTGCGGAAAAGATCTGGGGGAAATATGTTGAAATCAGGCAAGGAGATTAGAAAGCCGAAATCAAGCAGAGGGGGTCCCCTGACAAAAAAGGTGTAATCCAGCTGGAGCATTGACAGAAAAGAGGAGCAGAGCGACTGAACCATCAGAGCGCTAATAGGCATTGAACCCATTTGGTTTCATCCCGGCACTTTGACCGCTCTAGAATTGGGGAGATTGATGGAAGCGTGAACATGTTGCTCCAGGTTTCTTGGACACTTTCAACATATAGCTGGTTCTAAACCACAAACAAGAAAACGCATGTCAGCCTCGCCGCTCTACCACGGTTGCGCGACAAGCTTCTCAGCCTAGTTGTTTCTTTAGGCGTTATACCCTTACGCTTACTCCGTATATAGTGCGAAGCTTGGCCGTTTGCTGCTCTGGTGATATTACATGGAAGTACCATGACACCTTGTCAAGCGTGATTATCTGAAGATGTGCTTTAACATTAGAGCCCGAGCTCTCTATATTCGTTGCCCGTGCCATCATGACTTGGACGAGAGTTGAGAACACAAAGCGCAATCTAGTATCACCCGGAAGCTGAACCAGAGACAATGGCGTGCAGGACATGAGTGAATCATTTTCAAGGCTGCAATTTGCTGACTTGTTTCTCTTGTCTGATTCCTTCTCTATGCATGAACTTCTCAGGTGTCAGAACCTCGATCTGCGAGTATTGTTAGCAATGCTCGACCACCCGGCTATAAGACTCACATGACCCCACTTGCTGTACGTTTTGTCAGAGATTGTGCTTATTGCAACGAACTTGCGGTGAGCGCTAGCATGTGCCACAGCCCAGCCAGCGAAGTACTCTATCAACACATGATTTTTCCAAGTTTCGTCGGACCAGGTCGCGGTGGGTGTCGGAGGCCTGTCATATGGTGGAATATAGGAAGGGGAAAGAAGCGTCCGGGGGCCCTCGGAGCTATCGCTCAAGCTGTCAAGTGATTCAGCTTCCGAGGACGAGCCCCCATCTGACTTGGAATGGTGTCGTAAGGCAGAAAAACCAGGAGCTAACGCCGTCACCAGTTGTAGCATCTCAATGAACCTGTTTCATGTCTATCAGCTATGCTGCGATGGCGAGTTGGACAGCAAGCATGTAGACATACCGTTCTCTTCCCTCAACGTCTGCCTGCAAGGCCTTTCGCCTCAGCCAGTTCTTGACATTGGGAGGCAGCACAAGCTTCCACGTGGACCCTCGCTTCTTGTGGCGGTACCATTTCAGTATTGCAGGTCCATCGCTGACTAACGCTGATTCAGTGAGAAGGATAGCCATGCCACTTGGAAATAGGCGTTCAATGTGGCTCATATCGTCACAACATCTCAAGGGTCTTGCCAGGGATATCTACAGGGTTATCATTAATTGGATGCGATACATGAGACAGTAAATAAGTGTTACCCTGAAGACATTGAACGAGGCCGAGCGTAGCAGGCTTGCTAGACGGGGAAGTGCGTGATAGTGAGTGCAATCATCATGAAACTGGTACAATCAGCAGCAGCTTCTAGATGTGGAACACTGACGTACGAGGATAACACCAATGTCATGATCACCATTGAAGATGTTGCGGAAAGCATCCCAGCCTCTCTCATCCATTGAAGTACAGATGTTAGTGTGAAACGTGTATGATCGTAGGAATTTCTGAAGGCTGTCTAACTCTGCTTGGGCAGCTGAGGGATAAACGAGGAAAAACCTGGCCTTGGCTGGATTTCGATCAATATGCTTCGAGGGGGGTACGGCTGTCAGATGCTTGTACGAGATGCGAAACGCATTCTGGAAGGCCTCTCCTATTGCCTGACCTGCCTGCAGCGGGAGACGAAAAGTTCCCGGATAGGCTTCAGTAGTAAGTGACTCCGGTTCTCGTGGATTGCCCTTCCCCGATGGAAGCAACACAGAACAACCTGTGGCATCCTCGATAGTATGTGTGCCCTTCAGGCTTGGTTGCGCATTGAGATGACTTCTCCTCTCCGGGGTTGGCAACTTATTCTCAGAGCGAAGTCCTGGGTCTGACGAATGGGCAGTTGTAGAAACGCAATTGTTTCCGAAGGGAAATGGTGAAAGGATACTTTTGCATTCAGTCAACCCATCGGAAGCTGTTACATCATCAGCCGCATCGTTGGGCGTGGGGTTTGCCAGTGGTGTGGCCTGAAGAGGTCTCTGAAGCGCTCCGACCGTTGCAGAGGCAGGATTGCCTGCTGCTGTATTTCTTGCTACTGGAAGCATCTTTGTAGGGGGCATTCTGTTACGTGTAAGTACTCTGATCTTGTCGTCAAAAGGCAATCCTCCCATTCTTTCCAAAAACATCCATCCCTCTGAACGAGGAGAGTAGAAGACCAGTGTGATATCTTCCGTGGGGTGGTACCATAACGCGGCGAGGGTATACTGATGTAAATAATCTTCCATCTTTATCACTTGGTCCGCTGTATCCTGGAAGGGGATTATTACACCTGTGCGCTGGAAGTGGTTTGAGTGTCCTGTACACAACTCTGCCCATTGAGCCAGAGTTACAACGTCGTTGGAGCCAATTTCAAGTGTCAATTTATTGCCCTGTTTGAGTTTTATGATCGGTCCAAACGCCCAAGGTGGCAAGCCACTGATGCGCACATCACCAATATGACCATTGCCAAATTGGATGTCCAGCAGAATCTCGCCAGGAAAGTAGAAGAATCGTCCGTTGGCCAGAGTACGCAACTTTTTCTCCTGCCCTTCGAAGGGATCGAAGCGATTGTGAGCTCTCATGTCTTTCCTGCTCGTCAACTCTAACGAGGTAGCAGTATTGGAAGAATGGGTAGGATTTGTGGTTGGAAGCAAGTCAGACGTGGGTCTCACGCTCACATGCGAATCGGATAATGTCCGGATTGTGGAATGGCCTGAGTTGACGCTTGGGTGCAGGATACTTTCGTTATGGTAAATGGACGAAGCAGGAGCTGGCGGCAGCTGCACATTCGTGTCCTCCGGTACCGACTCTGCCCACTCTGCTAAAGAGCGCAATTTGATCTTGGTTACGTCGGGAGAGCGCTCTCTCCGCGCAAGTTTCCTAGCGTTATTCATGTGCCGTAGATTTCGAAAATTGGTTGTATTGGAAGCGCGCTGATTGCCAGTACGGCGTGCAGAATAACCGCTTCTCTTGGCACTTCCAATACTAAAACCATGAAAGACTGGTGGTTGTGTCGTCGTAGCCTGGACACTGCGATCCGCACGATCACCTTTTGCCTTGAGAGGAATCAGGTCCTGATTGGTGACAAGAAGCCTTCGCCTTTTAGCAGACTCCAGAGACCTAGTTCCAGGCGTTAGAGCAAGGGGCCCTTGGTTTTCCGTGCCTTGCTTCTTATGAGATGCAGCTGCCGGCACAGATGCTGTACTAGATTCAGAGGACAATCTTACCGGTCTAGCCGCCAGTCTCCTGCGTTTGTGTTGTCTTTGGGCTTTCCGGACTGCCTTGGCGTCGTGGTAGGTGTTGATCTTGGTAATAATCTTCTCAATCAAGTCGTCGGAGAGTTCAGCGCCTGCGTCGCGATTCTTTGACCAGTCCTGCAGGGTCTCACAGTTCAGAAAATGGTCGGCGGGTTCCCAAGTACATCTTGACACGAATGAGTCAGCAAAGGCAATAATACTCTGTCCCAAACAAAAAACGAGGACGGGTAGTAGGAGATGCCAATGCCGCACCTCTCCTCACCATAACCTTCCCATTTCACCAAATACCGTGGGCTTGAATCTTCGGCCACACGCTCTGCCAGAATTGCCTCTACAACATATTCACCCTCCTCTTCACTACCCGTCGAGTCAATGAAGATGGCATCGTCGCTTATAGACTCCTCAGCAGATAGGCTCTGTTCGTGTGCCATGCCCAGAAAACAGATACAGCCTCAAGCGAAGAGGTAGAGCAATTAATAGTGAGACTCGGGTTAGACAATCCGAATGAGGACCTTAGTGTCCTCAAAGGTACAGCTGCAGGCATTCAGCGAAGCGTGTCAACACAAACTTAATCAAGTTTTCTGAGGTTTCTTTGGAAGCTCATCATTGCAATGTGTCACAGAGCAGTTAGTTGTAGTTTCTCAAGCAAATAGCTAGCTATCATGATGGGTGAGTACACGGTCGCAGTCAACAGTGTGCCAGTTACACAGATGGCAAGTGTTGTGCAGCGTGAACACAGAGCGACACAATTGATCCAGTGCTGGTGATGGTGTACATATATGCATACGTGCAAACAAGGGAGGAAAAAGGGTCCAGATCTGGTCACGTGAATCGGTATGTTCCGATTATGTGATAATGTACTCCGTACTCCGTAGGCGTCCACCATCCATCCATCGAGACAGCTCGACTCCAGTTTCGGCGTGTCGCAGGTTCAACCCCTACACCCATCGACCCCCAACACTAACAGCGATAGTGATACCAGAGACCGCTCACCCGTTCGAGAACATCGAACATTCTATCTTGTCTCCATTGCCCTTTGACGCCTTAAGCAACTAATACGCCCTTTCCCTCCCTTGCCTTGAGCCAAATAATCACTCCACCATGGCCAACGATGAATATGATGTATGTAGCTTTATCTACCGTGTTATATGTGTGCTTGCTGACCCCAGGCGCAGTTTCTCTTCAAGGGTATATTGTCTCTTCTCTGTCCGTCCATTGAACTGATGTAACCTGTTCCCAGTCGTCCTCATTGGTGACTCTGGAGTCGGAAAATCCAACCTGCTGAGCCGGTTTACTCGAAATGAGTTCAACCTGGATTCCAAGTCTACGATCGGCGTTGAGTTTGCGACAAGGTCTATTCAGGTTGACGCAAAGACAATCAAGGCGCAAATCTGGGACACTGCAGGTCAGGAGAGATACCGCGCAATCACTTCTGCCTACTATCGTGGAGCGGTCGGCGCGCTGCTCGTCTACGACATCAGCAAGCACCAGACTTACGACAATGTGACCCGTTGGTTGAAGGAGCTCCGAGATCATGCCGATGCCAATATTGTGATCATGCTTGTTGGGAACAAGAGCGATCTGAGGCATTTGAGGGCTGTACCTACTGAAGAAGCCAAGCAGTTTGCGAGTAAGTTATCGTGGAAAGCAAGGAGCGGTGGGAACATGAGGCTGAACTGCTGAAACAGGCGAAAACAATCTATCCTTCATCGAAACGTCCGCTCTCGACGCAAGCAACGTTGAGCTTGCCTTCCAAAATATCCTCACAGGCAAGTCTTCAGACTACAATAAACAGGCAGAGCTAACAAGCACGACAGAGATCTACAGGATTGTGTCCAGCAAGACATTCGAGACAGGAGACTCTGCGCAAAACCCCATCGCACAAGGCACCAAACTCGACATTGGCAACTCGCCTTCCCCAGATACCAAGACTAATAAATGTTGTTGAGACGATGGGATGATGGCTTCGATCCTTGTTCGTGGATTATCTTGATGGGCTGCGCTTTGTGACCGGCGTCTTGCATCAGAGGAGTGTTTTCGATGGTTTTTTAGTCGCTTCAGCATGTTAGCTAAGGTTTGCTTGCAAGGATTTATCTACTTGAGAGTGTGATGCTCTTCGTTTTATCTTCTTTTCAATCCATTGTGAATGTCATACCCCCTTTCCAGGTGCGCTTATGGCATTGAGTTTAGGTCGGTCATATCTGCTCCAATTGCTGAATCGGAGCCTTTTCTTCAAAGTTGAATATCTGGGTGTCTTCTGTTGGGGTAAGAATGGGTGCAGGCTCGCTCTTAGGACTTCAGCTGTCTATGGCTCCGCACATCATGGAATCCATCGTTGGTGGAAGGACAGGGCTCCTACTTGTCCAGCTTTTGAAAGCCAATGCCCTACCTGCTTACAACAACTCGTGGAGTCCATGCTCGCTCTTTTACCCCCGTCACTTTTCGCCTACATGGAATCCTCCAGAGAGATGCATGTTACGCACCGCATTTGACAGATCAACGGCTTGGTCTACAGCAGTGGTAGGCACCACATGCATGACGTCTACCAAACTTTGCTGAAGATACCCACCATAGTGCGGATGGAATTAAGCCCAGCTCTCGGAAATGCACCATGGGTGATAGGCCTATCCTATTCACAATTGAACAACACGAAGTCCATCTGGTACATCGATTGTTTTTCCCACGCCAGTTCCACTTGCAATGTCGACATATCTTGCATAGTATTTTTATCTGTCCAAGAGCGCAAAGCTCGGTGACAGTTACTGGTGAGAGAAAGACCCCTTTTCCCGTGTTGAGATACCTCTCCAAAAAGAGGTGCCAAGAATCTCACCTCGTTGGGCCCCCATCCCGTCTGTCGAGCTTTTTCATCGTCACCTGCGAGATTCACTGCTCCTGCTCATACGAAACCACCTGATCCTCGCTGGTCATCCGCGCAACCGCTGCTCCTACCTTCGCCTGTGACATTGCTAACGTCAACTTGGGCAGTATGAGCAATTCTCTGAAACACTTGACTGAGATGAAGGGCCTGCTGCGTAGAGATAGCGCGGGAGACACCATGGTAGTTTTATAGCATCATGCCTAGAATGAGGTTTACAATGCGTGACATGGGAGCGTCTTGGGACTGTGTTAGGCAGGACAGTCAAAGCGGTGCATGAGGCGATACCGGGCGACCTTGTTCATCGTGTGACTGAGTCCCCCATCTAAAGCGTAAGGAATGACTGCTAATGCGACCAGAGGCTTGTTTCTAGCGGTAGAGGACAGATATAGATTGGAGTTCGTGTACTCTTACTGTTTGCCGGGTTCGATCACCGCCCTCAGACGAATCTACTACTGCCTGACGCTTACGGTTTTACTTTACTCCGTCGTTGACGTGGCTTCTACCGGCTGGTAGGGTTGATGGACGGGATCGTCGCAGAGTCAGTGGAATGGTATCAGATGCTCAAAAACATAGGCTGCTTGGAAGGCTGCTTCGCAAGAGTTTAGTATAGTTATCGGGAATAGGTTGAAATTCCTGAAACCAATATTCATGCTACCATTAGGCCTACACGATAAACAATATGGCTCCTAACACTAATCATCGTTGCAGCTCACTCGAAACTGTGGTCTGCTCCTCCGACTGGTGCCCCAACCACACGTTCGGAATATGGTAAACGCCGAATCGATACCTGCCGAGCATACCGTCTTTGCCGTACATGAAGTAGCGCAGACCTTCACGAGTTAGCGGAACCTCCTGCAGAACTTCTAGGGATGGATATGCAAGAGAGCCTTGAATGAAAGGGAGCTAAAAACTCCATCCACGTAATGGCGTCACCAGCTGTTGCACATCCTTGAGGGTTGTGGTATTGAATCAGTAAATCAGAGCCGGTACGGACGAAAGACCAAGAATAAGGGTAGCCATCACCAGTCGGTGCCTGGATCAAGTCTAGCACAGCCGTAGGGTCGCCCACGACCCGCTTAGGCATTGTCGCCTCAATAGCGGCGATGGAGCGAGGCCGCCCTAGGTTGACCACTCCCAAGCGAGGATTGTCACGCCAATTCCTTTCACGGGCCTCTCTGACCTGATTCGGTCGACTATCGTACCCATAATTAAGGGCTCAAAATGAACAATTGCCTGAGAGATTCGCTTGATGTATGGTATAGTATATCTTGACCAAAGTGCTTCAATATGTGTTTGCCAGGATGGGCTCGCGGAGGATGGGTCTTCAACAACACTGAAAAACGGGGAGGACAATTCGACTGAGCCTGAGGCATTTTGTCAGTCAAGTGATCAAAGCACACAAAGGGTTTTGAGAGAATTGGCTTGGAAAGAATGAGCTCGGTAGTGAAGTAGAAAAACCTATCTTGATGGATCATTCACCATGGTTACTGGGTAACCCCTTGGTCATTCGAGGATGCTGAATTGGCACTTCGTTGTTGTAGCCTTGTACCAGTTCACTCAAATATCTTCCCATGTCCTCGCTGAGTAATGGAAAAGGTCCACGTTTGGGGGCAAGAGAGACTACTGTAGTAATGGCGATGGCAAGCCTGAATTCATAATTGCAGACAAAGGGCAAGGATGGTGGTGACATGAGGTCTTTCAATGGGCTCCTGCTCGTTAGGTTAGCGATTGCTGTCTGTGTCATTGGGAGCAGACGACGAGGCGGTTCTATTGTGGTTGTCGTCTGCTCTTGACCACTGTAGCCTGTCCGATACGCGCTTGTCCTTGGGTTTGGTATCGAAGGATCTCGATTTCCAGCTGGAAAGGCAGCCTGGTTTGGAGACGATCACGTTGAGGGAGTTCCGCCCTTCGGGTAGCTTGTTGTGAAGTCATATCAGATGGTGGAACCTGCTGAAGCCGCACGTCTTGACTCTCCCGGTCTCCGACTGAGCCGGCAGTATATTATTGAGGTGAGCCAGTCCGAGTGGTTTGCGGACCTTGGGCAGCATGCTGCCCAGTCATGCCACGCCGCACAGATTTTCGGCCTTGCATTTTTCGAGTCATCCCGTGTCCAGCTGAGCTGGTGGTCCGTTGTCGAGTAGACACACCCCAAGCGGCCTGCAGGCTTTAGGCTGTTGTGTAATTATTTCTGAGAAGCTTGCCGGTGTTCATTGATGTGTAGTATGCTGTTTTTAAAACATGGTGGTCTAAATTTCAAGAACAGAGCTATGATCTCGGTCCGATTGCGTACTGTCAAAGCCGGCGTGTCGAATGTGTCGAACATGTCGCAGGCCCATGGCTCCTAATGGCCAACCCTCGTATGAATCAACACTAGAATCTAGTCAGAAGGACGACAGGCTCTATCTTGCAACGTATTCCGGTCAAACTGCGAAGGGTTATACCGTGACACTCAATGCGAAACTTCCAGATGAACACGCTGAGGGGCTATCCTTGGCATTGTTTCACATGCAGCCTGAGTGCCACGCTACTGGTATGTGGTAGTTGTCAAACTCGGGCCGTTAAACTGCAGCGCACTGCTCAGTGCACGGTGGTAGGGTTGTAGCGCTCGGGCGGTTCAAGGAATGTGGTGATGCCGAGAGGAAAATAACCCTGCGGCGCCAAGGCCCTACATCTGTCTGTCGCCACTGCAGCGTGATACTAATCTGTACTATTTACGTAGTAAGTTAGTTACTGTACTCCGTACGTAAGTAGTTATCTAGTTGAACCAGAATCACACCAGCTTTGGAAAGGACGTAGCTGCCTTGGATCTTGGAGCTCTGAGGCAACCTATTACTAGTAGCAGCATGTTTTCCGCTACACATTCAACTTCACCTGGTTTATATTAATAGGACTTGAGTTGATTGTCCCTTCTTGAATCACGGAACACTAGCTAGCTAAATTGAGAGGCAGGGTATCAAAATGGAGCCTTGAATGTCACAGTTTACTGTATAATTTGATTGATCAATCCGCAACAACATTTTCAGGGAGGATGTTCTGCTGGACGTATACAGCCCATTCTGTCCATATATATATGCACTCGACTCCTTAACAAAAACAAAATGAATCAACATCCTGCTTTCTCGTTCGGTAATACTGGGTCAGAGCGCCGGTCAACAGAACGGCTCGCATGCAGCCAAGTGCTATAGAGCTCAGTCAGGTGGGCTAGAAGACGTAAACCGCTACTAGGTTCACTTCGCTTCATGGCTGTGGCCGGGCCGTCTTGAGCCTCTCTTCTGACAGACTCGGCTCCCAGCTAGCCCGTCCCGGTTGACTGATGCGGCATCCGTCAAGGCCAATAATGGCCTCCTTGGTCAACACACCAAATGGTTCAGTATTACGCAATGGCATCGACACAAGTTGGGGCCGAATTTGCACCCAATTCAACTATCACACAACGGCGCGAATCCGCGATTGTTGGGAAAGATGATGCGCTGCTGAAAAAGGCCTCCCTTCTTCTCACGCGATGCTGCTAGTGTTTGACCTTGGTGATACAGATCGTTTGGGCCAAACCTAAAAGTTAGACCTACGAGACATCCAAGAAGCTTCACGTAGCATCATGCATCACATCCCAGGCTTACGTCCCAGGCTTACGTCCCTAGGACCTAACCCACGTGCATGGAATTTGTGGCGAACCTGGACACCGCTATGTACATATATCTTCTGAACCCGGTCTTGTTCTACGCCGGGTTGCTTCTTTAGTACACTTTCTATAATCTTTTTGAGAGGTGCGTGGACCGTTTGGCTTGTTGTCCCCATTTGCTTTCCTGTACATTCTCACGCCCTTTGTACACAATGGGCTGCCTTGGCTGCTGTGATGGAAAGCCACAACCGCAGGATCCTGCTTCAGCACCTCCAGCCAAACAGAGGCATCTTCGTTCGTGGGCAGCATCAGTCGGCGAGGTAGCATCATCAGGGCGGAGAAAGTTGGCCACAAAAGCTGTTGAGCCGCCTCATACACACACTCACTCGGATTCAAACTCCAGTACCCGAAGATCAAGCACGAGGGATCAGGCCGGAGGACCTCCAGCTGGGTCAACCAGTGCAGCGACCGTGCGGAGACCAGCCGTTATAGTGAGCCCGTTCTCTGATCCAGCGGTTCAATCCTCCTCTGAAAGCACTCTCAACTGCCAAATCAGCCCGCGTCGTGGGTCTCCAGTTAGTGCATTTGCTGAAGCTTCAAATCAATCAGCAGCTGGTGTGGGTGGCTCCAGAAAAAGAGTAGACCAGCGCCAGCAAGCAGGACCAAGCCATGCAAATGTGGGGCCAGAACGCCAGGCCACCCAGGAGCGACAACCAGCCCATATCCCTTTTCGGGCGCATAGAGTAGTACCGGTTGTGGGAAATGCGACACCGAGCTCTGCATCCTTGGATGTATCATCTGGAGGGATACGGACAGCTGGCAGGCCTCTGGCAGCTCAACCTCGTCCACCCTCGTCTAGACCACTCGGTATTTCCCAACCTGTTTCTCTCTGTTCGACAAGGCCATCCAACAGCTCAGGGGCTGATGCCCAATCTTCCAGAAGGCCAGTCCGCACACCAGGAGAACCTCTCACGGCTGCAACACATGCCCTTGGTAGGCCCGGTTTCGGCTCTGGATCATGGAAAAGTGCATCCGAAGCACTCGGAGCGCCTGCGGGCCACACAACAAACCGCTCTCAACGGCAAGACATAGCTGTCAGAACTCCAACCAGAGCCCCTCAGGACCCAGAAGCAGCTGCAGATCCTTCAAGAATGCATGCGCGGATGCAAGATGCAGCAACTGGATATTCCACAGGACGCGCAAAAGAACTACAGGCTGCTGTTCAAGCATCAAAATGTTCTTCTGGGTCGGTAGGCCCACGCATAATCAAACTGGGTATTGAGACAGAATTCTTCCTTGCTGCCAAGAAGCTGGAGGATTTTGACACGAGCGTGGAAGGCTTTGCCCAAAGACTTGCAGCCAACCACAATCAGGCAGTGCGTCGACCACATCCTCAAATGCGGCCTACGATGCGGCCGCCCTATGAGCAAGGCGATTACGCGAGATGGTTTCTGGCCCCGGACGGTACTGTATCAATTGACAACAGGCGTTCACCATGTAAGTCAGTCCCTTCTGACTGTTCACCCTAAAAGTCCTGCACGTCATCGAGGCTGACATGATATCAATAGGGGGGGTCGAGCTGGTCTCCCCGATCCTCAGGGCTTTTCCGGGCTCCACATGGCGGAAAAGTGTGGAATTGACGTGGGAATGCCTTGCAGATCGCTATGACATTGACACCAACCACCGGTGCGGCACTCACATCCACATCTCACTTGACCCGTTTTTCAACATGAGAGAACTTGTCCAAATCGCCCAAGCCGTTCTTCATTTCGAGCCTGCTATCGAGGCTTTAGTGCCAAAAGATCGCAGAGGAAACGAGTTCTGTAAGAGCAACTGGCTGGGCAGCCGTGATTTAGGTGCAGCCAACATATCTCGACCAGACTCAATTGCCAGGATTGGGCAGATTCAAGATCCCAACGAATTGATACGGTGTATGGGTAATGGAGAGGACAGAGGATACAGCTGGAATTTTGTAAGCCTGTTGGACAAGAAGAAGCGAACGCTCGAATTCCGCAAACCACCTGGGAGCACCACCGTGGAGCAGACTCTCAGCTGGGCAGAGTTTGTCTTGTCCTTCATTCAAGCAGCCATCAAATGTGGCTCTGCCGAACAGCTGCAGATAGTTCCTGCACACATTGGTGGCCTGCAATGGTTCTTGAAGCAGAGCAATGTTCCAGGAGTCAATGAGCATCATCGCTTGGCCAGGCTCTTCGCAGGCCGAGATCCCATGGCTACATTGCAACCTAAGACTAGCTATGAGGCAGTCAGCCTCCAGCTTAATCAACTGAGAGCGGCGAAAAAGATGCTGATGGAGAAGGCTGATGCTGATCATCGACGAGTTCTGGATCATGCAAAGAAGGCGCAGATCCCTTAATTGGCTTAAGCCCCCTTCTGCTACTAGTACGGCAGCTTTCCGTCAGCCTTGTTTTCCAGACTTGGACGCTACTTGTCATGAACTCCCTCCAAAATACGCTATGATGGAGTGGCTGGTGCTATCAAAGATTACATCTACGGTGGGTAGCGCATCTTCTCCCACCTCTGTTATGATTCCACCATTGTTGCATTCTTGCTGGTACTATGGTCAATTCGAGCTTTCCAACCGCAAGTGTTAGGAATCGTCCATTGAAGCAGCCATGTGTCAATCACGGCGCGTCACAAACTCCATGGCAAACCCTCTGGATTGATAACAGTCATTGCTTTCTGTAACCACAGGACGTCCCTGATTCACTCCGCGGAGAATAGGTGTCCGATGCAGCAGGGATCTTGAATGCTTAGCTGCAAATCGTATGAGATACTCGACATACAGACATTGCTCCTCAACGGTCACGGAAGATTTTCCGAGTTTGCTTCAGCGGTCATTAGATTTCCGTAATCGAGAGCGTACGCCCAGCGCCCTTGATCTGTCCTGCTACCAATTGTGTCATCTATCGTCCCCTTCGACCTCATGATCACCGCCACAGGATCAACCAACTTGGATATATGTCACACCTGGACAGGCTGAATTGTGGTCACATAGGTCGCAGCGTACTCTAGAGATCTACCTAGCCCCCAGAAGGGAGAGGTAGGCGTTCGTCATGAAGTTCAACAACAATCTAGACGATAATACCATACAGCTCAGTGGGTCCTGATCTTCAGCTCGCCACAAATTGTGCAACAGCTCTCTCCAGAGCGGCTAGATTTGAGTAGAGATAGGGATATTTCTTCACACCATCAAGAACTCCTCATCGTTCTCCAGTTGGCAGCGTCATTGCTGAGCAAGCTCTCGAACCCATGTAATCATATTGATTGGAGGGATTTTACTTACCTGCCTGCAGCCCGCTTCTGTTCTGCTGAAACGCAGTCCAGCTCGCGGTCTTTCTAGTGCGTACTCTTTCTTGCTCTTTACTTTTCAAGTCAGGCGCTCTCTTCCCCCCCCCCCTTTTCTTCTCCCTGTCTGTATGTATATGTGTGTCTTCCCCCCTTCCTTTCACCTTACACCCCCATACCAAATCATCACCGCAAAGGGAGGAAAAACAAGGCCGCCCTCCTCGCCTCAACTGGCCTCTTATCGAGCCAATATGAATGCTAATACTCCCGCCGTCCATCGTCGGCCGTGCCCGGACCCTGGTAGGCCAGGCTCTCCTTTCTCCATCCTTCGTCTACACTATCTGAACAAGGACCCCCTGATACACACACACACACACACACATACTGGGCTCTCTTACCATCATCATCATCATCATCACCACCACCACCTGCATCGGAAGGGAAGTGGTAATGGGAGACTGCTAGGTACGTAAGAGATCAGTGTGATCTTGGATCATATTTACGACATTGAACATACAATGCGGTTTCTCAGGGTTATCGCTTATTGGGCGGTATGAATGAATCTATGACAAGAATTGGAAGGGGGGAGGAGAAATCGTTCTGCCGGATGTGAGGGCTTGTCATCCGTTATTAGTAGGCAAATTGGATATTTCCGTGAGTTGGTCTGCGTAGTGAGAACACGTATAGCGGGGGTGATCAACTTCAGGGACAGGTTGGGAGAAGGCATCTTTAGAAATTTATTATTGTAAGTCTGAATAATAATTCTATCCTACAATTTCGTTACTGATATACATGCTAGATCTATGTCTTTGAGGCAAAATGGGCCTCAATAAGCTAGGTTGAGTTAAGAATACCATGAAGCAGATGACAAACATGCAGCCCTACTCTTCGATATAGACAACAACCCATTATTATGAGACTGGAGTGATCCTTGTAACTATTCTAGGGATTTCCCAAAACGTGAAGCGCTGTCTTTTCGAAGAAGAGAAAACCAAAAACCTTGGAACTCCTCGAACCACCAGCCACAATGGGTCGAAGAGTCCAGGAGAAACCCTCTAAGGAGGATTTTTTTGTTTTTCCGATGTGTTAATGAGCAATTTGCCACTGTTAACACTGTTGGTACCTTCGAGCCACACAGATCCGGGTACGATTCCGGCTATGACCTGCTATTGTGACAACTCTTGGACAGTGCTAACCAACTACACCATGGGTCCGGAAGTTGAAAATAGGTTTCGAATAATAAAATATAAAGCTTTGTGTTTTGTGTTTTGTGTTTTGGGAAGTGAAACACCGCTGCTGATGTGGGTTGAGTCCTAGGTGACATGAACAAGGACACTACATTCAAATCATACATCACAAACCCCTTATTTCATATCTTACAGTCCATATGTGCACTCTATTGACTATTCCGGATCTATCCTTTCAGTGGTCACGAAACGGAGCCCCTTTTGGTTGCCCTTTTGACCCTCCTAGCCAGCTTCTGAATCCTCCTCTTTTCAACAGCAGTAGCTTGCAAGAGTTTCGGATCCTCTTGGACTCGCATCTGTATCGTCTTCTCCACCCTTCCAACGACAATCGTGTGCGTCACAGATATCGTCCCGCTCGAAAGTCCGCGATTTTTGTCTTGTTGCTCGCCTTCCGATTACATTTTTCTGCTCCTCCACCTTGTCTGCGGCTCGCTTTGCAATTATTGTCATGGCATGTGCTGACAGGTGGACCGTCTCGAGGCTGCGAAATCCGGTTTTCAGAGTCGACCAGACTGCTTGCAATTCTTGCTAACGTGACGGTTGCAGCAAGAGCGGTATGAGCGGCCTGGCAAGCATGACTGATATGTCTTACCAAGTCTGGTGACGGGTTCCTAATGATTCCTCGCTGTAGTCACTGAAGTCTTGGCTCGATTCAGACTCAATGGCGGTACGGCTTCTCGGTGGAATTCTTCGGCTTTCATGAATTGGCTAGGTGGCTGCTCTTCTAATTTTTTTCGGGGGAGATCAATTGATGGCCTGTTCTCTCAAGCAGCTTTTGTGCTTGAGTCAAATTTCCAGAATGCTTTTCTAGTTTTGTTCTGGGCTCCTGAATGCATGATGAGTGATGGATAAACCGTCCAGCTGATATTCGTCTCTTTCTTCTAGTGAGGTCTCCAATTGCGTGGTTGATGGCGTCAGAGGACGACTCTGACTTGATTCTAGGATGCATGGATAGCTGTAGCATTGAGCTAGCGGGTTGGGACACATTTTCAGTTGCCATGCTTAGAGTATAGGCCGAGTTGGCGGTGTGCTTCGACAAATAGGGTGGAAGTGCAGAGCTGGTGAGGGCATTAAATTACGGATCCGCGGCGAGCTGCGGTGTCCAAATCGGAAAGAGAGTATCGCAGGACGCGAGACGGATAGGTCACAATCCTGTGTGTAAGGTGAAGTGAAGAATGATTTTCATAACGAGACTAGGTGGTGTGAGAAGATCTTTGCAGTCTGAAACTCAGTTCATCTGGGACGGAAGGCCGCATGGAGCGTGCCTGCCTTCTTCGAGCCTTGTCCTCTGGTGCCCGCCAGACCGGCATCAACAAAATATTATCCAAGACATGCATAATCGTTGGGGACATGGCTTCTTCTTGGGTGCACATGCTTAAGAAGTAAAAGCCCAGACTGGCTCATCAGAAAGAATGGCATCTCGACGAACGAGGATGCTTCCGAACAATTCTCGTCAAGAATGAGTATTTCTGTTTAGTGCCGAGTGCAATGATGGTATAAATACATGCGCTGCTCCTTGGAAGGCTGCTTTCCTCACAACGTCGAGGCTCGGGCTGCGTATTTAAATCCGAAGTTCAAGCAGAGAGCGACGGCCAAGCCGACGCTTACAATCACCGGACCGATCATGTTGTCAAAGTCCTTACCACTTCTCTGCATAATCAGTCTGCTTCTCCAAACATATATTCCCCAGCCCCAGATGCCAGCAAAAGCAGCGAATGCAGTGTACACTAATGCCAAAGCCCGAGCAGTGTTGTTGTCCACTCCGGCAGCATTGTACAAACCCAACGAAAGTGATGCCAGCAGAACAGAGATGTGCTGCCATTTGACAAACGTACGTTGGTTCGCAAGCCACACTTTCGCCTCCACCTTGACTGGCCCAGAATCTTTGATCCATCTCCCAGGGTCTTTCACGCCAGGTGGGAGAGCAGCGTTCTCCCACTCTGCACCCTGTCGGTGCCTTCGGGCATAGCGTGAATTGGAGAACGCCGGAAACAATGCACGCAGGCCCCGCGCGGAGGAATCGGTCACCTCGATCTGAGACGTCGCTGCTTCCACACCGTCGTCGTCCGAATCATGCTCCTCTGCCGTGGGCTCCAACTGAGAACGACGGGAGCGGTGAGATTGTGACAGATGTGCCATTGACGACTGCATGGTACCTGAAGAGAATCCTTGGGGTGAGCCCACTTTGGTCTTGAAATTTGGTGACGAAGATAGCTTTGAGCCCGGCAAGAAGCTGCCCACCGCAAACTCATCTTCCGCTTTCTGGGTCTGCTTCTGCTGCTCTTCCTTAAACGCAATTTCGGGATCTCTGCGAATGTCGGTATCTAGGTCACTCAACCAAAAGGGAAAGCTATTGACGTGATCCTCGAACAGTTGAGCAACGCCATGCACAAACTTGGAAAAATGAGGAGCCTCTTTCACAAGATGCGAACTCATCAAGTCTGACAGCCAAGCGTTGTTTCGCGTAGCTTTGGAGTCTTTCACCTTGATCTCAAGCAATGCATGTGGGAACCGTGTGATTTCACCTTTCTTGATAGTAGAGAACGGGTATTCAAGTTCGTTCGCATCAATGTCCATTCGGTGCCATTCTGCAGGGTCGCGGCAGGGACGCTGGGCGTCAAGTGCGTCTTCCCGGATCAATGCCAGTTCCGTGTCCAAGGAGATCCGGATTCGGTCGTCTCCAGGGATCTGGAAGGCCGTCCGGGTATAGCTGGCTCGCAGCATCGGCTCCAGCTCGTTGTCCTTGACGAAGTTTCGAATTTCTTCGACATTTTTCTTTAATGTCTCAATCTCCTCTGAGTTCGGGCCACGTCGTTCTTCCAGCTTTTGAATCTGCTTTTCCATCTTATATTCGCCCTTTAAGAAAGGGGTGATGTATTTCTCTTTGATGGGAATCCTGATTTCCTTGCTTTCCACGGATTCGCCAACAGTTTTTTTCTCCAGCTGGATCATTGGCTTTTCTTTGAGCTGTCCGGTCCATCGAAGTCGTAGTGAGCTTGCTTCGGGAGCCTTGTCAACTTTCTGTGCATACAGCTTGAAGCTCGTATTGTCAAAATATATGGAAGTAATGGTGGGATCCTTCTGAGAAGAGTCAACGACTTTGGCAGACTGCGGATTATAGATGAGGATAGGCAACCGACGGAGTATGAATGTTTTAACTTCCAACAGATTGTCGGAGTGAACCCAAAACTTGTGGGCGGTATACGTGTCACGCGGCCGTGGTGCTGCGCCTGATTCTCTTCGTTGGTCGGTCTGTAAGATTTGATGGCAGAAAGTGTACATGGCCGAGAGTCTCTGCAGTAGAGGAGAATAATCTTCGGAATGAAAGGAGACCTGCGAAAGCCTGACTTGTAAAATTGGCTGTACACGGTAGTGACGACCGCGTTTTCGATCGTGTTTCTTTGCGGCCTTCAGGAAGCCGGTAAAGTTGATCCGACTAAATTTCCTCAGCTGCTCGACATCTTTGGAGATGCCATCCAAGTCCTTCATGACCTCTTGAACAACGGCCTTCTGATCCGCGGTGGCCTCCTCGCTCTCTGTGGCAGCAGCAATGGGCTCGAGCTTGACTTCACATTCGGACGTTCGGTCGCGAAGGCTTTTATAGGTGTCAACATGGAACTGGTGAACCTTGTCCAATTGGACATTTATGAGCTCATGAACGAAGTCTTCCTCGTCTTGCTCGGTCCACTCGCGCTGCGGTGAAGCCTCGTCTTCTCGTAACAGTTTCTTGAGCTTGGTGTAGTCGATGTAATTGTCCTGCCATGGTGGGTAGGTTGACACCAAGAGTGTCTTGCCAAACTTCATTGCCGGATACTATATGCAAAGGACTTATACGGCGCAAGATAGGTAAGGCCGGTGGAGTTGGGAACGTCCTATACAAACACAAGATGAAAGCGGAGATATGCTGTTGAATGCGGAGATGAAGCTTACTACGTAGGCTTTGATTACTACGTAAGGGGAAAGGGCAGCTTGAACCCAATAGTGATCCAGGCTAATGCTGTATCACCCTTCCTGCAGCTTTTACGTAGTACGTAGTAAAGGGCAGACATAGTGAGCTAGTAAGATTACTCTCTAGCTTACATCCCTCATCCTCCTGGGTGTAAAATAACAAGTTGCCAATGACAGTTGCCAAGCATTATCCCCTGCAGGCGCCAAACGATACTTACGATACAGATGCTGAGCTGACTGGATCCGTAGGGAGGAGAACTAACATGGCTCTAACTATGTACTCTTTCTGACATGTCTCGTTAATCTATCATAAGCTACTGTACTCTGTACCTAGTCTTGTACGAGCTCGTTATGAGTAGCTAATGTGACCAATTGGTGAAGCTGACAGAAACAAGCAAAAAAACTCATCGGCAATCTCGGCACCTGTGATGCAACATTCGCATTCGCTGGTGCCTACTACGCAGTACATCTACTCCCTGCGCGCAATGGTTGAAGCTCGAGTACGCTTCAGGAGTATGTTGCGTGTGGCCTCTCCGTCATGAGTGTATCGGCTGGCATAATTAAGAGCCTGGCAGAATGCCTTGGGTCCATCCAGCAAAATCCCTACCCACATGTGCCAAATCCTCCTGATTGCCAGAAGCGTGCCTCAGTTGCTCTTGTCCTCCGAGTTCGTCCTGATTATGCTGATAGCGTCACGATCGCATCTCGCCACTCCTCTACCGAAGGGAATCATGGGCTTCCTCCAAAGACATTAGCAGACTTCTTCGCGCAGGCCTGGGTGCAGAAAGGAGACGCCGAAATACTCTTCATTAAGCGTGCAGGGCGTGTAGGGGATCGATGGTCAGGCCATACTGCCTTGCCGGGCGGCAAGAGAGATCCTCCCGATGTGGACGACCGAGCTGCAGCGATTCGTGAAACCAAGGAAGAAGTTGGTCTGGATCTGTCACGGTCCGACTGCCTCTACGCAGGGAATCTGCCAGAGCGCGTGGTCACAACTACATGGGGCAAGAAGGGGTAGGCCAGCTACTGCTTCAAAACCTGGCGCTGCATGCTGATCTGTTCCTTAGACTCATGGTCTTGTGCCCCTTCATGTTCATCTTGACCAGTCCTACATCCCCTTCACTACTACTTCAACCGGCGGAAGTGGCTGCAACTCATTGGGTACCGCTCCGAGCCCTCCTCTCTTCCTCGCTTCGAACTCGTGAACTAGTCGATGTATCCAGTCGATTTGGAAAGAGGGACGGGCCCGTACTCCGCTATATGCTGCGCTTCATGCTGGGAAAGATGATGTTCTCCGCCGTGCGCTTGATACCTTCCGAGAGCGTATTTGCATCATCAATCTCTGGGTTCATCCCGGATCCCCAGAAGAACGTCACTATATTCTCCGGACTGGCCAGGGGCTCATTTGGTGTGCCCTCCAGTACGACCCCATCCGGCCCTCTCCTCCTTTGGGGTCTCACCCTGGGCATTGTTGCAGACCTACTTGAAATGCTTCCGCCCCACAACGCAATCGAGCTCTGGCAATATCCGACTTTCACCAGCCCAGATCTCCGTCTTCTTGTTTATCTCTTCACCTACAAGCTACGCCAAGCCAATGCTCGTCATCTTAGCGACGGTACCTGGCCAAGCCAGACTGCGGTTGACGCTTCCACTGCAGCTGTAGCGGTCTCCGAGGCCGAACCACATCAGGCGAAGCCAAATAACATTGGCGTGGGAGGGCTCGGCTTTTCCAGCAGGCCCTCGCATACGCTTAGCTTGATGCTCTCTGGATACTACGAGCGGGTGAACGTTGCTATCGCTGTCTTCCTGGTTATGAGAATTGCTGCTGCAGGTGGCCTAGGCTACTATGCCTTTCGGACGTGGAAGCTTTGGAAACGGTAGGATGTTGAGGATTCCCATGAGGGCCTCAATTATTTCTCAGAGATTTGCCCGCGCTTCGGACGTATATCCGTCCCAGAGGAATCATTGTTTTAAAAGTAGGAAACCCGCTCTTGGCTCCCTATCACCCAGATTAAGCCGCACCTCCTACGAGGTAGACGCCTGGCTCATATCGAGAGCAAATGAGGACAACTACAGTTTCCCCGTCAATCACTTCTCCGACATGAGTACCCGCAGAAGACCTTGTTCAGCAACGTCCAATTTAAGAATCGTGTACCGCTACACTCGCTTCATCCAATCTTGAGCAGAACTCAGGAACGACACATTCGTGCTTGGGGACACAATTGCGCTTTCACTTGCACGGCACGCACCGCACTGGGTGCCCTTCCGCAATTACAGCATCGTCTTCTCTAGCGACAACACACCTGTTTGGGCCAATCCTTGTCCGAGATCGAGTCACCACCACTAGATAGATCACACTCGCACCGAAAGATTTGCCAGCCAGCCAGATATCTCTTGCGTCTCCCGCTGGGCAGCAGATTTCTGTTATTCTTGCAAGATATTTTCCAGAAACAAGATATTCATCTCAACACACTGAAGAGCGTGTTGCAAAGCATCCGAATGCTGTACTCTCTGTTGCTATCTAGAAGACTGCTATCCGAAATCACTGAGTATTAGATATGATCGACCAAAAGATAGACGTAGACCGAAAGATATAAAACCGAAATAGCCACCCTCTGACTGCCAGCCACGAACATGTCCTCACTCTGGCTCCCATTCACACTCTCGACTTTAACCACCAAGCCTCCCCGCCTATCTCGTCCCCCAGCCTGCTGCTCGACGCTGCACCTTCTCCAACCCGCCAGAATCGCCGCTGTCAGAACTTTCATCCCCGCTAGCCAGGTACTCTCCATCCGTCCCCTCTGTGCTCTGTTCTTTACCTGCATGCTCCGCTTCCCACGCCTCCAACTGGCTGGCCAGTCAGCGGTTGACGGCGAGCACGAGCTTGGGCTTCTGCTTCTGCTTCTGCTTCTGCTTCTGCTTCTTGGGTTCGGGTTGGGTGAGGTCGATGATGGATGGTAGGGTAGAGGCCCTTCGTAAATTTGCGGGACAGATTTTGGGGAAGAATCTGAGGGGTTCCTCGTCGCATAAAAGGGAGTGACTTCTGTCTAGTAACATCATTGTCATCATGATTTTCTTGTAACCTCGAGGCATCACTCTGAACTCTGTGCAAGCACACTTGAACAGTTTGAGCGTAGTATCATCACCATGATATTTATCTATATGGCTTGGCGACAGCCATTTTTGTCATTTAGTGAACGGTGTCATTACGCGCCTGCCGCAATTCAGACATGTTAGGAAGGCCACCGATGTTTCTGGGGGGTTTAGGGATATGCAGCAAATGTTGCTGCCAAAAATCGTGCCCAATCGTGGGAGGTCTCATGATCAGCCATTGGGGCTTCTGAGCCTGATCTGTACTATTTCATTTAGTCGTTCTGTAGTAAAGGGACAAGGGTCTCAACTGTTAGCAGCTGGACCAGGAGACAGACGACAAAGTAAAATGCTGAGAATGGCATCGCAATATTCTCGAGAATCTGAATGTCTGAGACGAACAGTAACTGAGGCTTCTAAATGGAGACATGGATGGATTGATGAACGGAACATTGGCTCGATTTGATCATCACCTCTCTCCCTCTGAATTCACCAGAGACTCGGAAAGACGAAAATCGAAAGGACCGGTCCTGGGCCTCTGCCAAAAATGCCGAGATATTTTGCGAACGCTGGCGCATTTTTCCGTCTCATCACAATTTGTCAGAGGCCACCACAGCCCTGCCACCTTTCAGGGTCTAAAGCTGTAGTTAATACCAATGAAAGACATGATCCGGAGAGCTGCTGGAGGTACCGAAGAAACACTTGCGAGGAGAACCTCATTTCAAGCCATTTTAAGATTGGGATGCTAAGAATTGAGGAAAGCAATGTGCACTAAAGGGGCACGGAAAATTCGACAGTGAATAGAATAAGCCTTTGTGCATCCGAGCATAGGTCCACTGAAAGGGTCGAGGATAGAAGGCTGCCAACCTTGTCGTATCAGTCGCCATGTACCTTATCCCTTCATTCTTTGAACATCATTCTCCAGACAACAGCACGTCTCACCCGATGAGCCATTAATGGATAGTCTAGGTCCGAAAATGGACATTTCCAATAACGAATGTGTTGCGGGCTTTGAAGCTCTCGCCATCGCAAAACCTTTCTGGTAAAGAGACGGTAACAATGCGGGACTATTGTTTGTGAAAAGGCATATTCTCAATATTTCGTAATCACACACGCCAAAGTCGACATGGCACACCAGATACACCGCCACCTGAATGGATACTATTTGCTGGACCTTAGATCTCGAGCGATGTGGGTTTGGTTGCCTGTATTTGCAACAAGATGAAAGAGGCTTGGTGAAAAGGCAAAAATGATGCCGAGAAAAAGGGGTACTGCACTTAGTCAGCCGGTTTGACTTAGCGTGTCGTCCTCTGTGGACACAATCTGATGACTGTTAGATATCTCACATTTAAACAGTGCTGCGGAGTGCCCATGGTGAATCAGCCAGTCGCCGCCGATGCTGATGTTAGAGAATTGTCTTCTTGACACTGCAGAAGATGTGTACGATAGCTCGCTACGTGTCTTCAATCTGGTTTGCAAACCTTGAACCGGAATTCCGTTCACCATATCCCCTAGAACGGCACCGAATCGTTTCAACTAATCGTTATCAGCTCGGCATGCTGGAATTTGCTTGCCACTCTTTTGTTCGAAAAATTTCTGCAATATTCAGCCGGAGAAAACATCCGCCTCGAATCTGTAAAAATGGCAGAACAGCCGTCTTAGGGAAAGACCGTGTATCTGCTTGATCATTGATCCTTGAGCTCAAGGTCTGCATGATCTGAAAACTTCTTGATGCTTCGTTTCCACCTCTTGCTGTGCGTTGATCAATTCTCTGCATTCGCTGAGAGAAGTTCTTCAACTGCAAACCCCCATAGTCCGTCCACTGACAGCATGGACTTTAAACCTTGTGTGGATCGTTTGGTTCGTCTCGATGCGCCACCCATGGTGCCTCTACTAAGATGACCGTAGCCATTTACCAAAAATCTGGAGTTGAATCTCCACGGGATCGATTTCGGGCGGATTGGGAGAAATTGGCGTGAGTTCCTCGAATGCTCCTCTTGTACTGGCTGATTAGAGTCCGCAAACTTCGGATTTCAGGCGAGGTTCGCCCTTCCGCTCCGGACATGAGCAGGCGCGTCGAGCATCTGTGTGACAAGGTTGTGGAGAACGGACATGGAGAATATTTTAAAATTGAGCGGGTAAGATCTAGGCCGAAAAATGCCGGTAAACCATGAAAATATAACTTCGGATAGACCGTCACTATCTATAGGTGCTTCGGAAAATGCTATATGCCTGAAGGAAGAAAACGAAGGTAGTCTAGCGGACTGTAATACGTCGGTGGCCGAACTTTCCCACTGAAAGGCGGCAGACAGGCTTACATGATTCTAGGTGTCCAAAGGTATCTGTAACTTCCAACATTTCTTTTCATCACTGCCTAAACCCTCATTCTGAGTTGGTGCGGCATGACCACAACTCCTCCAATATGGGTGAAAGTTTGACAGACCTGAATGATATCATGGGAACCAAAGACAGGAACAATACACAGTTGAGGCCGATTTCTCAATCAAGCTACCAAAGGTATGATGTGGTAAAACTGGATGACGACGATGAATACAAGCCCGGAGTCGAGCGTGCGGCTGGCGGAAGGAGGGAAGCTCAGAGCGAGGGTAAGAGCCTGCGAGCCATGTCAGTACTGCAATCAAAGATGGGAACAGTAGACCTTGACCTTCCTCTCCCAAGCTGAAAACCAGTAAAGGGTCCGCTGTCTCGACTCACACGCTTTCGCGGCTCGGCAACATCCTCGTTGTACTCACAATCAATGCTGCTGCTCTCTCTGCCTTCTCCGCATGTCGAGATACTTCCAGCGCCTCTCAAAATCCCGACTATTCTTCTGGGTTCTGTGTTGTGTCGTCTGCGGCTCATCTGGGAAGGGGTTCTTTCATTCTCTCCACAGTGTGGTAGTTGCTGGCATACATTTGTGGCTCCTGTTTCAGATGTCGCCCACGATGGCCAATAGCTGAGGTGATGTGAGCAACTTGTATGGTGGTGGAGGTGACCTGCCTTGATGGTAGGCCTCATCCTGCGACAGCAAGGGTGGCCGCCACGCTCCTACAGTAGACGGTTTTGAAACTTCAGTGGAGATTGATTCTGCCTTACTTTGTTCCATTTGTACTCCACTGCTTTTGTAGTATTTGCAATGAGCTGTTCACGGGGCTGCAGTGAAGCAATCGGACACGCTGAAGATTTCACTGCAGAGCGCTGGTGATCGGCGCGTGTGCATGTTGCCGGCGCTGAACTCAACATTAGCAGGGTAGCTTCAGACGTCAAGAGAAGCAAGTATTGGAGTAAATGGATAGTAATTCGAAAGATGAATGATGAAAACACTGAACGATTCGATCAGACGCATCATTGTAGCTCAATAAAAATTGAATTTGCTGTTGGACACAAACTACGATAGATCTGACGTGCACTCTGCGAGGATGGTCAGTTCAGAAAGCTGGCGAGGTAAATTCTCTTCCTCCTTACATTTCCATCTCCAGCGTCTGACTCCAGGAGGTTGAAGCAAAGTAAACCACGTGTTAGAACTCTTCACACCACCTAATGCACTTTAATAATCCGACACCCTTTCCCCCCCCATTCACACCTCCAAGGACTTAGAGCATCAGTCCCGTGATAACTTAAGACTTCAGCAACCCCTTAGCCGCGCATTATGACAAACCAGCACCACAAGTCTTCAGCTAAAACACCAATGCGGAAAACAGAACACAGCATCCCGGCCTCAAAGGGTACCGTAGGACCGCGTCGACTGCTCTCGAAAAGGCAAAAGGTTGAAATGCATCCCACAGTCGAGTGCAACAAGAAAGGGCTCAAATAAACCCGATCCAAGCTCCGTCTGCAGCCAGAGAGGAAAGGGTTCGAAAGTGAGATTTCTTGGGGCGGGGGGGTACTTTGGTATTCTCATCATCGTCCTTGAGAGGCAAGCAATTGACCATTAAATCAGATCACAGCTGACATGTTGGTCTGCTCTCATGTGGAGGAAAAGGAAAGAAGAGAAAGAGAAGGGGGAGAGAGACTGCGCGGGCGTTGGTATTTGTAGTCGGTGGAGAGCGGGAGGATGATGCCAAGCATTTTAACATATGACCACTAGGCCGAATTTGGGAGGCGGGATCTCCAGAGTCAGGGGGAGCTTGGCACGATGTTACATCTAGTCACGCTGAGTTGATAAGTCAAAATCAGCTAACATATGACCAAGCTCGACTGAAGTTCACAGGGGAGAATTGCTTGAGCACTGTTGAAATGAGATACCCTCTGTCTGCACATGGCAGTGTGGGAGTGCTAACTAACAAATACTGAGTGAAGGTGTGCTCTCAGCTACTCAAGCTGCTCATCATCTCGAACTCTGACCGACCTGGCGATGGCTTCGGAGCTACTTCTATGTATCGCCCATGGCCTCATAAGCTGAGCATGTGAACCAGCTGCCGCAAAGAAAATACACGGTGAACTCCTCCCAGTCTCTCAGAAGTGACCATAGTCCACTAAATGCGTCTGCTTCCAGCTCGCGAACTATCCACTCGAAAGAGAAGTCATGCTGGACTGCCGCTAACTTCTTCCTCAGCTTCTTCCTCAACCTTAATACCATCCGCTTGATCCTCGTTCTCATCAATAGCAGCATCCAACTCAGCGTCTTCGACTTGCTCTTCATCGTTATCTGAATCTTTCTTGTCACGGACAGCCTTCTTCTTTGCTGGTTTGTCATTGTCCTCCGTAGTTCCTACGGCTTTACGCTTACGCCCAGTGGCAGCAGAGGCATTCTTCTTTGTTTGCTGCTTGGGAATGACTGAAGGGGCAACTGCGGGAGAAGTAGTCGAGGCTGGCGTTACGCCGTTTTCAGTTTCTGTAGCCTTCTTGAGCTTGGAGAATTTCTGACTAAAAAGATTGTTAATGGTTTGAGGGGATGGATGGATAACTTCGCGGTAAGACAGTAGCAGCATGACAGATCATCAAATCAAACCTTCAAACATACCTGACGGCAGAAGCAGTAATGCCATTACCCATAGCTTGGGCAACGAGATTCCATGTCGCAGTAGAAGGTTTCAGATCAGCCGCAGTGATTGCAAGTATGAGCATGTGGCGTTCGAGTTCGGGTGTCCATGTTGTCCCTTTGCCACCTCTTGCAGGCATCTCGATTGCGGCTTGATTTGCAAGACGTTGAGGGAGAAAGACGTGTCAGAGGGAAAGGGTTGACGTGGATTAAGATGTCGTTGAGAATCTGAGCGGATGATGATGAGAGAGTGATAAGATTTGCTAACAGAAAGAAGACTATTGGGGCTGATGTGGTGATGTCCGGGTAACTGTGAGTTGTGGAAGTGAAAGATGAGGTTTTAAGGTTGAAGACTACCTTGAGCCTGAAATAGTATATGTTGAGGCCTTAGCGTCCTGGAGAAGATCACGGGTTAGGCTCTCGCCTTAAAGCCACATGCAGACATAATGTCAGATATAAGAGGGCCTTGGTATGGTACAGGTCGAAATTGCACGCAGCATACAACATTTGGAAGAATTGAGCACAGGCATCGGACGAAAAATCCAGTAATAGACGCCACTCGACTTCGATCATCCAGAACACACCCCAGGTCTCTCGTTTGTCAAAGGACACCCAACGATGACTCCACAAGAACAACAAAAGCCTGTAGGCTTGCTCGAACGGACCAATCTGCCGTCGGAGCTTGCTGAGTTGAGTCTAGATTCGAGTTGCGCGTAGGTGGTATCCCGATTACATCTGCGAAGGTCAGGTGGAAGATCTTTCTATATATCAGCGGCTTATCGCAGCTTCATTACCTTGGAGATCAGTTGCTTGAGCTCTACTATCCGCCGTTCTTCCTTAGTCCTAGTGGCTCCTATGATGTGCAATTCGAGTTCTTTCGACTCGTGTCTGGGTGATAGAAGTCGTGGAAGAACCTTCCAGGCGGTTAACGTTGCCAACATCCTCTTCATCTCCAATCACAATAACTGGCTGGTACCGGGTTTCTGTGCTCCGATGCTTTCTCTGGCGAGCCCGTGTTTGGACTGTGGAACGGCCGCCTGAAGATGTAGACCGGGCTGAAGCTGCTTCAGGATCCGCTAGGCGTCTGTTCTCCTCCTTCCACTAAGATGGGGCGTTCAGCGTCTCCTCCATCTCGCGCAAATAGATATTTTTCTGTCCTCCGCCGCGAACCTGGCGCAGCGTCAGCATTTCCAAACCCTCATCGCAACGACAAGGGTAGACTTGCATGCATGTAGCGTCAGGTAGATTCATTATCCGCGAAATTCTGCTCCATGCAGCCTCCTCAAACCGGTGCCTAACAGTACCTTTCTCTACTGTGATAGCGTGGAGAAGTTCAGCTTCCTGCTTTAGCCTCTGGATCTCGGTGGATCTTGACATCCCGAGTAAAAGAGGCGGAAAAGCCTAAGCGGGGATTGCTGTCGTGAGAATTTACAGCTGTGGCAGCACCAAGAAGAAATTGTGAGGTAAAAGAAGGGCTTCAGAGAGAGAAACTGACACGCTTTGCGTTTCACGCGCGAGATGCAGATACAGTTGCTTGGCGTATGAATTCTCAGGCTACGTAGTAAGTTGCAATATGCCGCAGTCAGCTCATCTAATAGAAGCATTCGACAGGATGACGGAAAACCAATACAGCTTTAGACAGTAAGTTGGTTACCACGACCATACTTGTTAAGTTCAAATGCAGAGGCCTTTCCGGTAATGCAGAAGCTCCAGAGCAGGTGTGAATACAGCAACTTGCAATCATCTGAAACGGATCCTGTCGACTTCTCAAGGTGCGGAAGATTTAACATGATGAACAGCATCCAGGCAGGTCAGAGGACTTTCCTTCCAAACGGCAGCAATGTGCAATACATCGCCGAGAAGACGTATCACGGCCAAATTGACAAATTTCTGCCCTTATTCTCCCTCTCCCAGCCGTACGGTATCAAACACCTGCGTTATATTTCAGCCACGAATGAGCCCATGAAGTACATTTTCCTTCGCACATAGAGGCTCGCTGAGCTTTAACAAGGTTGAATAAAACTCTGCTCGGGTACGGTAGCACCATCAATGTCCTTTCCTAGAGCTATGAGGAGCTGCGCTTCAGCGTGGAGTACGTTGCACAATCTACCGACACCTCATGAGGGGTGTTGAAATTCTGCATGTCAAATGGCTAGCAATGTTAAGGAGTAGATGACATCGAAGAAGAAGAACTTGAAGTTCAAATAGAGCGGACAATGACCTTGGCAGTCCAGCCCAGATGCAGTCTAGTTAGGTTGCCGCCTGAAACAATCCACACGTTATTTTGGATACATGAATGGCAAACGCGCAAGCATCCACCAGTGGAGCGCTCAACAGCAGCTATCAACTTTATTTGAGGGTTCGGGTAAGTTAACGGCGAAAGCGCGGCGAGAATTGAGGGATGCCAAGGCAGAGTACGAGGAGGGAAGATAAACTTTCACGCACTGTTTGGAAATCTCGATCCATGATATGTATTGAGAATCAGACCAAACAGGCTATCAGGTGACCTTAACCAATCCGGCCAATAGCCGAGCCCGTGCCTGATCCAATGATGAAGCAAAAAGGTATCTAAGATATAACTGAAACGCCAGTACGGAGTAGTTACGACCCAATAGCAAGCATCAACCTCTATCCTCCGTGGCCAGCTGATTTGCTGACACCTAGTCCATTATTGCCCTACTTTTTGCAACAACGCATTTCCAATAGCCTTCAAGATCTCTGTCTGGGCAATCTCTGCGATATTAGACATTCTCGAGTCCCTACCGTCGACCGTAGGCTGCTTAGCCGGAAGAGGAGGAAGAGCACCGGAGCAAAGAGCACTCGAGGCTGGAGAGGAGGCAGCACCACCGTCGACCTTGTTTTGCTTCCGAAACCTCTTCTTCTTCTCCTTGCGTGTTTCTATATTGTCGTTTTTCTGCTTCTTTGACCATTTGGACTTCTTTCCCGCTGGTGCAGAGACTTGTGTTCTCTCTTCCGCCTCGGAGTCGCTAGTTGAGTTGGATGTATTATCGGATTCGTCCTCTTGTCTTTCTACCTCTTTCGCTATCTCGCGTCCTGATTTACCCCATTGGTCTTGGTGTCTTGGCTGTACTGCACCTGGCGCTGCTCGGACGGCGGTCTGAACCGCCTCAATTTCGCGGCAGAATGCTCCGCCTTGGTTCACGCAGTAATAAAATCGACTTCTATACGAGACGTTAGCCGTTGCTGATGAAAGCTACAAAAACAAGTATAGATCGTCCACTAACCGACAAGAAGCTTGAGTAAACTGCCCGTCCGCAACAAATCTAGCGACTTTCGGCCATTCAATTCTGCCGTTGGGCAGGGTTTGTACAGCCGCAACCTTGAAGAGTTGAAGATCGAGCTCCGAGTCGTCTGCCCAAAGCCTTGATCTTTTCATGTTGCGTGTATATCGTTGATATCTGGCGCAGTTCTAAGTCTGGGTACTGGGAAGAAGATGGTACTCCAATATCGTGTGATGTCACCATCCTAATGGAAGAGGAAGCGACATATTTATCTCCTCAAGTCGCGTCTCTCACTCCTGCCACCAGGAGACGCGACGTGATAGTAATTAAACAAAATGGAAGGAATTTTCAGTCATGACATGCTAGCCCGCGCCATAGCTTTTGATAGCTAGAAACGGGTTGCTGGTCAATGCTTCAAGTAATCTAAGGAGTACACCGTGTTCAGGTCAGGATCCTGCACATCGAACAACGAATTGACAGGAAAACTGGGTGCTGTACGGAGTACTCCGTAGTGCTTTCAATATTACAACTTGGCTGCCAAAACGACCACAGGGGTCTGCATTGGACAGAGCCGACTGTCCGAGGCTCTACGTAGTAATCGGCTCAATCTCGTACCAGATTAAGTATTCACTTTCCAGTGCCAAGCCAGTGTTCTGACAGGCAAGCCCCCAGATTTTCGGCTATCTCTGTGGGGATCCTTGTGAGTCTAGATAGCTAGTCCAGAAAATATCCAGATGGCTGGTATTCCAACTTTCGCGGACAGGGAGAAGTGCTTGCATCAAATTTTGATTGGTTGCTGTTAAGAGTTATTTTTGAGCCCGGCCATTTCTCGCTGTGGGGCCCACTGGTGATCTCAATGACAGGCAGACTTTCGATACACACTATGAGTCAGTCAGTACGAAGCACGAATGTGTTACGATTCATCACTGCAGCGAAGCTGAGATAGAGCTGTGGGTTACACAGCATCCAAGCACGAGGTAGATCGGAGACAAGCCCCTTTTTTTGGGCCCGGAGGCCCTGAAGCAAAATCTTGGCTTGACTGCATGCGGGGACGGAAGAATCTCGGTCCAGAATCTCGGTCTGACGGCCGCTAGAGCGTGGCTGGGTAGCTAGCCATCTCGTTTTAGCTATCAGCATTTAGTCTCTTAGACCATCTAACACTTAGGAGATTGAGATTGGGGAGGACAAGGCCTATGAGATAATATTACACCTCGTAAGTAGCACTTTAAGTACCTATAAAGATAAGGATCTAGTAACTAATTTAAGCATCAGTAGATGTTAACCCTTACACTATTAGTTGGCAGGTCAGCCTTTGTCCAAGCTAAGAAACCCTAGCAGCGTCACACTGTCCAAGGGGGTCAACTACTTTTGAAGCACGACTCCGTACGGAGTAATTGGATCCTTACTACGTACATAGTACAGACCCTGGCGCACTAAAAGAATTGAAGTCAGCACGAGCTTTTGCCAATATGGTGAAATCGATCGTACGATTCTTTTCCATTCCAATGTACTCCGTATCCCCTGACCTAATCTTGCAAAGTAGCGGTATCTCCCACAGAAATTGCATCGCTCTCCTAGCACTCAGGGATTGCTAGGAGACGACATGTTCAAGTACTATGTTTTCGTCACGACCTAATCATTCTACCTGATGCCAGCCCGCAGCCCCTGGTCCTGCTAATGTATTCCATAAGCTGATCTGGTAGGTTCTTTGCTGAGTCAATAATTCAGTGTGATGGGATGGCTAGGGAAGCGAATTTGACAGCAGCCGCAATCGGTGTTCAAATACGATGATAGTGTCTTTGGTCCCCTTCTGTGTGGTTTCCCTCATAACATAGCAGGTACTCGCCGAGAATAAAAGCACCTTCGTCTTCGAGAGAACAAGACACTTACCGAATGATCGATACTCTGGAAGTGAGTTCCACGGCAGAAGAGGGAAAGCTCCTGACGGGTGGCACGCCACAACGTTAACCTCCCAGACCGTCACCTCGATAGACCAATGGCGTAGCTAAACCTTGCATGTCTTCGACTGAAACATCCCATATTTTTTGACAACACTACATATTTGATGACGATGCATCAATGATGTCTGTGTGACGGAAAGCCACCATGCAGACGGGCAGCGGCCGCACGTATCCGAGTGAGGGGATCCGAAGACCGCTTGATATTGAGGCAAGGAAGGCCATCATGCCGATTACTTGCAATTGGGTACGTCTCTCAGAATGTGATATGATGCAGGTGAAGGACGAAGCAGACTATTCAAGGTTTGCCCCTCTGGTCCCAGAAACTTCTTTGACACACAAAGTCTGGATATTAGTAAGAATAGTCTCAGAGACGAAATCAGGGCATGGAAGTCAGATGGATCCTGCAAGCGCCCGCCATAGTAACCTGGCGGTCTTATGAGATTCGAGCATTCAGTTGACTTCGGGTAGAGAGCTGGTTGATGAAGGGACTGGAGGAGTTAGGTGTTGTTCAAGCGTGGCTCGAGATTTGGACTCGGTACCTGTGACAAAGACTATTCCATCTGATACGACGAGTATCGCTTGAATCAGAGAAGTATCCATGCCAGGTCATGCTGCAAATGCGCCCCTCCCCCTCCCCCCCCATGCACGTGACTGTCCTTCCAAGGCTATGTGAGATATATCTCAGTTCACGAACATAGCATATGCGGAATGAATACGGCGCTACTTCTGCTTCGAATCAAGCAGGACTGCAACTGGTTTTACAAAGTTGAAAGTGTTCGAAACTCTTGTTGTTGCTACCTACCTGCTAGGCTGGCACGCACTTGAAGTGTTTGTTTTCTGAGATCTCATGCCTTCCGCTTATGTCATTACTGCTCACGCCCACCATTTGTCTTCACGAAGGCGTGATCTTTCAAGTCGAAGTTGAGTCAAAGAGTTGAATCAATAAGGCCAGCCTCTTGTCCTACGTGATTCCCGCTTTCGTCTCCAATCATCGTTACCTGAGAATGCCTGTGGTTAAGAATCTGTGAGACAATGATATGCGGCTGAAACTCTGCTTCGCTGTACTTAAGCCAATGAACTTTATGCCTAAGAAGTGGGGGCACATCTGTCAATCACTTGGTCCGGCGTATTCTGAAAGACACTGCAAGTATGGTGACTATCTTTCGACTGTCCGTTCACAAGCTAAGGTGTGTCAGAAATGAATGGAAGAGTTTGATGAAGGAGGAGGCCGCAGAGCCATCTTCAACAGTCCCAGCCCCTCTTCCCGGGAATTCTATATCTTCGACGACTATCAAGCAGCCTGACGATGACACTTTCGACGATCATGATGAGGAAATTGAAGCACTGCTTTCTGACCCCAAACACGAAAGCCCTAGGTCTTCTTGCAAGGCAAAAACGCCTGCACCTGTCGAGCAGTCCCCCAAAAAGAGGAAGGGCAAGAAAGTTGCAGCAAATACATCAAAAACCTTGAAGACTAGAACGGAAGAACAGTCTGATGATAACGAAGAAAACGATGAGGCGGTCTCTTCACGTAAAAAACGTCGAAAAACCGACAACGATGATGCTAAACCGGAGAGGGAAGATACGAACAGCAACAGCTTCCGTAAGACTGCTCTGAAAAGGGATGATGGTCATACACTGGTCAAGCCTTATATCGACTCATATCGTCCATCGTATGAGGATAACCGGATTCGCTACGAGAGTAATGGGTCCGTCATTCGGCCGAATCCAAGGCATAATACGCAATATTTTCAGAATGCCCGACAGGGTCCGAAAATACCTGAGGTACTCGACACGCGGCAGCAACCAGAGTCGGGTGCACGAACACCATATCATGGTGGCAGAGAAACACATCCTCCGAGGACTCCAGGACGACAGAACATTGAACTCTCACCACCCCAGCATAATCCTCAGGGTCCGAAGAATCCCCAAAATCAGTACAACCATTCAAAACAAGCTGGCGGAGCAAGATGTCGAGCTTGGTCTCCTGCGAATCGTTCTAGCCAGAATTCCGGTTCGAAGACTCCTGGGTGGAACCAAGCCAGCCGTGCCTATGAAGACGCTGGGTCAAACACTCCTGGTCAGTCCCAAAACCATCGCCCTACTTCGGCTCCAAGGGGTCGGACTCCAGGTTACTTCGTCGACAACGAATCTAGTCACTCCTGGAAGCATGGAAAGTCGCATTTCAACTCGCAACAAAGACGCAACGAGAACAACCAAAACCCCAACAACCAGCGACAACCATCCTCTAAGCCGACGTTTACCGGTGGAACCCACCATCGCTTCAAAGACGAGCAAGATACCGCGCTGTTCGTTTCTCCATGACGGTTTGTAACATGTCCGGAGTTGGGGGGATGTCGAATTTGTGCAGTAAAATTGTGCAATCGGTCTGGTAGGAACAAGCTCTGCGATAGCCCGTAAGGTCTGAACACTGAGTGCTGAGCATACGAGTTTCGCTCTCAATGTATTGATTGTTGCGGGAGGAGACGGTGCCGCCTTCGAAGGTTCTACATGAGGTCCACACTTTTCCTGTGCCTACTTTCAGTCAACCAATGTTTCCATAGACGAACACGGGCTTCTCAAAAATCAAGTCGGATCAGCTTCCGATCTTCCACAAGCCTTGCTCTCGGTTTGTGAAATAAATTCTGCGAAACACTTCCTCATCAACCTAGAAGCTTCCACCATCCACATAGCCAGCGTTCATCCACTTTCACTCTCTTATAACATCAACTTCAATCCCACACATACATCTCCAACCACGTTCACACATACTTCAACACATCGCTACGCCCCCGTCACTTGCACTACCCAACAACAAACACCCTCCCTATCATCGCCAAAATCCAGCATGTCGACCGCGTCACCAAGCAAAGAAATCACCCCCTCCGACGCCGCATATCTAGTCCAGTATCTGCAACACGGCAGTTCGTCCGTCGTGGTAAGTATTTCAACCATCTCTTCCCTGCTGTATATCCCTACTTTCAAGATTTCCACACCTCTCTCCTCCAAGTCACCCCGATAAAGGCACTTAGCACCGAGCCTACTCTCATCATCTGCCAGTCCCCCATTCTTTCCCGCTCATTTTCATTCATCATCACCTCAATTCCACCTGTCTTCTCCACCCCTCCCCCCCCCCCAAACAGAAAAAAGCCTCTCCACTTTCCCCCCCAAAAAAGCCACCCTGCTGACAACAGACGTCACCTTTGCCTTTTTGTTTTTCAGCTCAACGTCCCCGCCATAGCCGCCGCGATGAACATAAAACCACACAACGTGACGTGCCGGATCAGCAATTTCCGCAAGAAGTACGGCTTGAATATCGCTTGTACCAGTGCTGGCTCCGCTGCTGCTGCTGCCGCCGGTCCGACTGGTAAACCCGGAAAACCCGACAAGCGGGGCACGGGTGGAGGTGGAGTGTTGACGGGGAGGGTGGCAAAGGCCAAAACTGGAACTGGCGCTGGTGCTGGTGCTAGTAGAGCAGGGAAGGGGAAGGCGAGCAAGGGGAAGAAGAAGGCGGTTCGAGAGAAAGAGATTTTGGAGCACCTGATGCACGGTGATGATGGGGATGGGGATGGAGAGGAGAACGGAGCTGAAAGCGAGGCCGACACCGATGAAGAGGCTGGAAACGTTGAGGTGGACTTGGGGAAGAAGACCAAGGCCAAGGCCAAGGATGTGCATGTTGAGATGGATTCTGACGGAACCGGAGATGGAGCGGAAGAGAGGATCGTCAAAGAGGAGCAATATTGAGGACCCCGGTGGGTTGGAGACGTTGCGATCTGCCTTTTATTTGGGGGGATCGGACGTATGACTTGAATTTCTCAGTGGTAGCGGTGCGTGCTGAAGATTGGTAGGCTCCCTTGATATGGGGATGGTGGCCCTCCGGCCCGTGAGGAGCTTGCGCTGAGCCTCGATGATTAGAATCAGTGTACTATCCAGTTGGCCAGCAGGACACGCAAAATCTCAAAAGACTCATCACATTCAGCAATGAGGACGCAAAATCCCGGGACTTCTTAATCAGTGGAAGAAGTTGAAATTCGCATGATTCTTGCATGATGCGCCAGACTGAGTGGGGGTATCTGAAGTACAAAACAAAAACCTTCCGCCCCTGTACACCTTGCTTGATGCTTTACCGATCAAATCCGTAAAGAGCCTCGTCAGTTCGGTAGCGAGAGATCTTCAACAGATCAGAGTCAAACAACTTCAGTAGAGTGCCATAAGAGTCTTCTTCAACTTAGCACTTTCCTGCTCATACTTCTCGATCTTGCTCTGTGACGCATCTGCCTTAGCAAGCAGCCATTGCACCCTACTCATGAAGCTCGGTCGGGCATTCGCCTCTTGTAGCAGCTTCAGCTCATTCTCGTATTTCTCGATATTCTTGGTCTCAATCCCAACCAGTTGCGTGTAGACTGCTAGATCCATTCTGCTCCTCAGGACCTGGTCCTGGGTCAAGTACTTGAAGGCAGCTTGGTAGACTGGTCTGCCTGGCTTGATTGCATGAGGCCGACCATTAGATGATTCGATGGTGATCAATTCAGCGCTCTCGAGTGCCTGTAGGGTGGACTCGCCGCCGTCTTTGTATATCTCGGAGAGTAGAATCTCGTTGTACCGCAAAGTTTCTTCGTCGGCGAGCTGGCTAATGAGTATCCAGGCCTGTTGTGGTGTCCATTTCCTAGTATGTGCATCCCCATCTAGAATAAACATTTTCAGAATTTCGGAAGCAGATTGTTCGATGATCTCCTGAACGGCTTCTGTGGACCAAGTCAGTACTCACGCATAGACTTTAAGAACGGATTCCAACACACTCTTGGGTGATTCGCCAGTCTTGATCCTGCGAGCCAAGAATTCCAGATCTGTAAGTCGTCCTCCCAGAATGTTAATGGTCTCGTCAAGTTCATCAAGATGGGATTGAGCTTGCGCTTCCAAAAGCGGCTGGTCTCCAGCACCATCCTCTGCATCCCGTTCCAGATGCCTTATTACGAAACGCTTCGCGGTTTCTGGCGAGCAGTCGCTCAAGATGATCTGGCGGAAAACTCGATCCGGAAGTGCCTTACTCAAGGATTTGGAGAACGAAACATCATTCGTCAAGAAAATAACATGAGCAATGTTGGTAGTAGTCAGTGCCGCGGCCCATTCCGCGATCTTGTCGTAAACGAGATGGCTTTCATTAGCCTTGTGTAAGAAGTTATCTATGACCACAACGGGACGGCGCTCTGGATGTGCCTCCAGGTACTCGTCATCACCTAGATCAGCATCCTTATCAGTTTTCTTGCGACCCGACAATGCGATTTGTTTCAACGCTGTTGCGGTGTTTCCCCATATCTTGGCTAACTGCGTGTCGAGAGTCTCGGAGAAGCCTGTCTTGGTACCAATCGTGCCTTGTGCAGCCAAATCAATCAAACTACTGATACTATTCAGCCAAGAGAAGACTGGCTTGTAACCGACCTGAGCAGCTGCGGTGGAAATTGTTGCACTGTCCCCTCTAGCCTCTTGTATAGGCTTGCAGTCAATGACCAACTTGTACTTACGATCTTCGAGTGCTTGGTCCAAAACCAGTTCCCTTTTACCCGAGCCTCGTGGACCTTGAATAACAATGAAGGTGTCAGCGGTCTCGATGAGCCATGTCCTCAGCTGGTTGATAGCTCCTTGTCGATCTTCAAACAGAACCTCAAGGCTGTCATCGTCCTGCTTGCGTCTTCCAAACCGGAATATGTCGTTGGCGCGATTGACCTGGTTCCGTACCCATTGACCGACCATGTTCCCCTCCAAATGGAATGCTTGCGTGATATGAGTTTTGATGAAGAATGTACGTATTGGGTCAAAGATTGCGACTGTTAGAGCAGCCACCAAAGCTGCGACTGCAGGAATAACAATCCTTGGATGATTGAATAGCCAATCCCGGATCCAGTGTGTTTTTGCTTTCTGCTCAAAAGAGATCTTCAACAATGTGCCAGACGGTCCGCCTCCTGCTTCGGGGAGAATTTTAAAGCCGTGCATGCAATTCTTGGCCATGACGCCGAACCTGACCCTGGTATAATCGACCACTGCGTACCTAGGAAGGACTTTCGAGTCTGATGGCTGGGCTTTGATATCTGCAATCTTGCCATATCGACGAAACAGTGAAAAAATGGTCTCCTGTGTCAGTTCCGCTGCCGAAGCTTCAGGAGACGACGCGAGGAATTCCACCCTCAGCCTGGCGCTTGGTATTCTATACAGGTCCTCGATCCACGGTCGGCCTTGAACCAAGAATGCACGGACCCTCCGCATCGGATTGAACCATGGGTTTATAGGATGTTCTTTCAAATACTTCTTCAAGGTGGTTTCCAGCTCTCCTTTTGAAACAGTTCCGTCGTGTGAGAATTTGACAAAGGCGCCACCTTCTTTTACTCGGGGCAGAACGTCAGTGACTTGCATTGGTAATGAATCGGGTAGTGCCCGATTGATGACCGTCATTGGGTCGGCAGCGGCAAGGTTTGGGTTGTTCACTCTCTTGAGTAGGGCCGGAATCGATCGATCAACGTTGAGGAAAGGGATGCGCATGAGCCATTGGAGCCTCAGTGGGAAGATATCTACACAAGTGTGTTAGTTTGAAATAAGTCTTCTGAGCTGTGCCTCGTTCGTACTGTCAAAGAAAAAGATGCCTTCGTTGGGACCAGCGTTGATATGGCCAGCCTTGTTTTCTCCTGCCTCGAGTGTAGCACACCTCCGGCCCCATGCCTTTCCTGTCCTGGCTTGCCTTCTTGGACGATAGCCGTTCGCGGTGAAGAAATACTGTCGTCTGGGGAGAGGCATGAGCTTTGTCGTTGTGGGCATCCTACCGAAGTAAGACAGCCCGATCATGGTTGAGCACCTGTTGGAACAGCTAGTAGAAGACGCATTCCGCAGGCGCCCGCTATTAAAGAGATGCTAAGGGATATTATCTGGACTGAATCACAGTTTCTTCATCTTGGTGTAACACTGATGCTGTTCTGCTATACCGAGCAGATACTCCAGACGCGGAGCAAGCTCGCGCCACACTGTGACAGAAGTTGGGATTTGTGGCTAATTGACCTACCCGAGTCGTCACACAAAGCCACACCCAGCTCCCAGCCGAAAATACCAAGATCCTCAACCCTGTTCTTGCGTGCAGCTTCTGCTAAGCGGGAAGAGGCCATCGTAAGACAATTCCAGGTTAGCTATGAAAGTGCACTTAGATTATGCCTTTCTGTTAGATTGCTTAGAGTGTACAAGGATGCATAGCTTGGTCGTGCATGACCCGATAAGATCCCAACATCTACAACGTATTTTGCCCAAAATATGGCCATAGTATGACCCAAATATACTTATTTACCATACCATTTTGATTCTTATCTGACAGAATAACTGCCTTTCCCACTAACGGCACTTAGTCCATATCTTTAGCCGAATCACTTCCACTTCCAATTGAGACTCGTTCCTCAAGCTTCTGTGCAACTATCTCAACTTGCAGCTCGTATTCAAATCTGCTCAATGCGAAGAATTCGCTATAGCATCCGTCGTGTACTAGGTCTTGTGTGCGTCTGGTGAACTCAATAATGTGCAAGTTCGGAAGCTCGATAACATCTTGGTCTCGTTGTCCGATGTAGTTGTTTCGTCCCTCCACTGCTTCTCAAGTCTTTTCTCAGCACACCAAATGTTTCGTATACGCAGCTCAACGGCTTAGGTAAGACTCTCGTAGTCACAGAGATAATACCCCTAATCATGCGACAGTGAGAGGTGACTGGAATGCAGATGCTCCCGTAGTGCAAAATCGTCGTCTACCGCACCATGCATGGTTTCCGGCTTTTAGACTACTCATCTTGGCCTGCCTTGAAGATGTACAAGGTCAGCCCTCGATGCCAACCTCTGGAGCCCGCCGTGAATACGAAGGCATGGACCCAGGGCAAAATGGCTCATGCGGACCGGGGACAACAACCCTCGTTACAAGATCACGCGATCTTTTGCAGATATATCTGGAAAGTCGAGGTCAAGTCAAGAAAAGACCGTACAGAGCTGTTGAAGTACAGTCCCAAAACAGTAATTCCGGCTGCGCTTACACTCGCGAGCGTGAGCTCTGGAATCGGCCAGACGATTTGCTGGTACCCGATAGGCCTGAACATGTTGTGTAACTGGGAGCATGCAACGTCAGACCCAGTTTGATGGCACGAGCCCTACTCCGTACGTACCCATGTATGCAGGGAAAAAGAACAAGGGGGGTGAACAGAAGAATCAGGAGGCCCAGACTCTCAGGGAAGAATATTCGCGCACTGGGCACTGGGCAGCGAGCCACTACCGGGTGCCAACCAAGAAGAGAGATCTAGCGCAAAGTTAAGCCGGTCGGTTCTCTGGTGACGATGTACCGATTTCGTTGCTGTATTTCGTTTATCTGGCTTCTCTAGCATCTTTTCCCCAATATTTTACCTCATTTGCTGGGAGGAGATTGGTCAATCCCTATTTTGCAACAATCTTGATTGGACACTCAAACCCATTTCTCGGCAGCACCGAATATTACTAGTAGTTAATAGTAACTACGTACTATGTAACTGCCGACAGAAAGCGACCAAGTCTCCGGGGAGGGAACCTGCGCTAGCTCATGCGCCAATATTCGTCACGCTTCAAGTTCAAGCTGCCGAGAGCTTCTGCCAATTCTCCACTCCACATACTACTACGGTAGGAGGCATAAATATTGTTGGCTCCAAGCTAGAAATTTGGTAAGTGACACAGGATTGACGAAGATACATCTTACTAAAGGAGTATTAGTCCGGTTGGCTCCTAGGCCAGTGCCAATCATTATCATCCCTAAAGGGTCAAAGATTTACTGGCGCCCTAGGGGACGCCGGGCCCTCGTACCGAAAACTAGCTAGTACTAATCTACGCTAACATACTTATGCCTCCTACCATAGTAAGTCTGTTCGACAACCAGCATCGCCATCAATCAATACTTGCCTGCCGCGCAATACTTCTTCCATCATTGGCTGAGCAGCGAACTGAAATTGATTTGGATTTGCCAGCGCCTTGGTGTGGCGTCTATGTGGGCCGAATCCACCGCTTGCCAAGCACTCTACTGATGGAATTACGTGCCCGTTCGAGTTGCCCCTTGGCCGGGTTGGAGCTGCCAGCAATCCAGACTTTGGTATATAGTGCTCATGGCTGCTGCACATTCGTTCTGAGACTCGGCACTCCATCTCATCTCCCATTCTCACACCGCTGAACACCGTCATCATGCTCGTCAACCTCTTCTTGCTCATCGTGGCAGCGAAAGAAGCCCTAAGCTGTGCACGACATGACAATAGTCAACGCCATCCGCATCTAGGCAAACGCCAGACTACGACTAATCCGGGACGTGCTGTAACAGACTGGCGTTATGAGGCGTCCTTCAACTGGGGCCTCCTCAATCCAAGTGTGTTGTTCTTCTCTGGAACTATGGCGGCGCAATGCTACCCTCGGATACTGACTGCTCTCACTAGACTACGCTCTATGTCAACAAGGAACTCAGCAATCTCCAATCGCGTTAGGTTTGAATCAAGGCATTTCACAGGCCCACCAACCATATTTCGAGGGTTATACTGGAAACGTTACGGGTAATTATTTCAACTGGGGCTATGGTCCGGCCTTCACTTTATCCCATCCCGAGGATGAATACACGGGTCTTCCCAGCATGACCTTCGACAACGAAACGCTCTATCTTCGTGGATGGCATCTTCATGCTCCTGCCGATCATAGCGTTGGGGGCGACCGGTCGAAAGCCGAACTGCATATGGTGCACGTGAACGAGGAAGGCGAGGAGGGTGCCGTGCTCGCCATTCGCCTTGATCCCGGTGCCTCTCCTTCGCCCTTTTTTGCTCAATTGCCACCAATGATTGGCTTCAATGACACCACGCAAATCATGGGAGTGGATATCAATCCGCGATTGGCACTGGGCGGCGTGAATGAGTTCAACGAATTTTGGACGTATCAGGGAAGCTTGACAAGTCCACCCTGCAAAGAAGGTATCAGGTGGTTTATCGCTCGATCCATCTTGTTCACCAGTGTCGATCAGATGAAAGAGATTTTAGGAGCGAGTACATATTCGGCGAGGGCGGAACAGGAAGTGTGGCTGCATCAGATCAACGTCTGATGACATTCTGAGCTAGAAGCAGTGGTTGGAGACTATGAACTCGGTTGTCTTTCCTGGCACATCCAGATCCTAGCCACGTCCCTTTCAGGGGTTTCTTATCAAGTAAATGGAACAAGATATGTATATAATCATATATATGTGTGTATATATATGAAAAACTGAGGAACACGTTCACCTGAAGATGCTCTAGTATTGGTTGATCCGTGATGGGTCCGTGATGGGTCCTCCACTGTATGCGATGATCCCTTGGGCCTTGGGGACAGTAAGGCTGGAGGATAAAATCATCGTGAAAACCACCACCGAGATACATACCCTACCATGATTCATGGGTGTGATCAGTACCAGCTTCTCAACCCAAACACGTAACGAAAACGTGGCCTGGACCACTGCATTGCATGATCGGCCCACCTTCCTAGCTGCTTGTTGATTACTCTGCATTGCATGAGTATTACAAATCCTTGGCTATTAATCCGGTAGAAGAAAGGGTGTGACACCAAAGTATGGAGGATGCACAGGCATACCCAGGAGCTTCAATTGTATTGTGCAGAAACTGGTCTAAGAAGGAACCTCTGAGTTGGGTTTTGTTACCAGTCATAGAAATGCAAACACGCCAAGTTTATACTACGTCAATCGCTTAATGGCTACTCTTCTGGCGTGATGTAAGCTGGAGTTCATGTATCTCTTCGTATCGGAGTTTTGTGGTGGTAGTACCACAACAGTACTCAGCAAGGCAAAGTCAATGGGTGTAAGAAAAAAGTAGAGGTATGGGAAAAGAAGAGTTCTATGATGTCATGTCTGGAGACAGGGTGTGATTGAGAGGAGGATGCTGCCCATTTGTTATTGACGATGAATGCGTGGTCGTAGGGTGTGCAGCGAAAAGGTTGACCTTGAAGAGTTGGCTGTCGGAATGAGCGCGCTTGCTGAGGTTAAGTAGGGGTTCAGACCCGACTCCTTTCAGTGCTGTCGATTGTCAAATTGTTTTACGTGGTACGCTTCTTTGAATGCGGAGAAGGGTTTTCCGAGGAACCGGCGGCCCCTGGATGACCAATTCAGGGGTCGCTGAAATTTTTGGATCCTTGAAATCAAACCAATTTTGGCCGAAATTTACGAAAATTTATAATAGAATTCGAGATGAATTTTAGATGCAGCTCAAAGTGCTCTGTAATCTCAATATGCTGAAGGCGGCCCGTTTCCAGCGTTTTCGATACAACAAATGAGAGCTATATTCGTCGAAGCAGTTGAGGGTGTTGATTCTCGCGGCGGTATTCAGATACTACGTAAGCAAGCTTATGTCTGATAAGATTCAATCGCTCCCTACTACTAGTCCGAAGTAGTAGTATCTACGTCATCATCGGAGTATCTTCGGAAATGTTGGTGTACTAACTTTAGTGCAATGAAGACCAGTTTCACCACTCGACAAGTCCTAAACATCCCTCTCAACACTTGACCCTCCAGAAGCGCAGTTGATTAGCGCTAGCCCCCAGTTGGACTAAGATAGGCCACAGATCCGTGTAGGATTGGGCTTGGAGATGGTCTATTCGAGTGCATGATGGTGAACGGACCCCTCGAGTCCAACTCTCTCTGTGATTGAGATGCTCTCACCCGCAAGTTTCACAGCCTGTATAAAGATGGGGCCAAGATGATCACGACGTCAATATAAGGGGGCCCACCTCTCCATCTTCTTGAATCTTCCACGACGACCACAAGCCCAAATACCCCAAATACCAGTACTGACAAGCCACTAACCACGAAGAAGACAAATACACACCACAACAAGCCCTATCCCACATCACCTTCTTTTCAAAGCCGACTACCATGCCTCCACCAACCAAGCAAGTAACCCGCGACTCTCTCCTTCCCTCCATGCGCCTCGCCCCGGACGCCTCCCCCCAAATCTACCGCCTCACTCCCACCACCGTCGCCAAAACCGGCGACCTCGTCTCCCTCTCCGAAGCCGCGGTGATGCGCCTCGTGCGCTCCAAGACCTCCATCCCCGTCCCCCAAGTCTTGGACGCCTACATCCGCACCGAGGACGGCAGCGGCCACGGCTGCATCATAATGGAGTACGTCGAGGGCGAGACGCTCGACAAGGCCTGGGAAGCCTGTACCCCGACGCAGAAGGACGGCATCGTGAAGCAGCTGAAGTCAAGACTCGCGACCGATGGGCCGAGAACCTATGGTACAGCTTGTACCGCCTTCAAAAGAAGAAATCATACGCACGGTCTTTGAAGCCGGCCTGGCCCGCTCGTTGAGGGAACGGCGCCAGAACACCTGGATCGACATGGTGTGTCGCTTCATCGACGCGCTGCCCCACAACCACCAAATCGTGCTCACGCACAACGATCTGGCCCCGCGGAACATCCTGGTGCGGGAGGGGAGGGTGGTGGCCCTGCTGGATTGGGAATTGGCCGGCTTTTATCCCGAGCATTGGGAGTACGTCAAGACGCTGTTCTGGCCGGAGTGGAATTCTAGCTGGATCAAGGATGGCATTGTGGATCGGATTCTGGATCCTTATACCCTGGAACTGGCTTGTCTGTTGCATGCGAGGGATATCATTTGGTGATAAAAGAATGTAGATTGTTGTCTAGCTGACGGTGATAGAGAGTGATCTGGATACAAGCAGATATTTTTCTAAAATGAGGGACAAAAACAAAATCCGCTCGAGATCCTCCTTCTCGACCGAATTCAGCCACGTTCTGTCTCCCGACCAGCAGGATCCTTGAACCATCCTCCACTACATGTCAACCTCCGCTGTGATTCCTGCATCTCTACCTACGTCGCAAGCCGGACTTGCCCAGCCTTTGGCTGCGGGCGGGTCTCACTTTTTGAGAGGGCTGGACGTCTTCTTCGGCGGAGGGCTGGGCGTCTTCCTTGGGGCCGGACTCGGGGTGCGGGAACGTCCCAGCTGTTGCGGGGCGGGTGATTCGCCGCGAGGAGGAGTCGAAGGACCAGCAGCACCCTGGATGGCTGGTGGGGGCACGGGGTTTTTAGCACGATAATCCGAAGCCGCTTTGCCCATGCGCACGTTCTGGTTGAGACGTGCGGCATTCCCGGGGAGGAGGAGGCCTTTGTTCTCCAGTTCGGCGACAACGGACACGACGTAGGTTTGGCATTGTTGGGGCACGATGCGTTGGGCGGCGGCTTTGACCTTGTTGACGTCGGCGGGGGTGATGGTGCCGAGTTTCTCGGTCGAGGCGATGCCGCGGCTGTTGAAACGCTTGCCTGCCTCGATGCTGACTTTGTAATCGGTGCGCTGGGTTGGTCCGCCTGTGGAGTGGTACCAGGTGCTGGCCATGGAGCCCTCGCTGCGGAGCAACAACATCCAGTGAGGCGCGTTCTCGTCTCGCTGGACGCAGAGGGCGAGGTAGACCTCGATGGGGAGTTTGGGATCGAACGCCATGGTGGGATAGTGAGGAACTGTTTTTGAGTAGGGTAGAATGGTACAGCTATTGTGATAGAGTGAGTTGTCTTGTCGAGAGAGTCCTTAGCGGAATCTCCATCTCTTCTTTATACTGCCAGTCTCCAACTTGCACAGTCATCGAGAGGATCTGGTCTCCCCGAGGTCGAGACCTGCTGCGTTTTCCTTGCACTTGAGAAAACCCTTCTTACAGATCCTCCGTCTTCCATGGCTGCTGATGAGAAGGCTCCCATTCTCGGTTACACTGCGATCAGTACTCCCAATCCCCCCCAATGCGGACTAGCGTTTGGCCCCCATACCCACACCAGGATTACGAGTAAGGCCTTGAAACTCCAAGGCAGCCCTGCACCTCGTTGGCACCCGGGGGAACCACATCGAGCGGTCGTCTGTATGTGACAGAGGATTCGTTGCAGAGGTGATGCTCTGACATGTTAGACGCTTCAAGAGGGATTCCTGCCAGGATCAGGGGTTGAGACTCGTGCTGGCCCAGCTCGGCCCTAATTCATGAGCTCTAACATAAAGCCCAACAAGTTGGAGAACATACTCACCAAGAGAGAGCATCGTGAAGTTCCAAGTCTTCAACAAAAATATATAAGTCGACCAGCGGTTCCTTCAGAGAGGCAAAAGGGAAGACTGATAAATACCGGAAAGCTGACCACCTCGCCCATTCTGCCAAGATGGCCAATCAATCTCCTTCAGATCGTTCCAAGAAGACTGCTTCCAGTCGTTATCCCGAAGTCCTGGTCAAAGGCCCAGCCAGTGGTGTCCACCAACAAAGCTTTATCATCCTTCATGGACGGGGTTCCGACGCCCTGACATTTGGCGCAGTGCTTCTGGAGACCCCAATTCCTGGTTATGGCAACTTAGCCAGCGCATTCCCTAATGCCAAGTTTATCTTTCCTACTGCCTCGAAACGTCGCGCAAGAATTTACAAACGCTCGCTCATCAACCAGTGGTTCGACAACTGGTCTCTTGCGACGCCAGAGCAGTATGAGGAACTCCAGAATGACGGATTGCGCGAGACAAGCAAGTATATTCATGGCTTGGTGAAGGCGGAGGTGGAGAAGGTGGGTGCAAGCAATGTGGTGTTAGGAGGATTAAGTCAGGGGTGCGCGGCCAGTCTGGTGTCGCTGTTGTTGTGGGAGGGAGAGACGTTGGCGGCGGGTGTGGGCATGTGTGGGTGGCTGCCATATCGAAAGAAGATGGAAGCTGTTCTTAGAAACAAGGATATAGGAGCGTCCAGTGAGGACGAAGATGAAGATGAAGGTGATGATATCTTTCAACGGGCTGGCGATGATCAGAACGAACCAGGAGAAGCTGCCCAAGGAGACAAAGAACAAGAGTCGAACGAGCTCAACGACTTGACGGCAGCAGCAACCATCAAAACAGACACCTCCCCAGTGATCAAAGCAGTGGAGTTCTTACGCGATGAGATTGAGTTCCCACGGACCACGCACGCAGCAGCGCCGGCAGACTTGAAGCTGCAAAATATTCCACTTTTCCTAGGTCATGGTGTGCTAGACGAGAAAGTTTCCATCGATCTGGGCCGTTCGGCGGCAGGCTTCCTGGAGGCCATGGGGGTTGATGTTCAGTGGAAAGAATATGCCAGTCTAGGTCATTGGTATTCGGAAGACATGTTGCGGGATATGGTACTCTTTCTGGAGGCACGCACGGAGTGGAAAGTTCATCGATAGGACAAAGATAGATGTCAAGGCTGTATGGCGGCTGTCGGCCGGTTCTGCTACTTGGATACCTATTATTCGCCTGCATTTGATTGGTCAGTTTCTTGTACAATTCTGGAACAAACTCGCTGTATGGAGTACCATGTAGCCTATTTGTACGTATTATCTACGCTCTCAACTCCCTCGTCACTTAGATAGAACTGCGTGCCTCCTACTCATACTAGGAGGCAGCCTGTCAGTTACTCAGCACTCAGCACGTCAATTTGCTCCATCCACGAATGCAGCCGTCTTACCTACCTTGCAGTCTTTTGTCACGGCCCCAGCCCCCAGACCACAGCTCTAGGCCTGCCCTCAAACCATCCTCCCATCGTTCTTCTCCAATTCCTTACTTCTTTCCTTGTTTTTCTCGTCTTACAGCCAAAGAAAACAAAACAAAGAAAACAATCTTCAGGTGCAAGGGCATTGTTTGCCACAAAACCATTGTCTTCCAGTTCCATTATTCCACCTCTTCAGCAGGACTTGCACGTTGAGACGTAAAGGAAGCCTGCTAATATTTTCCCATTATAAATTCCTCTCCTTCTCCAGATGCAACCTCTCACTACTCCTACACCCTAACCACCAAGCCCACAATACATCGAATCACTAACAATCACCCCCCACCCAGCTCTCAGCATGCCTCCCCCAACCACAACCACCTCAAGCCCCAACGCAGCCTCCTCAACCTCGTCCCAACTCCCCTCTCCCCCACCCACGCCCCCTTACACGCCACCACCCACCCCCGCACCTACCAGTGCCTCCGGGTGCATTCCGAGTACGACTGCGGCCACGAACTCCCCCAGATAGTGCGTGACCCGCGGTGCTGGAAGTGCCACGAGAGCCAGCCGCGTCTCTGCCGACCCTCGGATTGGGACATCGGCGCCGACGGCCTGTGTCCGGATTGTGAGACACGGTGAGACGGGGCGAGGAGCGGGCGCGGCTGAGACGTTTGGCGAGGGGATTGGGGAGCTGAGGGAGAGGGCAAATGAACACGTGAGTTCTTTGTGTCGTTTTTTTTTTTTACTTTTGTTGTTTGCAGGTCTCCTTGTCTCTTGTCCCTCCTGTGGGAAGTTACGAGGCACGAGGATAAGTATTCATGCTGCCCAGAAATCTCACCTCGTTCTTTTGCTTTCGCTTCGGGCCTCTGCTGCTTCATGCATGGCCATAAGTACCTGGTGGGCTGGAGCTTCTGATTTGCGGGATAGAAAATGCTTCTGTCCTTCCATCGATCCAGGCCTGTCTCCTACAATAGCAATAGAATATTACAACACTACCTAAGTTGAATCAATCCTGATACCCAAATAATAAATGCGCTCATTCTACGTCAAAACACCGCTGGCCATGCACAACTTGAAGTGGACGTGGTTGGACAGTGCTCTATGATCTGATGCCCCCCCGGATCACGCTGTGCTTCTGGTGGAGTGGCAGGCGCTTATGGAGCTTGCTCTGGTACTGGGGTGGACTGCTGGTGACGCACTGCTCTTGAAGTATCCTGTCTTGATTCCTTCACCAATAAGCGCGGCAACTTCTGACTTTCTAACGATAACTAAGAATGGAACTGCATCTAGGCTGCCCGTTGTCGAGTATTGACTTACTTACTAGTTAAGTAAGCCTGAACCTCTTCTACGCTGCGCGTTTCTTCGAGAGGTCATAGCATATACGCACAGCTGGGATGGCAATCGACCACTTGTCGATTTCGGGGGCATCTCTCAGCCCCCCACGGCAATGGTGACACACTCGCCTGGTTCGGGCAGTAAGTAACTAGGGTCAAGGGGGAGTGATAACTGAGTGGTGGTGGCTAAGAATCCTACCGGACCATTTATGTACGTAGTAAGTAAATATCACCTCTCAACCGCGTGCTGTGTAAGAACTTGCAGGGTTAAATATCCCCTACACGATTTCCAAGACCTTCCGCGTAAAGACTCCGTACAACTTGAAGTATACGTAATACACATTCAAAGCTCCGGGAGACCACCCCCTGCCAACTTTATACATACCATGCAGAGTACTGTACCTTGTCATGCAGGCAGGCCCTTGATATCGTCCGAACCTCCCCATATCTGGCAAAGTGCTACGACGTATATGAGAAATGCAGTCAATCAATCACTCATGCATGGAACGTCCTCTGTGGTTTTCTCGCTGTATTCAGCTGTGCTAGCTGCGCTGGGCCTCAGATGCACAACTCCCTGCTCGCTGTCATGTGCTATGTTATGATGCTGGCTCCTGCCCCTACCGAGCAACTGGAGATCATGTTGGCTACTGTAGCTTAGCTCTTGTCTCCTTCAATCTCAGATAGCAACAACGCTTCTCATTCTCAGAATCCCAGCCTGTACACTACGGACATGCATCAAACTTTGCCCACTGAGACCTCGAGTACATCACCATCGTTCATCCACCTTTCAATCTCATCGTCATAGCAATAAAACATATTCGAAGCTAGTAGAAGAAAACTGGGCTGGTCCGTTCCCGCACTGAACTGGCTGCCTGTCTCCCTGCGCGACGGTCCCTTCAATGCTCATTCTCCCATTTCGATCCGATCCAAAGTAGTGTCCAACACATGAATACATGTGGACAGAAACGATGAGATCTATTTTTCATTTAGCAAACCGCACCTGGCTGGCTGCCTCCATGGAACATCTTCGTCTCGCTCAGTTCGCACCATCAGACTGCTGGAACTGTGTTATGACTTCGTGTGCTTTCGTGATGATCCGAGGGATCGATTGCATGACAGCATCACTACGACCTCGGCCCGCGTGAGCATGAGCGTTGTACAGCTGATCAAGCTTCGCGATCAGAGAGGTTAGGAGAGCAGGACCATGAGTCGAGAGGTTCTTGATTTCCGGGTCCTGCAGATAGTACCAAAACTGTTAGCAAGTGTATCAGAATATGTCAGGCGTGCATCAGAAGAAATGCTGCACTCACTCTAGTATCGATGGTGTCAAGAGAAGTGTGGATCCAATCAAGTCGTGCTTTGAGATTGGTCTCGAAGGAGTTGGCAACTGCAATACCGACAGAGAAAGCGACTAGTGGAGAGACTTGGGTACGAAGATACTCTGGGGTGTAATTGACGAAAAGCTTGTCGAAAAGTTCGACAGCTTGGTTGGACTGCATCCATCTGACGGAGCCGGCTTCGTAGTTTCCTTCATTCATCAAGTTGGCAATCTCTTCCATTTCCAATTCTTCAGCAGTCTTCCTCCTCGGGGGCGGTGCAATCGGGGAAGGCTGGGCAGCTAGGTTTTGACGGGTAGGAATCGGTGTAGATCTGAATGCTGTCGCAGTGCTAGAAGATGGTCGACTGCCAGCGTCTCCGAATGGTGCGAGAGTGCTGCGATCTTTCAGGATCTTGTCTTGAAATGCGATCTGACCTTCACTCAGATGCGCCATCATCTCGAGCATTGCTTGCATCGACCCTTGTAGCGTGTCGATCTTCACAGCGTCATTCTGCCGATCTATTTCATACTGTACAAGTTTGGCTGTGATGCGGCTTTCGATCTCTCCGGCGGCTTTCTCCGCAGCAGAGGCAGCAAGCTTGACAAAGGTTGGGGTGATGGTGGTATGCATGAGCTCCGCAAAGTGGGCTTCCATGGTAGGAGCTAGGCGTTTGGAGAGGTTGTCGGTCAGGCTGCGAACGTGGCTAGGATTCTGCATAGCAGCAGAAATAGCGACAGGAAGCTGGGTGCCGATCTCTTGCGGAATGAGACCATGTAGCGCACGAGCAAGGACTTCGCCAACCTGATTATGAATGGCCGAGGCGGTGACATTGCTGATAGCTGGCAAGACCGCCTGTTGCATATGCTGTCCGATGATTCGATTCAAGCTGTTCTCCACGTTGGTAGAAAGCGTAGATGATACGAGGCGTAGAACAGCTTCTTGTCGAGTTGTGCCCGCGGCATCCTGGACATGTCGATCGTCATCAAGGCGACGGTAAAGCCTGTCAAGCTGCTGTTTGAACTCGGTCGTGATTGAGCTCTCAAGTTTCTCGATCTCCTTGTCAAGCCAGTTTCCAGGCACGTCGGCGCCGACTATTTCCTTGTTGCCATCAGAGCCGGTAGGCATCTGAGATGTACCAGATGGTTGACCGCTTGCCATGGTGTCGTTAGGATGAGGGATAGGAATTTGGTTGTGGAGATCGGTAGTGGGAACAGAAGTTTTAGATGGTGAAAAAGATGGAGAAGGTGATTTGGATGGGCCTGGATCTTTACTTGAATGTGGTGCCAAAAGGGTATTAGCGCCAGATTTCTTTTTCTTTTTCTTATCTCTCTCAGATGCTATTGCGCCTGACTGGGTGTTTCCTTCACTACCGTTGAGTCCATTCGGCAATCCGGCTTCAGCAGTTGTCGAAGGGGCAGGCGGAAATTGTTCAGTCGGTTCAGGGGCTGGGTCTGAGGTAGCCTTTGCTGGCCTCTTCTTTGATGCCTTAAAAGGCTGAGACGGTTCCGGAGCACCGTTCAAGTCTGGTTCAACAACAGGCCCAATATTCCTGAGCTTATCCACACGGATCAAGCCGGTTTCCACAGCGTTGTCGACTGGATGTAGGACTTTACTGTCAGGACCCCATCCAAGGTCCTCCTTCTTGATTGTGAGACAGGTAACGCCTCTAGAATGCACAGCATACAGCTCGAAGAGAGTCTGCGAATCAACAGGATCCTTTGGTACATCCGTAGGCTTGTGGACTGGGAGTAAGTCAATGCTGCGAAGGTGGCCCTTTGAAGCGAAAGACATCTCGCGCATGCCGCTCATGACAGCTGTTGCTTCAGGCTTGGGAAGGTCGGGATCCCTGATGGCAATTCGTTCGAGATAGGTGGCTTGAGACATGGGCTGCAGCGTATAGCGTGGCGCAGAAAGATGAAGGAAGAAGACTGAATTCCGCGTGGGATGGCCGACAACAACGATGCCAGAATTTGGGTGGTAGGCAATGCTGCAAATGCCATCTGTCTCCGTATTGTGTGGGAAGTTTAACTCTTGTACCACCTTGCCCAGGCCAATGTCCCAAAGTTGGAGAGTATGATTCTGCTTCAGTCCCACCAGAATGTATCTCAAGGCGGTACCCTTGGCGTAAGGTCGAACCTTGTCAACGAAAAGGACAGAAGTCGGCCAAGTTTTCTCGGCTGGAGAGGCAGTAGCAAAACTGAGGATAGGCATGTTGACATCTTCAGCCTGAACTTTGTACGCCGTAGCATTTTCCTCATCGACAAGCTTTCGAATGTCCCAGAATTTCAGTCTTCCAGCCTTGTCCAAGGAGGCAATCAAAGTGTCGTCTTCGCTGAAAATGAAATCCTTGCCAGCTTTCCCAGTGGTTATCTTGAGAGGACGATCCTTGTAGAGCTTTTCAATATCTACTGTACGATTCGAACCATCGACACCATATTTGGTGGAGATTGCTGTAGCAGGCCAAACAATGTAGATAGACTTTCCACGGCCAATGGCAAAGAATTCTGGATGACGAGAACTCCGCCTAACCCGGGTCTTGAGCGAACCACCAGAAGTGTTGTCATTACCAGCTGGATACGGTGGGAAGAGGAGACTCTCAGTGTCAAGGCTGTCGTTTTCGAAGAAGTCGTTCCCTTCCTTGGAGATGGTAGCATAGTACACAGCCCCACTGAGGCCGACACCAAGCACAGCTTGTTGGTCTGTTGGTGGTGCAGTCATGGCCGTGGTGCAGAGGGTCACATGGAATATGCGGTCGCCCGAGTGCTTGAAGATATGACGGTCACTGCCGTCATCTTGTCTGATCACTCGGATCCCTCCATTCTTGACGAACGCATAAGTGATGTACTTGCTGGTGGCCGATGCAAGTGTACGGTCAAGTTGATCGAATTCCTTTTTGAATCTTGAGATCTCCATGACTCCGTCCTCCCGAAGACCAACCTCAGACGGTGGCAAATCCACGATCGTGATCGAGACGAATGGCTTCAATGGGAAGTTGTAAACAGGAACATCACGCAGAGAAGCTTCGGCTGGTCCGTCTGAGGTCTCCCAACCATCAGGAGGTGCCGCTTCCGCTGCTGCGTCATCGATCAGATCCTTCACTGCCTCGGCTACTGGTTTGGACATTGATTCTTCGAGCACATCTTTGTTCTCTTCCTTGTCCAACTCTTTCTTGACTTCGACTGCTGCATTGATTGCCGTCTCCTCAAGTTTGTCGGCCATAACATCGATTTCTGCCTCAGTATCCAGGTCCTCGTGTTTGATCTGTACCTCTTCTAGTGCCTTCTCGATTTCTTTACTGGCTTGATCTGCAATGCGATCAAGTTTGGCTGCCGCGCTATCCATTCCATTCACGGGTTCTATGGAGCTGGAAGATCTTAAGGGTCCCTTGGGCGTCAATTTTCGCCTCATAGCTTTCTGCTTTGGAGTGGCCTCCATTGATATTTGATCCCCGCTCTCTTGAGGGCTGTTGGATATACCGCTTAAGTTTGGATTCCCAGCAGGGGAAACAGATGGTAGGGGTGTGGCGTTTCTTGAAGCTTGAAGAAGCTCAAAAGGGTTGGTGTAGGTGAAGATAGGCTTGTTCTCTTTTGTTGCCCCTGTGGAAGGAGGCTCGAAAGGTGTTGCTTCTCTGCTCTCACTAGAACCGAACATGCGAATGGGAGATGCTTTGCGAGCAGGCGAATCTGCTTGTGCGACTTTTGCTGGCTGCTGCTTCTTCATGCTGGCAAAGTTTGTATTGGGCGAGCCGTCGAAAGAGAATGCAGCATCAGGTCCCTTACGCGCTTCTGTACTAGACGAAGCAGACCTCTTGAGAAGCTTGAGCAGAGCATCTTGTGAGCTTTCCTGAGCAGTGTTACCTGCTGGCGAAGCGTTCGTATTCTCGACCGTGTTGTTTGCAAAGGGAGGATTTGAGAAAGTGTTTCCACCACCTCGAATTCCTGGAGTACTTGAGGGACTGAAGAAGCTTGACATTAGATCTGACGCCTTGACAGCTTTTCCATGAGCAGTTTCCTGACGCATGGTATGACTCTCAGACGTAGACTGTGCAATTGGAACTGGCTGTTGCTGCTGTTGTTGTGGTGGTGGTGCAGAACTCGCATCTGAGGGCTGACTGAATTTTAACAAACTCAACAAGCTTTGTGTTTTGTCGCTACCCCCAACTGCTCCACCAGTTGGATGTGGTGAAGCCATATGGGGCCCTACTAATGTGGATGGCGCAGTGATGGCAGGCGAAGCCAGCGCTGGACTGGCTTGTTGTTGAAGGAAAGTGTTTGGGTCAAATGAAGGTTGGGATGAGGGCTGGGTCGGCTGCCCGTTGGTAGTTGTAGCTGGCGAAGAACGTGATTTGAAGTTTGCTAGAAGCGCCTGTAGGTCACCAGTTCCAGACATGATGCAGAAGCAGAATGTGCCCGGAAGAGCAGCTGGCGAGGCTGGGGTGCGATGGGAAAGGTTGACAGCACGATGAAGCTGGAACGAGATCAATTACAACCCACCTTGCTACAGGAGAGTATTGATCAAACACAAGAAAAAGAGGGTATTAAGCGAAGCAAAGGGATGTCGTGGTTTGAAGGTGTGTGAAGAGGAGAAAAGGTGCGATGCGTTTGGAAAATGATGATTGCATCGCCGAAGCTTTTTGCCTAAATCGATCGGTTCAATTTCCGTCAAATCTTGGTCATTCAACCAGACCACTTCAAGTCCCAGAGTTACACATTGTACCATATGATTACATACAGAGCATTTGCCAGCCGGCTGCTGCATGTCACCAAACTACTCGTACACCTCTTAATAACATAATACTCGCATCTTCAGGGAGAGGCTCTGGTGCGTTCTGTTTAGGGTCCTCAAAATATCGAACTCCCCACTCTTCACTAGAAGGTCTTCTCGACATCCTACCATCCCGCCTCAGGCGGCCCAGTCCTCCCTTGCGATGATGTACTGCCTGCGCAGGTATGCACGCCTGCCGCCTCAACTCCATCCAATCCACTAACCATACCTCTCCGCCAGCTACATCCCCCTCCTCCTGCTTCCCCTCCCGCTCTCGCTCTCTCCCCTCCACCTAACCCTCCTTCTCCTAACAACATACTTCCTCAACCGGCCCTGCATCTACTGCTCCTTCCTGCTCCTCATCCTCTTCGCCTCCTCCTGCCACTGGAGCGGACGGTGTTTTGTCGATTTCTCCTCTTCTGAAGGAGGGTATGGCTATGCCGAGTGGTTTACTCCAAGGCTATACACCATACGCTCCAAAGAAAGCGGCCTGAGCAGCGGGAGCACCAACATCAGCGGAAACGGGGATGGAATGAGTGATCCAGGGGTAGCAGACTTCCTAAACACAACCATCAACCATACGATATCTGCCTTAGCGGGCGCGGCTTTCGAGGAGGCGAGGAAGAGGTTAGCGCCTGGTTCCGTGCTGTCTTCCTCCAACGGTGATGGTAGTGGAGGGCTGTCTGAAAGCGCTGGGATAGGACTGGGTTGGTTGAGGAGTCTACTGGGAAGGAGCGAGTGGACACTTCCTTGTGTGGATATCAAGGTCAGGTTATGATGGGTTAGGGTATCAGGGACATGGGGATCGGGTGTCTGTGTGTATTCATGGCTGCACCAATACTTATTGGCAAGATCTTACGACTAGAACGGGCATCCGCTGTCCGGAATACATGCACATCAAACCGTGCATTGCTTTAAGGGTTTTGAGGGCAGCACTTTTTGGTTTTCCAATCTACATCCATCACGTCTACGTGTACATAACAGATTACGCTCGACTCCGTACCCAGACCCGCTTCATGTGCTTTCTCAACTGGCATGCTGAACAATCCATGGATCAGATGAAAGCTCATTGGCATCTGCCCCAGCAAAATTAGACACACTTAAAAACAACTCTACACTCCACTCCACAAGTGACAAACTCTCCATGGAATCGGTCTTTCATACTTTGAGACTATGCTCTTGTGTACAGCGCAGAGCACTGTCAATATCTACCAACACCACAGGCACAATCCCTGAGGTGCAGGACTCGTGCATTGCGTCAAACGTAGGCCTCCTTATCATTACCGATGTGGATCAACCATATCTTAGCCCCCTCCTCCGCACCACCCACCGGGGCCGTGCTAGCGACAGCTCGTCCAAACCTGGGATGATCTGGCGATCAAGTAGATCACCCATCAAGAAGTGAACAAAAGCGGAAAAGAAACAAGTACACAGAAGATTAGTTTAAGCTCAGGAGCTGGCGGTTCCTGCGCCACGCTAAATCGCCAAATTTCATGAACACCAAATAGGGCACCCATATTTGCAGTTCCGCATGCCTCCTTTAAGTATTTTATATGCCTCTACCCGACCACGAGAGCGAATGTCATGTGTACGTCGACCCTGATATGGGCATTGGCCAGTCATCCTCGGTAATCTCACTCCAGAACTTCCATATTGCCACCACGCTCAGTAATGTAAAGAGAGTCTCGAAGAACGCGCCATTGATCCTGCCATTGGTGGAATTGCATAAATGTACTGAGATAACGTATTGGAAGATCTGGCCGATTGCGAATAGTAACGCCGCGATGACGAGGTCGCGCATTGGTTTCTTCTCGCCAAGGACTCTCAGGACGAGAATGGTTTCGCAGATGAAGAACACAACAAGACAGACGAGCGGGAAGAGCTGGTAGAGGACGTAGAGTCCTATTGCGCGATTTGGAGGTCCGTATGTCGAGTCAAAAAAGCCAGTGTAGCTGAATCCGACGTCGAGAGCGATGTAGCCGGTCCCAATCGCTATGGCGGATGCGGAGCCAACCAGTAGCGCCAGACTTACTGGTGTACCGTCGTCCAACAGTTGGAAACCGACTAATGCATTCAGGAGCAAGACCCAGCAGGTAGCTGCTATGGCGGCCACATGAACTGCGCTGAAGCCTTTGCGCACTGAATGATTCAAAGGAAAGCCTCCAACCGTGAATATCTCGCAGATCTCGATGATGATATAGCCCAGAAGGAAGACTTGCATCTCCCTTCGACCCACAGCAGCCGCTTTCTTGTTCGACCTTATAAGTAGATAGATGGTTACGAGGATAGCGATGAAGGCGACGAGGATGGAGCCGAGATTGGCAAGGTAGCGATCACCACTGAGGGAAATGCCAGTAAGCCTGCAGCCGCCATATTCAGTGCCTGGCGGCTGATTGTTGCCCACGAAGAGCTGTAAGATGTATATCAGCTATCTGAAGGTATGTTAGGTGTACCAATCCATGTCTTACATTGCAGACTGGTAATGTCGAGTCGCGGCAGAAGTCCTAAAAACGAAGCCTGTCAGTCCATTGTAGATGTAGAGGTCACTCTAGAGACTGACGCGAAAGTTGCCGAATTGTGTAGAACCCATGATGAAAGATTAATTGCCTTTTCCGGCTTCCGACGATAGACTCCTGCCGCTGGCGGCTGAAAGGTCCTCCGACGACGTTCGTGACGTCTGGGCGCTTTGCATGCGCGAAAGGGTCGACGGCGGGCCTCGACAGCAGGCCTTGTGAGATATCGACTGCGATCACCTTCACTCTATTCTCGCCGCCAATGCAGTCCAATAACTATCGCTTTCTATAACTCAATTGCGTGTGGACGGAGGACAATCGAAAAAGTGGGCAATGCAGGAAATTGGGCCAAGCGGTGATCCAAGTTGGTCTAAGCTAGAACATGCCAGGAACAAGGATGTGAGTGGCTGGGCTTGACGAACTCGAGATGACGAGGTACAGGACCAGGACCACGGCGGCGCAGAATCAGTTAGAATCAGTGAGAATCAGTGAGCTGCTGCAAACGGGTGGAGGACAGTGTGAAGACAATATAAGCTGAGATTCGAGTTGGATGATAGCCGTCGAGAGACAATCGAGAGCGAAGAATCCTACCTTAGACGAGGTAGGTGCAGGGGAGGAGAACAGAGTTGGTGGAGAAGGACAACAATGGGCCTAAGTTAGCTAATTTACTTACTATGTACTAACTACGTACGTAGTACTGCCGTAGTACGAGTAATCTCAATTCCACAATGGCTAGGTTAAGTCAAGTAGACGAAGGGAAATGGCGAAGCGGCTGTTTAGCCTCTACTACGTTAGCCTCTGCCCAAAAGTGGCCCAAGATTCACTAAAAGAGCTTCGGCAAAGCTTTCTGGTTGGTGGGTCGTTTCATTGGCAATTGTGGAGTGGCCGGGTACTACTAGTAGTAGGGGAAGCTAACCATCGGCGAAAAGAGCAAATGGCATTTGAGCTTCCGCCTCAACTTGGCTTCCTCGGCCTCAGCTTGTTCTTTGCTTCTCCATTTTGCGATTTTTTTGCCGGGATCGTCCCTTCCAAAATTTGGTTCATCCTTCTTCCACCGCAGCACGCTAGCCGGTTGAGGCGTTCATTCAGAGAGCAAATCGTTCATCAAGTATCTACGCGTCTAGCAGCATTGACCCTAACCGTCATGATTCATGTCAATGGCCTGGTGAAGATACGGAGTACTACAACGTAAATAGGCCAAATCAATGGACTTATGACTTGCCGTTTATGACCAGGACCCAATTCCCACCATTGCGATCGTGCTATAAGGAATCTACTTCTCACCAGGATAGGCTGCACGTCTGAGACATTGAGCACACAACTGGGAAAGAGTGGTCCACGTGCAACTTGAATGGCAATGCTGCATCGTGCCCCTGAAGTGTGCAGAGCTCTGTCAAAACAAACATTGAGAGGTATTGCATAATCTGACGAACAAAGTTGTATGATGTGTCTGACCTGACCAGATACTAGCAATTTATTGAAGTCCAGCGATAAGAAGCATAAGCCGCTGAGAGTGTGTGAAAGCTTGAAGATATATTGCGGTTGAGTGAGGTACTGGTGGACACAGCTGACAGACGAAACCAATGTGGCTGATGACATGTGCTTTGGTTGAAAGAATGTGAGTGATGGAAATGTGCCGCCAGAGAGATCTCATAAAATACTTGCCGGATACTACTAGTAGTACTAGTAGTCATGGTTACTAGGCGTCAATGCTCCTTAGAAAAGGTAATGCTATAGCTATTAGTTCAACTTAGGTTGACGTTTGCTACCCTTAGAACAAGAGTATGCTGTTTTGCAACGTATTCTGGCTAATTGAAGTGCCTGAACCAGTGTCATGACGGGATTACAAATGAGCAAAGATGGGACATATGTCGGCCACTGTACGAGCATATGGATTCAATACCGTTGGCTAGCTTACATTTTCTTCTTACCGGGTTTTGATGGCTTTGTTCTCGAATCTCGATAAACTGGTGATGGACAAGTGGGTTGATGGGTTCGCATAAAAGCCTCCTCTTTGGTCATCGCATACAGTAAGCATTATACGAAGTGCAACTGACTCGGAGTATTTTTATGGCATTTGGCAGTGGCGGCCGCTGTGTCAGCAACGGTGTAAGTTCTGCTTATCTTTGGATAATGAGTATCTGGAATACTCCTTCAGGTCCGTGAATACACGTCTCTTCCGCCATGGGGTGCTTGTGCATAAAGTCCGATCTTGTATTAGCAGCACTGACCCAGTCGGCGAGCAGTCTAGTAGATTAATTGGATATGAAACTCATCACTCAACAGCTCAAGTACACCGTCAATCTTCTTCCGCTTATGATAAAACTAATCGTTCTCTATTTGTAAAGATGAAGAGAACGGAGACACAGCTGTTGTCAAGGGAGAGGACAAAAAGATATAGTGAGAATAATGACAAGACAGGGATTCCGTATCTACAAATGGTATTCAAGCTTGAACCTCGTCGACAGATTACACTTGCTAATTCTGTGTCGCAGCACTTAGTTCACTTAATCAAAGCATCCTCAGCACATGATACGGAATCCGATGGAGCACAATGCAGACGAAGGACGTGTGAGAGACCCTCACAGATAAATCGCCATCTACGGCTAGTCCTACGAAGCTGACAAGGTGTTAAAAAAGAATCGACATTCGATTCTGCTGATTCTAGGCTCAACCCAAAATCGCTTCGTATGATTCCAAGGATATGTCGGAAGACCAGTGACAAATGGCCTTCCAATCAGCGGACCTTCAATCTCAAAGGTTGAGTTTACTGCTTTGAGATTGACAGGGTACCCTCAACCGATCAGGGCACAGGCAAGATCCTGCATGGTTTCAACAGCGTCGACGGGTCGCTTGAGACACGATACATAGGGCAGCTCGACGTTCCGTGCCTTGAGGATTTGGCGTATTGGGCCTGCCAGAGTGCTATGTGCGCCAATTTCCACGACCATGTCAACATTGAGAATGCCTTCCCAAAACAAGTGTTGTTGAACGCCTGGCTGAAAAGGACCGGATGGGTTATGTTGCGGGCCCAATGCTTGGGAGCCAAGGTGTTTGGCGGGGTGATTTGTTTCTGGTGACAGGCGTTACAAACATCGCGGCATCTCCCCGGCCTTCTTAGGCATAGGAAGTACAGCTTGGAGTCGATAGATGTTCTCCTGTGAGATGCGTGACATGTGGTGGGAGTGGTACGCCATGGGGACGTTAGTCTTCCTGACAAAGATGCCATCCTTCTCCAAGCGAGAGGCTACCTCATCAAGGACGGTCAAGTCTCCTGAACGCGTGACACTGCTGGTGCTATTGACACAAGCCACGACAACACGTTCGCCAGAAGTGCGGTTGATGTATACCCCAGCACTTTTAAGTCCTATAGCAGCGGGAAGCATTCCTCCAGCTGAACAGCGACGCTAATAGGCTATTCAACTGATATAGATTTCAGCCACGCGCGTTGTAGCTTCATCGTGCATGAGTTCGTCCGAAACAAGTAATTAGTCTTACCATTTGAGAATGAAAAGTGGTAAGACAGCTCCCTGTAAATAAACTTCCACATATCTTTCAGCGGCCAAGATGCCCCGTACTCTTTGAGGATGTCGTTGGCTTCTTGGATGTTGCGGCCAAAGACCGGATAAGCACCGAAGATTTCCCGTCCCCATCGCATGCCATTGCGCACCCCTTCGAGCGCCGCTTCACCAACATTCTACCACAAGAGGATTGAGCGTCGTCTTCGGCCATCCCATTGATCACATAGAGACGACAAGGAGAAGCCTGCTGTGGACAAGAACGAGTTTCTTGCAGTGGAGCATCGGGCAAGCCATTGCCAGCGGCGATCCGCCTATGTGGAAGCCCAGGACACTGGCGGGCCGAGTTCTTCTGCTGGATCTAGTGTCCAATCGGAGCAGATTTCTGTTCTTTTTGGATCGCATGTTCGAGCGCGTCATTATTGCCTTCAGAGGCATATGCATCCATAGCCTGAGCTCTGATGATGGCTATATCCATGCACTTTCGGGAGTGGGCAAAGCAAGTCGATCAGTCAGCAGTAATTGCTTTCTCCATCGCTGCGGACTTCGTGAATACTGTATGTAAATCGTCGTTCGCTGTCAGGTGTATATAGCATAGCATATCCTAGCATGTTTACATAAATCTTCCTGCAGCGTGTGTCGTAAATTAGATAGATGGCCGAAGCCTAGATCTGGAGCTCAGAACCACGATAGAAGTGTTTCTTCAGCAGTGCCAAATTTCACGCGCCTTCATACCCAGTATTTTTCCCCTTTCCTTCCATCTCTCGACCTACCCTCTCACATATCTGTCAGTCAGCCACTAGTACTCAACTCAGACCTCCCTCCTCTTCATGCGGACCCTAACATCCCTCCTCGGCACAAACGTTCCACTCCCCCACACCCTGCCGGGATCGGTCCACCTGCCTGTCCCATCCGCCGGCTCAACATCCCACGAGGCCAAGACCGCCGCCACACAAGTCAGCACCTCCCTCTCAGCGAAGTTGCGGCCTTTGCACATGCTCGGCCCACCGCCGAAGACTTTCATCGTTCCCACATCCACCGCCGTCTTCTCTGCGGAAAGGCCCTCCTCTTCATCATCATCACTTTCGTCCTTCTTATCGGTGCGTTTATCGACGCTGACGAAAAAACGGCGCGGATTAAACCTCTTGGGGTCCTTCCAGTACCGGTCATCCATCTGGTGCACGCCGTGTGGGATGCAGATGTGGCTGCCCTTTTTGAACTTGTAGGTTTGGGGCTGGCTCTTTCCGTCGAGGGCGGCGTCTTCGGCGGACTCGGTGACGGTGAAGGATTCAAGCACCGCTTTGTAGGAGGTTGATTGTGCTTCTAGCCGGAGAGTTTCGAAGTAGGTCGCCTTCAGGAGGGGGCATTTGTGGATGAGGGCATCGAGATTGATGGTTAGTTTTGGAGGTTCTTTGACGGGGAGGTCGGAGTGGATGGATGATAAGATGGCGTGGGGGGCGATTTCGGCTCGGATCTCGCAGCACAATGTAGGGTCCTGGTAGATGTGCCAGAGGGCCCAGAAGATGATTGGATTGGCATTTACGTTCATGGCCCACACTATGGCCAGGTCGCTCGTGGAGGATAAATCCGGCTCCGCGCAGATGCTGCGCCAGGCCTTGGCGCGCTCAACCATCACGTTCGAGACATCCGACATGTCGCTCCACCCGGAACCGGGATCGCGGTCCTCCCAGACGGCGTAGAGGGCTTCTTGGTGCTCGCGCACGGCTTGAATAAGGCGCCTTCGGGCGGCGTAGGCGGGCGCTATGCCGGGGAACCACCAGGGGAGTCCGGCAAGGAGTTTGTTGAATGACGCGTCGAGGGTGAAGATGTCGTGGAGAACGTTGGGGTTGTTGGTCATGAAGTCTTGACCGGTTAGGATGGCGCAGGCGAAGTCGCCGACGAAATAGCGAATCAGTGGGAAGAAACTGGCCACGGCGGAGGTGCCGGACGGATCGATGGTGATGTTGGCGACTCGTTCCCAGATGCTTTGGTCGACCCAGCTGTGGGAGAATGAAACTAGGTTGTAGATTCGCTCTTGAACAACGCGGACAGTGCTGGCTGCTGCGTTGGAGACAAAGGGTTCGCGGGTCAGTTTAAAGAGGGCTTGATGCGCTGTGCCGAAGACGCCGGCTGGATCTGCCGTTCGGATACTGCCTTGGTTGCCGAAGAAGTTCTCCATAAGGCGGATGGAGAAGTCATTGGTTGAAAGGATGGTAGATTTCTGCAGGAGAATTTGCTTGACTACGCTTGGGGGAATGGCAATGTTGTGGACGGTGCCGGCGAGAATTAGATGAAAAACGCCATCCTTGGTGGACTTGCTGGCTTCCGGTCAGCATGTCCCTCCTCAATATGCTACAAACAGGGAGAATAGTGACCTGGCATCTGCAAGAAAGTTTTGAAATCGTGTTACAAACGGTATTGCATGTCCGAACCAGGGAACCCAATAAGGCAAGACGGCAATCTCCTTGGGCTCTGGATTTGATACGGATTGTCTTTTATTCTGGAACCCAGTCCGGATGCGCGTGATGAGACAGGTGAGAACGACTATTGTAAGGATGAATGTGACAGGTGAGGTAGTCATCTTTGGATTTCCAAATGTGCGTGCCAAAAGGCCAGAATCGCCTGATGCGGAAGCAAAAATTGCCATCGTTGCAGTGTTAAGGACCTGAGACAGGGGAAATAAAAAGGCCAGATCAGAACAGGGCAGTTGGACGCTCATTATATTTCCTGCAACCAACATAAGCGATTGACACGAAGGATTCGCATGGCTTAAAGAATGCGGCACAGGATTTAGGGGGTAATATTACAGTACTAGGAAAAAAGTATCCGGCCAACCCCACTTTCGTACCCCACCAACATTATCGACTCTCTTCATACAAATCACCATAGTAAGTTATGAACTCTTTGGATTCTAATGAAAAATAGCTCAAAATGTTCAGAAACATCCAGAGATTGAGGCTGGGCTAATTTCCCGAATAGGCAGTTGATATTCAGAATCTGGTGTACCATCCTTTGGCCGCAATGACCGCATTCACCCTACTATCCATGCTCTTGATGAGATTGGTTATAGCTTCTTCTCCTATAGCATCCCAACCCTCATAAATAGCTCTAAACAATCGTTGATAATCCTGCTCTGATTTGCCCATATTAATTAGCTCTGGGTAGTGATCATTCTTCTCTGAATCAGGATCACGCTGTAATAACCAATATCTGAACGACCTTCTCCATAAATTGCACCCCATATCATAACACTGATGTCTTTGCCCTTCTTATATGTATCAATCATATTAGAATCCTAACGTTGTTGTGGTGTACAAAAGGCCCATGTTCGACGCGCCCCACTGCCTCTTTCAAGCGAACATTCATCACTGAATATGATCTTGCTCCACTCAGCCCACGTCCAATTTCGTCGTTCTTTACACCATGTAAGTCGTTTAGCAGCCAATTGCGGAGTCAATAGAGGTCTTTTTTTGGCCATCCAATTGGTAATGCCTTCGTTTTTGAGTATTTGATAAATAGTCCTTCGATGAACACTAGTACCAACTTCGGACTGAAGTGCTTGATAAGTAATCTTCAGATTGATACGAATAATGCGTAAAATGTTGCGTTTTTGGACCCTATTTAAGGCCTGAGGACGTCCTGAACGAGGCAAGCTTTTGCCGTTGTTGCGTACTGGATTTTGAACAATGGTATCAGAAACAGTGGATTTGCCGCAATGCAGATTTTGACCAATCTCTCGACTTGTGAGCCCTAGGGCTTTGTACGCCGAAATTTGACCTCGTTGGTATGGAGATAGCTCTTTGCCATAGCTTCTATTGATTTCAAGAGGCGCCAAAGCCTTGCGTTGAGCCATGGTAGTTGTTTGAAAAAGGGTGTAAAAAAACGCGTGTTCAAAAATGACGCGTTTTGGCCGGATACTTTCGCGCGGGGCTGTAACTACTGTAACAGGGCCCTCCGGCTGTTGGCTACGGCGGACCTTGCTTGGGTTGGGCCTCACACCAAAATTTCCGAGCGCCTTTACAGCGGGCCATTTAAGTCCGTTCTTACAGAATGCATTGGCACTTCTCTTGCAATTTGTCAACGGTACAAATGCCATCAAAGGCTGGATCTCAAGCTGATACAAGTATGATAGAAGATCACCGTCAAATTGTGTGTCATCAACAGCTACAGAATGAGCTAGTAACCGGCAAGCAAAGGATAATTGGCAAGTATAGAGTAATTGGCAAGTATAGAGTAATTGGCAAGTATAGAGTAAATTGGCAAGTATAGAGATTGGCAAGTATAGAGTAATTGGCAAGTATAGAGTAATTGGCAAGTATAGAGTAATTGGCAAGTATACATTGAATAGCTCTCTAAAACAGCGTCCCTGGAAGGATGCCGCAGAAGGAGTCCCAGGAGGGTGGCCCAGGAGGTTATCCCAAGAGAACACCTTAAGAGAATGCATTGTATTATAACAGAAACTGCGATGGCAATTTGGCAGTAGTCATCCCGTAGTAGAAATGCCATTTGGCTTTTTGGTCGTGGTTGTGCAATTATATCACGTCTCAGAAACTGGCCTTCTGGCCATCTTGGGTCTTCATGTTATCCTCATCTTGATTGCGCTGAATTCCTATGATTGTTCATGAGGGCTTTAGCAAGATTGCATCGGGTCGTACTCTGTAATAGCTTAAGAATGTATCTCCCGGTGTAGATCACCCTCAGCGCATGCCCAATTACGGGTGATATCACACTCAGTTGTATCTCGTGATTGGCTGTTCATGAAGTTTACCAAACGTTGTTCTTTGGGCTATGTCAAGCAGTACCGACATCCTGCTGGCTGACAGCGTAACAAACGATGCATATGATATGGACCCGAGTATGATGGCTGTTTGTCGTTGCCCAAAGACAAGCCTATATAAATGGCGGATTGCTAATCTTGGGTAGATGCTCTGGGATGCGCACCCTGTGATGATGCCAGCAAGGTAAGAAATAACGGCTAGCCTCGTCCTCTTCTTGACTTATGCGTTCCGAGAACCGTGGAACCCAGTGGAGGACGCTTCCCTAACATGAAATGTCGTAGACCTTCATGATTCGGTGGAATGTCCTGCAGCTCTTGGGGAGATCTGCATGCAAGGGCTGCTTGAATGAAAAGCCTTGCAAAACTGGCCCAGCTGGCCGCTTCGGCAGCTACTGAAGTTGCCTCGGGCTTGCAAAAGTGTATTGGTTCCATAACCATTTTCCACACAACTGACCACGAATTGTAGTAACATAGAAAGCAGTATACATGGCCCCGTCCTTGCATGGGCCTGACCATCTGCCAGGGCCTACGTGCATCCTGGATGGCCGCAATGGCGTGAGATCGACTTCTCTCCGCCTCTTCCATAAAACACTTATCGGGCAAATTATTTAGCCAAGAGTTTGACCGGCTCAAGCCATCGGGTAGCAAAAGGTCTAGGGCTGGCTCAAAGTGGGTAATAGCTTGAGCGATCTTCTTGACATCTGCGAATTCCCAAGAAGAGCGGTCGAGATTGATGTAGACCTTGTTGTAGCACTGATCATGTTCGCGGATCTGATAGTGCTCAGTCAGATATGTCCAGGTCATTGCAACATGTTTCTGCCAAAGTGCAGGATCAGAGGTATGGAAAAGGGGCGAGGTTAAGGTGATCTTCTCTAAGGAACTCTGTCAGTCGGTGCGTTTGCTATAACTTGCTAGAGCGAAACACGACTTACGTGGTACGGATATGGTCGGCGGCTGAACAGACCCCATATATACGTGCCAGTTCTCCGCCTTGCCACTTGGGATTCTCGAGCGCTGCATTTTCTTCACCATCGCGGGATGGGGGGAGCCCACCAGTCTATTATGGTTCTCCGCAAGAAGTCCTACAAAATCTTCAACGGCTGGCCTGTAATGCTCTTCAGCTTTGGGAGCAATCAGAAATTGTGCCTCCACGAGAATCTGAAAATCGAATGGAGACGAAGGTTCATCAACGGCTGAAGAAGGATTCTGCTGCCGAGGAATCGGGCGCGTGCCCAGGATGAGACTTCTCGTTTCTGCCGCTGGAGCTTCAGATGGCGGGTTGCGAAGCGAAGGGCCTGCTCGAATTTCTTGACTGGCTATGTGAGGCTGCTCATTCCTCTCACTGGTGAAATTATGTTGTGCATCTCGACTGGACGATGCGGTCTGTCCTATCGTCGCTGAAATAGGGGTCTCCTGTTGAGGGAAGCCACTTTGAGAGGGTTGTTGGACTGCTCTTGTGCGCCTTGGCCAAGAGTAGACTGCGTGTTCCAGAGTTGAAGCACTTCCATGACCTGGCGAATCCCCTTCATTGCATGCCGGCGCTGCCTGAAGGCGGGCCCCTCTAGATGAGCCACTTTCAGGAGCTCTCAAGCTTCCTTCTCTCCTTGTAGCCTCGGCTGCATGGTCAGGTCTAGGCGGACCACTTTTCAATGCGTGTTGATCTCCACCGGCTGATACCACTGTACCGCTCGACTGGGATATGCGGGTGCTTGCTAGAGTCTGTTGAACTTGCCTAAGTGATGATATCTCCGTTCCCTGGTGCCGCCTTCTTTGTCCCATACGTGCCGGGATACAACTACAAGAGTCTCCATCTCTGGCATTGCAAACGGGGCAGGGCATCCTGCAGTCAAGAAATGAACGATATAGAAGAGCAGGCCGGGGAGATCTTGAGAGCGACTCGAAGCTGCCTTTCGCAGGAGAGCAATGAAATTTAGTACTTTAAAGAGAACGACCTTGGGAGCAAACACAGCTCCATTGATACATACTGCCACCTACCACACCTGCAACGGGATACAATCTTAGTTCAGACGGTTCTGGGGGCGGCTAATATCTCGCATGTCTCACTAGACTCAATCATGGCAAACAGTCTCAAACATCATTAGACTGGATAGCTGTGCAAAGGTGGGCTTGATGAGCTGTGGAATGTTTCGGCGAGAGATAGCGTGCCATTCCCATGCGATAGAAACATCAAACAGACCGGAACTGACAACCGAAACATGGCAATGGTGTCTGCCATGAAAGAATGATACAAATGACAAGAACGAGACACAAAATGAAACTCGAGGCTGTACGAGTAGTAGTTTGCCCCTTTCCAAAACTAGCCGGTTATGTAATCCGCTTACTACGTAGTTGCCTTAGTGGCCTCCCCACTATTAAGTGTAACGCGTCGCGGTCGGCAAGACGCGTCTCCCCTAGCTGCGACAGAATATCAGGTTCGGGGACAAAGTAGATCTGCTCTTGCTTCACTGAAAAGAAAAGAAATGAATCGAATTGAAGGAAAAAGATACAGCCATTGCAATGCCCGATAAGCCTCCTTGTGATCCGCGGCCAGCCCGTCAGTTTGGTCCTCTCCCCATTTCTGACACCGTTACTGATCCTTTTCTCCAGAGCCGCGCGGAAAGACTTTGCTACAGTATTCGCCCAATGGCCGAAAATTGATTGTTGCCGGGCTGGCAAACTTCGTGAGAACTTATAACACAGGAGATGAGGGTAATGTGGTTATTGTGGACAATGTACCAGACGAGACCAATGCAGTGATTGCTGGGGTGGGTATCGCGGAATAAACCACACGAATGGAGATGCTGAGAGAAATCGCAGGATGACTACTTCATTGCTGGAAACGAGGACGGCCTGGTTTCGCAATTCAATATTCAGCAGAAGAGGCTTGACAAGTTGCTTGTCCGGTCATCACTCCCCATTCGCGCACTCGCCATATCTCCGGACGAGAAATGGGTAGCTGTTTCCAGCGAGTGAGTAAGGTACCATTGAAGTTGCTGGGCAGGGGCTGATCTCAATAGCGAGGTAATCATAAAAGTTGTCGATCGTCACGATATAGAGCGTATCACCATCCTCCGAGAACATTCCAAGATCATCAAACACCTCTCCTACGACCCATCCGGCCAATACCTAGCTGCCTCGTGTATCGATGGCATTATATACATCTATTCTATGGTTGGTGAGGAGCCGACCCTCTTTCGAACTGTGGACGGGATAATTCGTCGACTCGAGGTTGAAGACGAAGCATCGTCAGAATGCGTATGGCATCCGGATGGACAAGCATTTGCTTGTGCAACTGCTACCAGAGATATCACCACTGTATCCGTTGCGGACGGTGCTCAGCAGCGGTCCTTCCTAGGCGGACATATGACGGACGTCCTATCTCTCGCATGGTCAGCCAATGGTGCACTTCTGGCCAGTACCAGTAGAGATGGTGGGCTCGTGCTTTGGGAGACGAAGACTCAGTCAATAATCAGGAAGTTTGATTACGAGAACACGATGAACGTGACATGGCATCCTCAAGCAGAAAATTATCTGAATTGGACAACTTCATGGGGAGAAGTGTACATATGCCCCGACTTTCTCAAGGATGAAGCACACATCCGCCTCCTCAAAGGGCCAAGAGCTCGCTCCCCCTTCTTTCATGATCCGCTCGACGACACCTCTGCAGCAATCAACGGCCGAAAACCGCTTGTCAACGGTCGTCCAAAGCCGCTTCGAGCTGGCACACCTGATAGCCTCGACATTCTGCTCGGCGAAGGGGAAGAGGAAGATTGGATCGAAGACGACGATGGCGCTGGCTACACCAACGGCAATGGCAAGCGCACGAATGGGCACCTGGGCGCCCTGAACGGCCACACCGGCAAACGCGGCCGTCAAGACTATTGGTCTCCTCAGATCCATGAGCCCTTCCAACCTGGCGCGACTCCCTGGCGCGGCAACAGAAAATATCTGTGCCTCAATCTAACCGGCATCGTGTGGACCGTGGACCAAGACACCCACCACACAGTGACAGTTGAGTTTTATGATCGAGAGATGCACCGCGACTTCCACTTTACAGACCCCTATCTTTACGACAAGTCATGTCTGAATGAGAAAGGCACCCTCTTCTCCTGTCCTTCCAGCGACGATCATCCGGCTATGGTCTTCTATCGGCCTCATGAAACGTGGACGACGAGAGCAGATTGGCGAACTCAATTGCCGAATGGGGAAGAAGCAACTGCCATCGCACTGAGCAAGAATTTCGTGAGCGTTCTGACCACGAAGGGGTATGTAAGGGTATACACACTGTTCGGCACCCCCTACCGGATATGGAGGCAAAAGAGCGGCCCAGCAGTCACATGTGCAGCATTTGACGACTACGTTCTAACGATTGGCAACGGACCCGTCGGATCCGACGGATGCACCCAACTGGTTTACAGTATCGAAGACGTACGACAAGAGTACCTCTGCCAAAATGAAGATGTGGTCGCCCTCCCAGAAGCCGGCACCTTGAAAAACATCTTCTTCTCCGACGACGGCGACCCGTGCATTTACGATTCCAGCGGCACGCTCCTCATCCTCGCCCACTGGCGCACTCCCAGCCAAGCGAAATGGGTTCCCCTCCTCGACACCACACAGCTCGACCGGCTCGCCAGCGGCAGGAAAGAAGAATCCTACTGGCCTGTAGCGGTCGCGCAGGGGAAGTTCCACTGCATCATCCTGAAGGGAGGGGATCAGCACCCTTACTTCCCGCGTCCGCTGCTCAGTGAGTTCGACTTCAAGATCCCGGTCTCCCCCCTCCCACCGCCTAAGAAACCATCAGAAGGAGAAGTCGAAGAAGAGGATGGAACAGGAGAAAGCAACGCCCAGTCCTCCGCAAGGCTGGAAGAATCTTTCGTCCGCACCTCCCTCCTCCACTCCCTCTTGGATGACTCTTCCTCCGTCCACTCCCGGCTATCGCATACCCAGAAAACAGAACTTACGCGCCGGGAACTCGAGATCGATAAGATCCTCCTGCAGCTGTTGGCGGTGGAGTGTCGCGAGGGAGAGGAGAGGGGCATGAGGGCCCTGGAGATTGTGCGGCTCATGCGCGATCGGGGTGGGAAAATGATTGAGGCGGCGGGCAAGGTTGCGGGGAGGTGGGGGAGGAATGTGCTAGAGGAGAAGATTAGGGAGTTGGGGGAAAGGAGGTTGGCTGGGCTGGAGGATGGGGTGGTGGAGGAGGAGGATGGGGATGAGCTGTGAATGAGCTTGTGAGTTTGGGTGTTGGGTAGGGTTGGATCACAGGGGAAAGCTGCGGATTGAGTCTTATGAGATGTGCTGATTCGAATGTGGCAGCATAGATGTTCGTCCGTGCTCGTCACCAACTTCCGGTGAAGAAGCTTCAAAGAACAATATATCTTGCTTAGATGATCCATCCGTCAACCTCGCCACACCCCCTCTCACGTCGAAAAGTGCTCACAACCCCGGCCCCTTACCCAACCGATAGATGTTCCTGTTCCGACAATCGTGACCAAAGTGCGCAGGACCATAAAACTCCCCCTGCCGCCACCCCCTGCTATATCCCCGCGCCACACATATAACACCAAGAGCAATTCTGCATTCCGAAACAAAAGAAAAGAGTCTACCGCAACGCCGAAGCTTGTTGCTTTGTTCGCTCTATGGTGCAGGAAGAAAGGGCTGAGAGACCACGGCTTGGAAGATATATGGATCTTAGGGCTATGGACTGTGAATCCATACCGGAAAGGAGTATCTGCGATATTTGAAGTTTTGGAGGTGATCTGGCTGCGAGACTGCAGCTTGCTTGCTCAGCGCTGTGTGTGTCCATGGGGTTGTGGGACGGGTTGTGTGGTTTCAGTGTTTTGAGCAGTTGTGGATTCTGAGATGCTATAGATGCGTTCAAGGAGTGAGGTTCATGGGACAAGATGTTCTCTTAATGTGACGTCGAAAGTTGGAGGCCTGGAGGAAGGAGGCTGAATGCTGTCTGCTCTTTTGGAAGATAGATCCCGAGCTTGGAGGAAGTGTGCCAGAGCTTGGAGATGGAGAAGTGTATCAGCATAGGTAAGAAACGAACCATGGACGAGAAAGCGTTATTGAAGGTTGATATCTTTGCTTGCCCTTTCGTGCTTGCTCAAGAGGTCTCCCTAGAAACACTTCTTCCTATGCGAGGATTGATTTTGATATTGTCTACTCAAATTTGTACATAGATCCACTTACTGGGCTTCTCCTGCAACCGGGAGAGTGTCGGGAGCTTGCTATATGCTTCATTGACAGACAACTCGTTCATGCTTTTGCCGGTTGGTGAGGACTTTGCCATCCTTTGATGCAAGCGGCCAAAGTCCTGCTTTGAAGAGAATGACAGTGCCTGACCGAAAAGAAAGAAGTACAGACATGCATCCGACAGAGAATTGTGGCCAAAGTCGCTGTTTAGTTACTGCTGACATTATTAAGGTGACAAACCTGCTCTTCATCTGTTTTAATCATCTTGCGACGTTGGAAACGAACCTGTGGCAAGTCCAAGAAACCTGTCATCCATCTCTGACAACATCGATTCAATAGAGCGGAAATCATGTCACGAGCAAGTTCAGAGGACCAGTTGAACTTCTTGTTGAGCTGCGTCAAGCATGCCTGCAACGGAAAGGTATCCTCCAATATCCTCCGTCCACCAAGTATCAGGACTGACAACGGCTAGGTTGATTTCGTTGAAGTTGCTCAAGAATGTGGCGTCGTCAGTAAAGGAGCAGCGTAAGAAGTCATCTCAAGGCTATGCTTTCGTGAGCTAAGTCCCATCTAGGGCCAAACGGTACGAGCGACTGCTGAAGGGCAAGGGTATCAGTCCAAACGGCGGCCCAGACCCCAAGCCTGCACCTCGCAGAACGTCCAAAGTGACCAAGAGCAAATCGAAAAATGATACTCCTAAACCACGTTCGAAACAGCGGAAATTGGACAAGATTACAGAAAAGAAGCAGGAAGAGGCCGTTTCAACTGCAAAACTGATGCCAGAACCTCTGAAGGACTTCAACATGGAGGAGAGAGATTTTGCACCAGAGAACGGCCCTTCTTTGAAGAGGAACACCTCTATTCCCATTTCCCAAGACAGTCACTTTGAATTGACGCAGACCGACGAAAGCACTTTTGACTTTGACGAGTTCTGCTCTGCAGAGATGTTCGCACATTGCGCTTCGGAGACAAGAGAGCCCAGCCAGGAGGATCTATTAGTACCACGGTCGTTTCCATACATGCTACCAGCTGCCTCAGCCCCCGTGCAAGGTACACCAAGAGAGGAATCAAAGATGGAGAGGGTGCCAGAAAGAGAGACCGTCGTTATAGCAGATTGACGCCCGGGATCTGCTTAGACGCGAGTGCTGGACGAGTAGTATCTGCTTTGTGGAGCTTATGAGCACTTAACCCAGACGGCTGTTGCTGGGGACTTGAGGTGCCCTGCAAGGCATGCAAAGAGAGGAGTAGGGCAACGACATAGGAACATTGCTATAAAGAAGCATAAGCGTAGGCATACACAAGAAGAGTATTAAGGGTGTTGAGGGTATTACCTGACCATCTGATCACCTGATCACCTCCTGCGCATTGCTGGTGACCACCATGTGTCCACCTTTCCCAACCAATCATAACGTGCCAAACAGAATCCGCGTTGTGATATTCGCCACGCCTTGCTAGAAAAACATCTCCCACTGTCCAATCCAACGGTCACAATATCCCCTATTCATCCCAAGTGAATTCTCTCTGCTTGCCAGTGCCTTACAGTCTCCTGTGCCGGGCCAAGCAATGTGCTGAAGCTCGGTACTCCCCAACCTGAGGTACATATATTTCTCTTCACTACCGGTACTAGATCCTCCAATTTCCACCCTACAACCTCCCACCCTCCACCCAACCTACTTTTTATGATCGATGTTGACTTTCTTCAATTAGCTTGGCTTCTCCTGACACGTCTTTGGATAGTGCTTGCTTAAAAGAATCAACCCTCCCTTACTTTGCTCTCACTTGCCAGTCCAAAACACGCGACCATACAAGGTATGAATTTTGCTTATATTCTCTGCCCAACACTCGTGCAAAAGCCTCGAGCTCTCTCGGGCATCACTCGTACCAGCTTCACCATCTCGGTGAGACTTGGAAGCCGGAACTGGACATCGTTGCCATCTCAAACCAAGGTAGCAGCTGGGATAACACGGTCTGGCACCGCAGACCTATCGAGGCCCAGGTTTCAAGCGGGTCACTGTCTGCCACTCAAGCCACATGGCATCTTACACATGACGGTTTCCATGTGTTTGATGTCGATTCCTAGTCTTCACCGAATTCACTGCTCCACATTACCCTACCCGCATCAAACCGAAAAACGGACTTCTCATTCTCACAACGCACCACCATATCTAGGCTTCTTCCACTAACTGAATGTACGGCAGTCGCAATCCTTCGTCGACTGAAGCATTTTATTCCCAGCCAACATGCCTGGTAACAAGAAAGACGGTAGCAAGCGTACCTTGGTACGTTGGTCAGGTATGTTCAGCCGATCTTACCAGTGCCATATGATCTGACGCCATTATGCAGACGATCTTGACAAGCAGTTGGTGTTGTGTATGCAGTATGCATGCAACGAAGCTGGCTTACGTATTCCGTGGGAAAATGTTGCCAAGCTCATGGGAGACAAGTTCTCTGATGGCGCGATTGTTCAACACCTGTCCAAGCTCCGGCAGAAGATGATCGACAACAATCTGCCCGTACCCCCTCCGTTGAAGCGTGGTACAACTGTCGTCCCGTCGAAGATCTATGCCACCTCGGGTGGTGCTCGTCGCAAGTCTATGCCAGAGACCCCGACAACCTCGTCTACTGTGGTCACCACTCCGAAGGCCAAGCCAAGTGTCGCCAAGAAACGTAGCCGGCGATCTGGCATGGATAGTGACTCTGATTCTCAGCCCGAGAACATGGACATTGCCGACACTAGTGATGACGAGTATGGTGCGTCTGGCAGGAAGAAGAAAAAGCAGCAACGTCAACCGAAGCCCAAGCAAGCGCCGAAGAAGACGTCTCAGGAGTCGAAAGAGGACGAGAACGAAACGGCCGAGGAAGACCAGGAAGACACACTCATGAACAGCCCACCTGTCCCAGGAGGCACAATCAAAGAATCCATCGAGACTCCTGGGCCCGCAACTCGAACTCGTGGCGTTAGGCCAGATTACTCCAAACTGGAGCAGGTTTCAGACGACGAGGAAAGTTCTGGTGGTGACAACGTTAATGACGATAAGGAAGGCCCCAAGGACGAAGCTGAAAATGGCGTCAATGAGGCAGTGGTAGAGAACGAGGCAGAGAACTTGAAGCGCAAGTCTGATGGTGAAGTCTCGCCCCGTTCCCGTGTGCCAGCATCTCCTGCTACCCCCTCTCATGTGATGGTATTTGCTCCCGAAAGGCCTCTTCAGGGCGGCTGAAGAAACTGACTAAATATAGAATATGCCCTCTTACCACAACACTCCTCAGTCCGGCGGCAGTGTTGGTATACATACTCCATACTATGGGGTCGCAATGCAGCAATACCAAAGCCCCCAGCACAATTATGCAGGGATGCCCATCTCAAACTACCTGCCACCCTCTAGGATGACATCGTTCTCAACAAACCGGAATGACTCAGTTAGCTCCTTGACTTCGTCCATGCGGCCAGGTCTTAGCACCCAAAGCTCTTTCAGTCATGCACCAACAGCCAGTCAAGGACCGTTCGCTAATCAAGCTGACATTTACCACCATGTTGGCGTTGATTTCAGCAACATAGGAGGTGACATCGAGCACGACATGCGCCAGGTTGGAGCTATGCTTCCGTCAGATGAAGACGATGAGGAATTCTCGCACTTGTTTACTCAGCATGGTAAGTCTTCATTCCAAAATTAGATGTTGTAACACTAAATAGCCATCAGGTCGAACTTGAGCTCCAAAACGATCAGTGCCCAAATTCAAAGCTTCAACTAGACCGTCACAAAAGCAGAAGTCATATTTAACGACTCGAAAAACCTGGACTGCAAAGCGTTGTCTACCAAGACTCGTGCTTCTTCATATCTTTTCTTCTTGAATTCCAGTGGTCATCTCATTCCAAGCTCCAAGGTCGGAACCTACCCATACTTCAATGGAATAGGAGGATTCCTAGGAAAGTCATGACATGAAAGCGACCGAGACAGAAGATCTATGCTTGCTTAGCTACTCTTCTGCATAGAGAGGAAGCAGCTAGTTAGGTAGTCAGCATACACAAATTGTTCACCCATCACGGCTTGAGATTTTGTTCTGGTGAGACAATGGTTCCCTTACCCAGGAATCATATACAGCTGCTCGTGTGAACTTGCCTTGATGATTTATCTGTGCCTGGGATGTAGCTTTTCTCAAATTTTGGGTTGCTCAGATTAATTATGCTCAGATACTTGTAGAACAGGGGAGCAAGCGAAGGGGCTGGTGAGGGTGGACGATCGACATCCGGGATGGGGAGATTCTAGCAACATCCAAAGCTCCCACTAGCTCGACTTCAAAAAAAAGTTTGATCGACACTCAATCCTCCATTACATCCAATCAGCCATTCAATCCTTGGTTCTTAGCAGCTTTTATCATCTTGCTTTCTTCGTTCTCTCTTGTGTCCTCTTCATTTGCAACCTCACCGACAAGATGCAGCGAGCACTTTCTTCAGTAACCCGTGCCTCCACTGCGCCAACATCTTTCTCCAAACTACGAACAGGACGCAACCTACAGCAACTGCGATTTGCGCACAAGGTGAGTGTCAGTCCATCACCTCCAACAGCTTCCTATCCTTCATATCTCTGCTAGATTCAACGTCGTTCTTGAAGACGAGCATGTGCTGATGGCCACCAGGAGCTTAAGTTTGGTGTCGAAGGTCGAGCAGCTTTGCTCAAGGGTGTGGATACTTTAGCAAAGGCTGTCTCAACCACACTTGGCCCTAAAGGCAGGAACGTATTGATCGAGTCCAGCTATGGCTCACCAAAAATCACAAAAGGTAATTTCAAGTATTCCACTGGGTGGAGAAGAGATACTGACGCGGCTGTCGTTAGATGGCGTAACTGTCGCGAAAGCTATTTCGCTGCAGGATAAGTTTGAAAATCTTGGAGCTCGCTTGCTACAAGATGTTGCGTCGAAAACCAACGAAGTCGCCGGTGATGGTACAACTACTGCCACAGTCCTCGCTAGAGCAATATTTTCTGAGACCGTCAAGAACGTTGCTGCTGGCTGCAATCCGATGGACCTCCGCAGAGGAATTCAGGCTGCAGTCGACGCCGTTGTTACATTCCTTAGGGCCAACAAACGTGATATCACAACAGGGGAGGAGATTGCACAAGTAGCAACCATCTCGGCCAATGGTGATACTCACGTTGGCAAGCTGATCTCTAATGCAATGGAGAAGGTTGGCAAAGAGGGTGTAATTACGGTCAAAGAAGGAAAGACGTTGGAGGACGAGCTTGATGTCACGGAAGGAATGCGGTTTGACCGAGGCTTTACATCACCCTACTTCATTACAGATACCAAGGCACAAAAGATCGAATTCGAAAAGCCCCTTATACTCCTCTCCGAAAAGAAGATCTCCGCCGTTCAAGACATTATCCCCGCCCTTGAAGCCTCGACCCAGCTACGACGCCCGCTTGTGATCATTGCCGAAGACATCGATGGAGAAGCTTTGGCCGTTTGCATCTTGAACAAGCTTCGTGGCCAGCTTCAAGTTGCTGCAGTTAAAGCGCCGGGCTTTGGAGATAATCGAAAGAGCATACTTGGTGACATTGGAATTCTGACGAACGCCACCGTTTTCACTGACGAGCTTGAGATCAAGCTTGAGAAAGCTACTCCGGATATGCTCGGGTCAACTGGTTCGATCACCATCACTAAGGAGGACACAATTATTTTGAACGGAGAAGGAAGCAAGGATGCTATTGCACAAAGATGTGAACAGATCCGTGGCGTCATGTCAGATCCCTCTACGTCGGAATACGAGAAAGAGAAGCTCCAGGAACGACTTGCCAAACTCTCCGGTGGTGTTGCTGTCATCAAGGTTGGAGGAGCATCTGAGATCGAAGTCAGTGAGAAGAAGGACCGAGTGGTGGACGCCCTTAACGCTACGCGTGCCGCTGTAGAGGAAGGAATCCTTCCTGGCGGTGGGACAGCATTGCTGAAAGCCGCTGCTAACGGCCTTACCCAAGTCAAGCCCAGCAATTTCGACCAGCAGCTTGGTGTAAGCATCATCAAGAGCGCCATCACTCGTCCTGCCAAAACAATTGTCGAAAACGCTGGCATGGAAGGCAGTGTAATTGTTGGCAAGCTGATGGATGATTTTGGGGCGGACTTCAATAAGGGTTACGACAGCTCGAAGAGCGAATATGTGGATATGCTTGCTTCTGGTATCGTGGATCCGTTCAAGGTCGTCCGTACAGCTCTAGTCGACGCCAGCGGTGTTGCGTCACTACTCGGCACAACAGAGGTTGCAGTTGTGGAGGCGCCAGAAGAGAAGAGCCCCGCAATGCCTGGTGGAGGTATGGGTGGTGGTATGGGCGGTATGGGCGGCGGCATGTTCTAGGATCCTACCTTCTGTCCTGCATTTCAGCGTTTCTAATTGCATACCCCGGATCTCGATTTCTTCTTGTACGTTGATCCAGCTCCACTCTCCCCTCCATCATTTCCAGCTTTGTCTTCCTACGACATTAGAAAAGCATGCCTCGGGCGTCCTGTATCATATGTAGCATAAACCTATAATAGCACGAACGAGACGCTAGGATTGACCACAGGTATCACACACAGGGGTCTACCCGTCGGTTACTTGACAACAACACTATATTAGACATGTGTGTTTTGTCGCTAAGGTACTCCGTATCATGGTCTGGATTGATTCAACGTGGTAAGTAGTTAGACCCAAACATTGCCAAGGACCCTTGCGTCGAACGAGAAGACTAGTTAGGACAGTTTCAACGGCACGATTGTTCAACAAGTTTCGTTTCGACGGTCCTGCTAATAATAATCACTGAAACTTTCACAGCATCAACTGCCAGGCGACTAACCAGTAAAGGTGGTATTCAACATCGATTTTTTGCCGAGCCGAAACCAGTTGCCCGACTCACTGCTGGGTGTGTTACAATGTTTGAACATCTCTCTACCACCTGGTGTCAAAAGACACGGTCGTTTCAGAAGGAGAGCAGCGCTAAGAAGAAAAGCAAATAATTTCATGGAGCAGTGGTGGTCACCAGAGATGCGGGATGTATCCTGCTACTCGATTTATTCAATTCCAAGACCACTTGTTTCTGATGGAGTTGGTAATTCATAACTATGATTGAATTTCCAATATATGTATTTCTGCAGTTGGTTTGATCTGTCTTTCTGAACTAGGCACTACAATTTCGTGACTGGATTTTCTCTCCTCTGTGATTGTCTAGACAGACGGGATCAATGGCAGGCAACAGTGATCAAAATTCTGGTGATTCGGATACTGGATCTCTGGAACGGTTCAGACGGCGTCAACGGCGGAGACTATCTTCGCCAGAGGAGAATCCTCCACGATCAGGAGGAAGCGAAATAGTGGACGGAACTCTTCCAAGACGTTCTCAACGTGCAATAGAAGAGCCTGCCCTGCATTGTAGGGTTCCGACACATATGACAGAGCCAGCCGCTGCGTCTGCGAGAGCTATTGAGGCTTCCACAGGTGCCGGATCTTCAAAAGGACCTTCCCAAGGAAATTCAATAACACCTTCTCAACCTGGATTTCGCCATCTTCGGCTTGGAATTGAGACAGAATTCCTCCTCGCTGCTCGAAAACCGGACCATAATAGACTAAGGCTGGATCATTTTGCTGAGGTTCTCGCAGCCAACTACAATGCGTATGTTAGCCGACGGCATCCTCGAATGACCAGTACTTTACTGGCTCCTAATGATCCAGACGACAACACAAAATGGTCTATGGTGTATGAGAGCACTAACTGGAGAGACAAATCACCTTGTAAGGCGCTCTAGGTACCAGATAAAACCCCAAACCCCAGCTGACATGACAATCTAGGGGGAATAGAAATGAGATCACCAATTCTGGATGTCTTTCCGCGATCAGCATGGCGGTCCCATGTCATCGAGACTTGGGGGTATCTGGACAAGCATTATAGAATTCTTGGCGACGACAGATGCAGTACTCATATCCACGTTTCCATGACACCGAACTTTAACTTAGCAGATCTTAAGCATATTGCGTCGACCATAATTCACTTCGAAGAAGCTTTCGAAGCTTTGATGCCTGACCACCGGAGAGGAAATGGATTCGCGGTAAGCAACTGGCTTTGTAGCCCTTATTTGAGGCGACAGGGCAAAAATCGACTTCAATCTGTCGAAGCCATTCGGAAAGCAAATGATGAAGTTGAGCTGTTCCGTCTGATTCAAGGACTCAATAGCAATGACTTTTGTTGGAATTTCTTGAGTGTTTTTGGGGACAAGGGCACTATAGAGTTTCGTCAACCTCCGGCGAGCTTAAGAGTGACTGAAGTTCTTGGCTGGGCTGAGCTGGTCATGAACTTCATCCAAGCATCCCTTCTGTTTGGGTCATCAGCGCATCTCTTTCCTGCAAACGTCGGAGGTCTACGCTCTTTCCTAGAGCAAGTCAATGTAGACGGGGTGAACAAACCTGATTGGCTGCAACACATTTGGGCAGGCAAGCCTGATGATATGGCATTTCAGCCGAAGCAAATACTTCCACAGATATTGTCGAAAAGGGAGTCTACTCAACAGCTGACAGAAAAGGTGGTGTTGGAACTGAAAAGGTCTCGCATGAGGCAAAATTTGGTCTACAAGGCCAACAGTAAATAGACTGAGGGATCTAAGATCAATGGCATAGCTTTCTGTGTGGAACCATTGCTCGACCAAGTCCAAATGTGATAAAAGTCCGAGAACCATGATTTGTTCAGCCATACATATGATATTAACGACCCGCCCCCTAAAGTGTGTGGAAAGCATGTTGTTCTATCTGCTAAGGAGTTGAGAGTAGATATAGATATACGTACCAAATAGGCCATACCGCACCACGAAATATGCTGCGATATTGCAATGGCAACTGACCAACCAACACAGGCGAATAAGACAGATCAAAACTAGAAAAACTCACCAATAGATACTCATACAGCTTGACAGATATCTTACCGTTGCTGCTCGCAACTTGGACTGTACTCCGTACTTGCTTGAATTTACCAATGTTTAGCCATTACAAGGACCGTCAAAAGACGATCAGAAGACCATAATTTCCCAAAATGACGTCCAAAATGACAGAATTTCGATGTATTTGAGATGTCTTGATTCAGTATTTCTATGCAAACTAAGTCATATCATGGTTAGGCCTAGACTAAGCACACATTGATGGTAATTTAGACAGAGCTTTCAGAGGCCCTCTTCCTGCTAAGTAGCAGTGCAAAGGCAGGTCTTGGCACCATTATTAGTTACTAACTCAAGTAGTACTACCAGTACTCCGTACGTGGAACCAATAGTACTTGACAACCAAAATCGGCCACAAATAATCAGCCCCTCCCGATTGCCCTCTGTATCTAAGCGTTATAAGTTGCGCCTGAACTCGACGCGCAATTGTCCTCTGTCAATACTTGCGTCATCTTTACCTGAACGCCTCTCATAATTCCCGGGCTTTCAGATAAAGGTGTGCTGTCTGCTCTCCTAAAACCGTCTTGTCACAGATTCCTTCCCACCACAATAATCGGGTTTGGGGCGCTTTTGACCTGTCAGCAGAGTACTACATTTACACCACTACTGTGTACTGCAGTTGTATCCTGTGATCATGGTGTGTGCTTCCTCTGTTTCTCACATTATAAATAGCTAACATACTTCACTTGTAGCCTGTTTCCGGGTACGTCTCTCATTGTCCCCTCGTTGCTGATGCGTCGGCCTTGACCACATCTCGGATATCTTTGCGCGTCAGAAATTGACTCTTTCCAGACTCACGGTCCATCCTGACTGCATCAAGGCATTCAATGATCTGAAACTGGGCAACAATGGCATAAAATACATAATTTACAAAATCTCGGACGATCAGAAGGAGATTGTTGTGGACGAAATCAGCAAAGAAACCGACTACAACGTCTTCAGAGAGAAGCTGCAAAATGCCCAGGAGAAGAATGGAAAGAGCAGGCCGTCTTACGCCGTCTATGATGTGGCATTTGATCTCGCTGGGGGTGAAGGACACAGGTTCGAACAATTTCCAGATCGGATGACAGTCCTGGACTGACAGAGAGCAGAACAAAAATAACCTTCATTACTTATATCGATCAGGATAATACTTCCGTCAAAGTAAGTCTATTATCCCCTCAGGATATAGACATGCAACCGGTCACTAATCTTGGGCAGGCTCGCATGACCTATGCCAGCTCACGCGAAACCTTGAAGAATTCGCTCAGTGGAATTAGTATGACATGGCAAGCCAGTGAACCGGGCGAGCTAGAATGGGAGCCTCTTCTAAAAGAAGCAAGCAAGGGCAAGGCATCTGCATAGTCCGATCACTCAAGGTGGTCAATGGGGACAAAGTCGCCAAGCAAGGTGTAGCAAGACGCCATGGCTGTCACGGATTCCCAAGAAAGGCAAGAAATTGCAGATACCGGGATGAGCTTTCAAGACTCAGATGAGCCGTCCCTCTATCATGACCATTCCCGGTACAACCATGGAGCGCGCGGTTCTGTGTTGGTTGGCTGTTGCCAATCAAAGACTCGCTGATAAGACTTTGATCATTTTGTATTTCAATTGCTAGCAGCATTTTCTTCTACTGGTCGCTCTCTTCTACGAAGCTTCTTTGAATCGCCTGAAGTGGTATGCGGCCTATCAGCTTGTTGATCAAGTACTCCGTAGACGACAGTACGATAGATTAGTTCGAACAACTTTTACATGCTAAGGACGGGTCCAGTTCATTTGGTGTTAGTTGTGATCCCACCAATCATAGGTCGGCTTGAGCTTGCCGATCAATGAGCAAAGACCTCACGACCAGTTGCACCCTCACAAAACCAATGCACATTCTCTCAATACGCCGCCAAAAGCTGCAGTAACCCACCAAGAAGGCTCAAAGCTGGGCCGGGCAGCTTAAGATCATAACTGACCGATTGCCTCGCTTCTGTTGCTACAAAGATGCTTCTCCGCTCTCTCCCTAGAGTCGGACAACAGACCTCGAGCAGCTCTGCTTACCTATCCGCTCCTCGAAGAACAGCAAATATAACACGACCGTTCCATGTCACTGCTCGCTCAGCTGCCGCAGTTTTTGAATCTAGTCAGCAGCGCCAGTACGCCGCCACCCCTTCCAGCACAAACAACCAATCTCGAGCAGCTCACGCAATCGCAAATCCTACATTGGCCGGCATCGAGAAGAGATGGGAAGCGATGCCACCACAAGATCAGGCGGCGTTATGGATGCAACTGAGAGATCGGATGAAGGTTGATTGGCATGAAATGACTATACAGGAGAAGAAGGCCGGTATGTAAACCAAGACAGGAAAAAGAGGTATCATGCTGTCATATCCTACTGTACCGGTGGTACTGCACCTGCAATACGTATCCTACAATGCCGTTTTGTGCGATGGACGTCGTCGAGCTCCCAGCTAATATGTGCCCTGTTCTAGCTTGGTGGATTGCATTCGGTCCTCATGGTCCGCGCGCCGAGACTCCTCCAGGAGAATGGGGTAGAGTCTTCCTCTATACGGGTATCGGTGTTGCTGTCTCCATTGTTATATTCGTGATCGGCCACTCTTTCTCTAGACCACCACCACGAACGATGACTAAGGAATGGCAGGAGGCTACGAATGAATACTTGAAGGTACGATCCAACCAAAGCTGTAAAAGGTTTGTCCGGCTATTGTCTATAATGACTGACCATACCGTTACTCTACAGAAAGAGAGATCCAACCCCATCTATGGTATCAGCAGCGAGGGCTACAGTGGAAAAGGTTATGTACAGAGCAAGGCGGAAAGAAAAGCGTGAACATAGATTACAACAAACCATCATTGGCTGGGTGGGAAGGAAAGGGCAAAGGCATTTTGTTAGCAGCTCCAGCGATACAGGATCTTGTACCCGCTGGCTCTGCCTTAGCTGCCGAGCTTGTGCCAAAGCTGCTGCTGCCATTGCTGTTTCCAATAATACCTTTGAACAAGCATCTCATCCCTTTGGTCGTGAATACCGAACTCTTCTATATACTATCACGTTCACAATCACTACACCCTCGTTTGTGAAAGTGGCTCACGAAATCCAGACAGGCAAATGAAATCTGCTCTCGAGATCTTTTACCAGGTCGACAGAAGAGCAGAAGGTTCCCCAGGGTCCGCGGGGAGCGGAGAAACCTGAATGGTGAGAGCTACGATTTTCTCATCGACAGCCTAACTATTCCGGAGAGCATCAACGGAGCATTTATCTGTGCTGACCGGAAGAAACAGAGGCACTGCCCTGAATGCACGGCAAAGGGGCATTAGGGATCACGCATGATCTGATGTCCTAGTTCATAGCTAGCACACCTACGACATGATCAACTGGGACTTGATGTCTGCTCCAATACCACAGGGAAAGACCAATGGCAGCAAGTACAGCTAATTGATTGATATCAATACTCCAAGGCTGGCCCCGCCCTCGCAAGATTGGTGAGGGACGCTTGTACAGAGTCAAGAACCTACAGTCGTCTTTGTGCCTGAATTCGAGGACTGTTTTCAAGATCTAGTTACTTGGGATAGTGGTAAGGGTCAGTGCAAGTGTCAACTCGATCTTCATCTGCAGCTCAACAGATCTGTTGGATATCGTCTCTATGGGGACTGGCAGTACCAGACAGGCATAGCAAGTCAAGTATAGTCAGGTAAGCATGTAGAGCTGCCAAAGCAGCATAGGCATGCCGTTGTTGCAATGGTGTCGCTGCTGCTGTTGCTGTTGCTGTTGCTGTTGCTTCGGGTAGGGAACTGACCAGTGGCTGCGTCAACCAATCAGAAGCGGCAGGCTGGGGTACTCCGTACATAGCTTCTTTCCGACCGCAGACCTCAACTTTCTCCTTCCGAGCTCCCTCTAAATATCACAACCCTCTCCATTCTACCACCCCAGCAACACTCTCTTTTCAATCTTTAATCATGTTCAAAAGGTAAGGTCTCCCACCACAATGGTCTCGGCAGCTTCATTGGGTCTCTTGCGCGAATGCTGACTGCTCTCTCATTACTACAGTGGCCTTGCTCGGACCTTGGGCAGGTCTGCTTTTGCCCGCCCTGCCATCAACTCCCGACGCGCGTTCGAACCTCTCCGAAAGCACACCCTCCCAGCATTAGGTGCACGATTGGCTACCACCGACGCAGCGAAGAATGGAAAGATCCATCAGGTCATTGGAGCTGTTGTGGATGGTACGGAAATCCCTCATATTGTTCAATCGGGCTACAACGAACTGCTGGAAGCTCCAACAATGCTCGGTTTGGTGATATTGGAGACTAATTCAGCTCTTGCAGTCAAATTCGACACCGAACAGCTACCGGAGATTCTGAATGCGCTAGAAACCGACAACGGTGGAAACAAGCTTATTCTGGAGGTGTCGGTACGATTTACAACCATTAGCAAGAAAGATCAGTTCTGAGTTATCATTCTAGCAACATTTGGGTGAGAATGTCGTCCGATGTATTGCTATGGATGGTAAGCCTGTTGTGTCCCCCAGACAAGGATTGCAGAAGCTGACATTACGGTCTTTCAGGTACCGAAGGCCTTGTCCGTGGCCACAAAGCAGTCGATACTGGAGCTCCCATCAAGATTCCTGTCGGACCTGGCACTCTTGGTCGCATCATGAACGTGACTGGTGACCCAATTGACGAGCGAGGGCCAATCAAAGCAAGCAAGATGAATCCAATCCACGCCGAAGCCCCATCATTCGTAGAACAATCCACCAGTGCCGAAGTGCTTGTAACTGGTATCAAAGTCGTCGATCTGCTGGCGCCGTACGCTCGTGGTGGAAAGATTGGTCTCTTCGGTGGTGCTGGGGTTGGCAAGACTGTGTTTATCCAGGAACTCATCGTGGGCGCTCAGCGATTCCATTATGAAGTCGAAATACTGACCTCAGCAGAACAACATCGCCAAAGCTCATGGTGGTTACTCAGTCTTCACCGGCGTCGGCGAGCGAACACGTGAGGGTAACGATCTCTACCACGAAATGCAAGAAACGTCCGTTATCCAGCTCGATGGCGAGTCTAAGGTCGCACTGGTGTTTGGTCAGATGAACGAACCACCAGGCGCGCGTGCTCGTGTTGCCTTGACCGGTCTAACGGTTGCGGAGTACTTCCGTGACGAGGAAGGACAGGACGGTAAAGACGCTGGCTCAGCTGCCATATGCGAGATTGCTGATGATGGATTACAGTGCTGCTCTTCATTGACAACATTTTCCGATTCACCCAGGCTGGTTCTGAGGTGTCTGCCTTGCTTGGTCGTATTCCATCCGCTGTCGGTTACCAACCAACACTCGCCGTCGACATGGGTCTGATGCAGGAACGTATCACAACCACACAGAAGGGCTCCATTACATCCGTGCAAGCCGTCTACGTACCTGCTGACGATTTGACCGATCCCGCCCCTGCCACTACCTTTGCCCATTTGGACGCCACCACTGTGCTGTCCCGTGGTATTTCCGAACTAGGTATTTACCCTGCCGTCGATCCACTCGACTCTAAATCTCGCATGTTGGATCCCCGCGTGGTCGGACAAGAACATTACGATACCGCCACTCGTGTTCAACAGATGTTGCAAGAATACAAGTCGCTGCAGGATATCATTGCTATCTTGGGTATGGACGAGTTGTCAGAAGCCGACAAGCTCACCGTCGAGCGTGCCCGAAAGCTACAAAGATTCCTCTCGCAACCGTTCACTGTCGCTCAGGTCTTTACTGGTATCGAGGGCAAGCTGGTCGACCTGAAGGAGACCATCAAGTCATTCCAGAAGATCATGAACGGTGAGGGTGATGATCTGCCCGAAGGCGCTTTCTACATGGTCGGGGACTTTGACTCGGCGCGTGCCAAGGGTGAGAAGATCCTGGCGGAATTGGACAAGGCGTAGATGAGAAGAGTGGGTGGATGTTGCGTGGCGGGAATGGGAAGGGGTCAGTTCAGATGATACAAGGTCCGAACGCACTACTTACTCCCCCTTGGTCATTTGTGCCAAAGAAGAAAACCATTGTACATGAACTTTCCCATCCTCTTTTTCACCTGTATCCCTGACTAGTCCCAAGATGGGGCTGGCTCTAACCAGAACGCATACTCTGCCACTGACTGATCCGTAAGACAAGTGTAGTATGTACTGTACGTTCCATCACTGACTGGGCTGTTCCCTGTAGTTACTGATATAACGAACTATCAGTCCGCAATCACACAGTTCGACTGGGTCTGGCCTGGAGGTGAGTGATGGCGCGCATGTATGTACGTACGTGCATCTTATCCCATCTCTCGCGTTTGCAGATTGTAACTATTAGTTACTGTTCGGATCATGCCCTTTGTCTCTCTCTCTGGATGCGAGGATTCTGAATTGTCATATCATATCCGCGCCTCTTGCTTTTTTAAACATCTTATGCTGTCGTGACTGAGTTCGATAGATTCAATCAAGTATATAAGCATATAGTCACCATGTCATGTCGGCCGGCAGGGCTACTGATACCATGACCATTTATTTACTCCGTACTGTGCTGTTGCTGTTGCTGTGCTATGCTATGCCATCCTGGCCTGGCCTGGCCTGTCATACAGAGTACGGATTCCCGGAAAAAGGGAAATGCGGCCATCGTTCATGTTCATTTGACCATTAAATCGGATCGTACCGTACAGTGCAGTATCCGCTATTTATGTACTTACTGTATTGTCCTATCCTGTCCTTTAGTTATCTGCCCGCTGGGAGGGAAGGGGCATGAAAGTTTTGGCCCGTGAAAGTGATGGTCGTCGTCCAGCTAGCTATCTGCGCTGCTTTTCTTTCCTGGATTGGATTGGATTAGATTGGATTGCTCAAAAAAAGGATACACAAACAACCAGCCTCACCCTGCCCCAGCAGCAGCAGCAGCAGCAGCTTTGACCCTCCACTCCTCAAAACTACCTATACCCCCACTCCCATCTCCACCTCTCCTCCTTTCTTTCCTCCTCCCCTCCCGCTTCAATCTCACCTTCTCCTCCCAATCCCCTTCGAACCCTCCCGCCCTGGCCCCTCCCGAAATACACCGCCCCTTCTTCCCGTCTCGCCACTTTCTCCGTCACAAGCACGTACTTGACTGAACTGCCGGGGGCCTCGAACATGGCGTCGCCGAGGATGGCTTCCATTTCCGTGCGGAGGGCGCGGGCGCCGGTGCCCATGACCAGCGCGTTGGAGGCGATGACGTGTAAGGCTGGGGTAGTGAAGCGGAGTTCAATAGATGACAGGGAGAAAAGGGTGGAGTATTGCGCGGTCAGGGATGAGCGGGGCTCGGTTAGGATACGGAGAAGTAGACTGTGGGTGAGAGAGGAGAGGGCGGCGGTGGTTGGGATTCGGCCGATGAGTTCGGGTATTAGGCCGTAGGTTTGGAGGTCGGTCGGGGTGAGGAGGTCGAGGGGGTTGAAGTAGGTGGGTTCTGGTACGGGAAGGGTTGGGTCGGAAGAGGAATCTTGGTCTTGGGGTGGTTGGGTGGGGGTGAAGAAGGGAAGGTGCTTTTTGTAGAGTGCTTCCTCCTCGGAACCGGGAAGGATGGGGATGGGCTCGTTGTGGGAATTTGGTTTGGATGACGAGGAGGAGGATGGCGAGTAGAAGAGAGACGAGGAGGAGCGGACGGGTGCGCCGAAACCGATGCTGCCTTTGGACAGCCGGTCCATGACTACTTTCTGTAGACCTATAAATGCTCCACTGAAGATGAAGAGAATGTTGTCGGTGCGGACGTTGTAGACTTCGCCTTTTGAAGGTTGGGTGGAGGATGTGTTTGATGGTGAGGTATAGCCGCTGCCGGCCAGGGTACTGTGCGTGAGGTATGTACTTGATTGTCCGCCAGCTCGTGGAGCATTCCGCTCTGGTTTGGCCTGAATCTGGATTGTGGTACCTTCGATGATCTTGAGCAGTGCTTGTTGAACACCCTCGCCCGACACGTCCTTGCCATGACTGACTTTGGCGGTCGCAATCTTGTCAATCTCATCAAGGCATATGATGCCTCTCTCGGCTCGGGAAACGTCGTAGTTGGCAGCTGCCAGCAACCGATGGACGCACACTTCTGCATCTTCGCCAATATATCCAGCTTGGGTGAATGGAGTGCAGTCCGACATGGAGAAGGGCACAGACAAGACTCGAGCCAGTGTCTTGGCCATCAACGTCTTCCCAACACCAGACGGTCCAAGCAGCATTACATTTGATTTCTCAATGGTCAGCGGCGTCATGTCCAGCAGTGGAGGGGAATGCATTCTCCCTTCAAACTCCCTTGTAGGAGGGCCTCCCAGACGTATGGTCGGCTGCTGACCCGGGAATTCGTCTGTGGTGGAGGTCAGCATTTGCTATGCACCATTTTGATGTGATTGACATCGACAGACCCTCTACCGGATGCCGCTCTCTCCGTTCTCTCTGTGCTATCAACTCTTCCGCCTCCTCTTCCTGCCGTTGTATCTCTTGTATCCTCTGGTAATGATTGTACACTGCCACACTCAAGATTTTCTTGGCCCGATCCTGGCCTACCACAAACTGATCGAGATGCTGCTTCAACATTTTGGGAGTGAGCCGAGGGGCGCCATGGATCGAGGCGCCCCCCAGCGGACCACTGGTGGGCAGTCCAGTCTCATAGGCGCCGGTGAAGGGCTGATTGGCAAAGTCGGATCGGTGGAACTGAGAGGAAGAATGTTGTGCGGAGGTTGATGAGAAGCTCCGCCTGGCTAATGCAATGTAGGATAATCTGACATGCTGAGGTATATTGATGGTCGCTACCGAGGCCATGGCAGGATGGAGGGATGGACAGAGAAAGCACAAAGGTTTCATCCAGGACGCTTGCGCCAACATCGATGATGTGGAGCAGGCTTGAGCATCACTACATCGACCCTCGCTTGACTACCTGGCTACTTAGGTTGATGCAAGCAATGCTGTAGCTACAAGTGGATCGATAATGAAATGATATCCGGATACTGGATGGATAGCGACTTGGCGAGCGGAGTTGATGCCAAGGAGAAGCCCCCCAACGGCTTTCCCCACCACCGATCCTAGTACTACGGTATGTAAGTGGGCGATGGTTTTGACCTTGGAAGCGCCACAGAAAGTATTGGTCTTACCACCCATTTTTTTGACTACATCTGCCATTTCAGGATACCGCTTAATCCAAATCCCGATGTAGTGAACAACCCTTCAAAATCCCTGCGTAGTAAAAGTAGAACAGGTACCTAGAGCTTGGCCCCTTATTCTTCACCACCAAAAATGATGATTTCCTTCTAAACATTGCGAAGCGAATGTGCGGACGTATATGTAGACTCTGCCTCGTCGAAAAAGAGCCACACCAAAACACAGAAGGAGGAATTCGTAATGATGATACATGAGCGATGGTCATTAGTCAATGTTAGACTAAGGAAGATTTCTTGCTGTTCCCGTTCTTTATCTCCCATATAATATCGCCTATGTTGCAAAAATGGAGCATATTATATCAGTTCGGTGTTCGATTAAAGATATAACTAAGCATAGTGAATTATTTGTGATTTCAAAGAATTTCCATTGCATAGAAAGATACTTCTAAAAGACCAGGTATTAAACCCATATAGTTCAACAAGGAAAAGTAGTTTGTAAAGACATGGTCTAGCCACAGCACTGCCAATAGTCTTTGATGTTGTTCTACCAGCTTCTTGACTAATCTACATAATTCATTACTGTTGGAACAGAGCTGCAGATGTTGGTTTTGCCGCTGCGCCACCCTCAGGCCAAAAGGCACAAAGTAGAAAGCTGTGGAACGTTGCTGACTAATCGACGGATCAGTGTGGAAATAGCAAGTTGTTCTATCTAAATGAGTGCGAAGAGCACGTATTTATACGTACAGATGCTGCGTAGCGTGAAACGCAGATACCAAAAACACATGCGGATCTCATGCGAAACGCGTATCAGATCTGTAACAAAACGTATATGAAACGCATGGTCAAACCGCGCTCAAACAGTTCAACAAAAGCTATCCAGCTTTCTACTACCAACTACTTATATACCAAATCTCAACACCGTCACAATGGTCTCATAGTCAGGATTTTAGTGTTACATGCGTCCTTACAATTAGATCACGCGATCACTATTGACCATTAGAAAAAGGTTCTGACTGGTAATATCAATCGTTCCATTTCTAATCAATCATTACTTATTGTCATTCTAATTGAAAATTACTCATCATCTGCCACCATTCTCGTTTCTGTACTTCTAGAGTATAAAGAGACCTCATCACTAGAGGAGGTGGGTGGGAAGGAGATTGAAGTAAGTCTCAAACATCGAAAGCCATAAACGTGACTCTGCCAAATTTATGGCCAAGACCAACAACGTTCCCAAAAACAGTAACACAGGTTGCCCGACGGTCGGTAGGAAGCCAAAGAATGCGGTCTGTACAAAGACTCAACCACTCATCCTTAGCAAAAACAGAAGATAAAATTTGCGACGGTAAAAGAGCCCTATCAGTCAGAAGGGAAGTACTGTTGAAAGAGATAAAGGAAGCAGTATAGTCAATGTCGAACGTCTGTAGTACTGCGCCTGACGTTGCATCCCATAGCTCAATTATCCCGTCCTCTGACCCTAATGCTAGCGTCTTACCATCCGATGAGAATGCTATAGCATTAATCTGCTCCAAATGGCCCTCTAGCGTCTGTAGCGTTACACCTAATTTGGCGTCCCATAGCTTGACTGTTGTGTCCCATGACCCTGACGCTAATATCTTGCTGTCTGGCGAGAAGGTTACAGCAGAGACTATAGATGAATGGCCCTTTAGCGTCTGTAGCTCTGCGCCTGACTTAATATCCCATAGCTTGAACTCTGTATGGCCCCCTAAGCCTGACGCCAGCGTCTTACCATCCGGTGAGAAGGCCACAGCAAGAACTGCGCTCTCAGGGCCACCTAGCGTCTGTAGCACTGCGCCTGAATTAGTATCCCATAGCTTGATTGCGCAGTCTGTTGACCCTGACGCTAGCATCTTACCATCTGGCGAGAAGGCTATAGCATTAACCTCTTCTGAATGGCCCTCTAGCGTCTGTAATGCTGCATTGAATTTAGCGTCCCACAGCTTAACCGTTTTATCCCATGACCCTAGCGCCAGTATCTTACCGTCCGGTGAGAAAGCTAGAGCAGAGACTGCATTTGAATAGCCCTGTAGCGTCTGCAGCTTTACACCCGACTCAGTGTCCCATAGCTCAATGGTCCTGTCCTCCCATCCTGACGCTAGCGTCTTACCGTCTGGCGAGAAGGCTATAGTAAGACCATCTTCTGAATAGCTCTCTAGCATCTGCAGCGCTACACCTGACCTGACATCCCATAGCTTAATACCATCCAACGACACTGATGCTAGCGTCTTGCTGTCTGGTGAGAAGGCTATAACAGAGACTCGCCATGAATGGCTTAGTGTTAGTGTTGTGCCTGATCTGATGTCCCATAGCTGGACCCTATTGTGCTCCTCTAACCCAAATGCTAGCATCTTACCGTCTAGCGAGAAAGCCATAGCAGAGACCCGATCTGGATAGCTCAGCGTCTGCAGCAATACGCCTGATCCAGCGTCCCACAGCTTAACTGTTCCATCCCTTGACCCTGACACTAACGTCTCACCATCCGGTGGCAAGAAGGCCACAGTGAGAACTGATTCCAAATGGCCCTCTAGCGTCTGCAGTACTACGCCTGACGCAGGGTCCCATAGCTTGATCGTTGTGTCCTTTGACCCTGATGCTAACGTCCTACCATTTGGCGAGAAGGCTACAGCGGAGACTGAGCCTAAATGGCTTAACTTTTGCAGTGCTGCGCCTGACCTGGCATCCCATAGCTGGACTGTCTCGTCGCTTGACCCTGACGCCAGTATCTTGCCGTCCGGTGAGAAGGCTATAGTGCCAACTGAGCCTGAATGGCCCTCTAGCGTCTGTAGTATGATATTCCAACTCTCCTCCACCCTTGGCAATGTTTTTATCCACTTAGGAATGCAGTCTGCAAACTGCTTTCTGACCATACTTGTTGTTGGTGCGAATATGAGGGCACTGCAGTAAGTCTGAATTGGAGCCTGCTCGATAGATGATCGGTTAGAAAGAACAAATCGCTTTGCGTCATAAATAAAATTCGAAAGATTAGGACAATTATCTGACTAACTGAGTGTTAGCAAAAGTATATACTGTGCTAGAGATACTTACAGCAACAAACGACTCTAAAGCTATAATAGCGTAAATACCTTCTGATATCTTGCCTATCCAGCCAAGCGCCTCAAGCCAATGAAGAAGGTGCTTCTGTAGGAAGTGATGCACTTGGTCATTGTCACAAAGCTGAGCACTGCTCTTCTGAATATGCTCCATCCAGTAAAGACAGCTGTACTGGACTTCAGGAGGAAGATGGCGATCAATCCGGCTTCTCGCAACCTCAGCCACAAGCTTGCCGGGAGCATTAAGCCCACAGATATCTTGCTTCAGTGATGTTGACATAAGCCGTAAACAGTTTTCTGCTAATACTTGATGCGCCTGCTTCTCATTCACCCAGAAGTTTGGGTCTTGACACCGGCTCTTGCTGAGTAGATAGTCCCTAAACGAGGGATGATGAAGACGAAGTGGCTGAAATCGGTCTTTCGGAATGTCGATAACGGAGTGCAACTCGTTTAGCGTCTAGTCTAGGTCTTCTTTTTTAACACTAAGTAGCTTATATAGAGATGATGTAGAGAGCGGGGATAGTAAAACAACGATACTGCCAAGAGCTTTTCTTAGTGCACGATGTACTTCTTCTTTCTCCTCCTTAGTGAATTCTACAATAATGGATTGTTGCAACACAGTCGTGTAGATCTCATCTAGATGCTTCTCCGGTGCTATCGAGGCGCTGTTAATGCCCGAAAGGATCGTATCAAGTCTTCTGGCTGCAAATCGTTTCCCTTCATGAATAAATCGGCAAGCGGTTGCGGCCCAGATAAAGAGACCTCTAGCAGTTTGAATCAGACGCTTAATAATCTCTTCGCCCGGCCAACAAGCATCTAGAGATTGTTCTTGTCCAATGAGCTTGAGATTGTATTCAAAGAAGATGGAAAGGTCATGGTCGACGATTGATGGTGATATGTCGTGAAGTAGAAAGTCTCGATGCTCTACGTCTGCCATCTGGCAAAATCCATTTCGAATGGGAATCTCCGGTCGGCTAGTCAGGAAGATTCGTAGTCGGGTCGTCTTCAACGATCGAGCTTCAGCTAGAAGGTGTATGATGATACGGATGTTGTTCTCATTATCACATTCATCAAGAGCGTCAATCACAAGAACATACGCGGACTGGTTACCCTTTTCGCCTAGTTTCGACAGCGGACGCAGGACGAGCTGTTGCCACTGATCGCGGAGAGACTGGGTTACAATATCATTACGCTCTGCAATAGCCTCACAGATATACCGACGGGATGCAGGTATATTCTGTGTGATCTGCATAGCAATGCTGGTGATAAGCAGTCTCGCATGGCCGATGTCACCGCCGCCTTTTGAGAAGAAAAAGCTGGCTGCAAAACGCTGCTGCTCATAGTACCTACGGGCAACTGTGCGTGCAATTGTTGACTTGCCCGTGCCAGCCATGCCGTTCAGCCAGAAAATGCATCGCTCGTCTCTTCCGTCTGCCCAAACGTATATATCGTTCAAAAGGTCAACACGCGTATTATCTAAGCAGGCGGGTTCGTGTTGTCTCGTAAATGAGTTAAAGGGCGCTTCGATAGCATACGGTAAGCGATCTAGAGAACTGGCTGTTCCTATTGTTTAGCAAGTAGCCCTATATTGTCATAGCCTGTTGACTAAGCAAGCTTGAATACGATGCTTACTACCACGGATTTCTTTTTGTAGCCTCCGGAAAGCCTTCTCGTCGCCCTCCCCATATATGAGTGGCATGCTGACGTCAAAAAGACCTAATAGAGAATACGCCTTATCTTCACCGCGCTTGGTCTGACGCATTTTGGCCTATGACATTCGTTCGTTAATATCAAATTTGGCTAAAGGAGCGCCTTGAAGAGCCTGAACCGGGATCCTGGTGATCTCGTGAATTTGCTGCTCTAAAGACCTCTTGTCACCAAGTCGAGTACCCTTTGAGCAAAAGAACTCGACTAAAGGCGGAGCGAGAAGCTCTTGGAGCGTCCAGCCCCGCGTAAACCACCGGCTGTTGCGAAAGGCGGACTCCCATGGCTGTAAAGACGGACTGACCAGGTTATCGTCGACAATCGAAACGTCTGAAAGGTATACATAGCATTTCGCCGCTCTGCTATACCAACGATACATCGAAGTGATGGCTTCTGAAAGCTCAGTATTGTTCTCTTTGTTGATGCAGCATGTATCCACCCAAAAGTATTGTAGGCTATCACGTGCAGCCTGCTTTGCACAGAAGCGAAGCTTCTTGTATCCAGCTTTTGTCCTCCTCGGGCCTCTAGTCAGGTCTATAAAGCTGACTTCTTCATGGTCTTCTCCCCATGTATGTGAAAGGATAGCATAAGGTGGAATATTGTTGATCAGGTCATCGGTCAGGCTGAACTCGCTGTTCTCATCAATCTGCAAAAGACGCATAGTTCAACACGGGCATCGTCAGACTTATCTGCACAGAACAAATCAGGCAGTAGACACTCCAAAAAAAGTTAACTAAGGTAAAGAGATACGGTAGTGTGGCCTGAATACGAGGGCGCATGCGGACATGACACCTGCTGCGAGAAGAAAGCAAATCACGTGGAACTTGTCAGATTTGGCGTTGCTGTGACTAGTGCATGTCGTCTTTATACACAGGCTTTCATGCCAATCAGCAAAATCAATTAGAGATTACTAGTAAGGACATTAGCAGCAGGAAAAGTCCCTTAGTCCAATTTTGACTAATAACTATCATATTAATATCAGCGCGTATCCCCCCATCTTTATTACAGTGTAACCTTTCTCGAGGTTCCAGGGTCTATATATATCCGCACATTCGATTCGCACGATGCAAAAGGGAACCGTCATATTTGATGATGAAGAATAAAGAGCCAAGCCCGAGGTACCTGCTTCCTTTTCACCCCTAGGGAGTTTGGAGGGTTATTTACTACTTAGGGATGTGGATTACCTGTCGCCTTATAAAGCGACAGAAAAATGGTCCTCCCCACCCCCGAAAAAGTCATGCACGGCTATGAAATACCATGAATCTTGGGAACGTGTATGTAGTTCCTAGATAATCCTCGGTCCATACTTTTCGTGTGCCTCGGAACGTAAGAGTTGTTCATAGGATCAAATGTTACGAATCCTGGGAACGCAGATGCAGTTCCTAGGATGATGACAGGATCTTATGTAGCCCCTATCAGAATCTACTACTAAGGCAGACTCTAATGTTTAAGCAACTTCTAATTAGACACAGGATATTCTTAGGTAACCTAATACACTAATTATCTCTTGTATGTTGCTAACTATGTTTTGAGACTGTTTTTAGATGCTGCTGTACTATTATTGAGTGACATAGCCAGTAATACAGCATTTTTATTATTACAAGGGCTGAGGCGGTAGCGCAGCAGGCAGAAAGGGAAGGCCATCCGCGAGGGAAGCGAGAGGGGGAAGGAGTAGCAGACAGAAAAGAAGGGACGACGGAGGATGAGGAGCAGCGGGCTCTTTATACCCGGGCCAAGCGGCGAGAGGGTGCGTTCCCCGATCGGGCGGGGCTAAACCGGAAGAGGCAGCGCACCAGCATCTAGACTACGTAGTAAGTTACAGTACTACTATGTAGATTCTACAGTACGAGTACTGTTCTCATACTGTACCCAGCAGAGAAATGACCCTGCGAGGCAAGGTAGATTCGGGTGTAAGCGACACTCTCCTTGGACCATGCTCCGCTGCACTCGACGTTCTTTAGAGGGAGAGAGTTGCTGAATCTCCTCCAAACACAAAATAGGGTACTGTCCCATGAAAGCCTTACATGCATAAAGTCTTACTCCTGGGACACATGAGCCAGTATCTAGCTGGAGCACATGTTCTTATAATCTGAGATCCTAGGAATGCTAGCATCGGTTTGTTTTTCTACCTAGCATTGGTGGGTTTTGAAGAGAAAGTGGAGTGGAGCTTAACTAAAATTTGGAGCTGCTTCCCCACCAAGAATGATGTCGCTCCGCAGGGTCAATTGGGAGTTTAGAAGGGTCCAGTTGAGAGCTGTACACACATCTTCCACGTACTTTCACTAAGCAAGACTCCAGGCATGGGTTATCTTAACAGATATTTCATTCATTTAGGTTTTTTGGGCTAGTGAAGTCTGTCAGAGATCCATTAGCCCTTCCACGTTCCTAGTTACTACACATTGAGCCTCAATCAAAGCCCACCAGGGCCTACTGCTTCATCCGCTGTCATTTCTCCCGTATTGAAAGCTGTTTCTTCACCATGTCGCTCAATCAAGAATCGGAAAACTCAGTCTTTGCTGATCCTGCTAGTGACAAGGTTGCCCCTGACGGCACAGGTATTGCCCTTGGTCATATTCATCACTCCACTGCTGATGTATTTGCATTCAGGTGTCGTGCAGCTTGACCCCTGGCTCTCCCCATTCAAAGACGCCCTCAAACACAGATTTAGCAAAGCTCAGGGTTGGATAAAAACTATCGACAAGACAGAAGGTGGGTTGGAGAAGTTCTCTAGAGGTTTTGAGAAATATGGCTTCACCTTTGCCGATAACGGAGACATCACCTACCGAGAATGGGCACCGAACGCTGAAAAGGCATTTTTGATAGGAGACTTCAATAATTGGGATAGGGATGCTACACCCATGCAAAGGGACGACTTTGGGGTCTGGTCAGTCACTTTACCTGCAAAAGACGGAGTACCTGTCATTCCACACAATTCAAAAGTGAAGATCTCAATGGTGATTCCAGGTGGAGAGCGCATTGAGAGAGTTCCGGCATGGATCACGAGGGTCATGCAGAACCTTGAAGTCTCCCCTGTCTACGATGCTGTTCTCTGGAATCCTCCAAAGAATGAGAGATATGTGTTCAAGCACCCTCGACCAAAGAAGCCTGCCAGCGTACGCATCTACGAGGCACACGTGGGAATTTCTTCTCCGGACCTCAAAATTGCATCGTACAAAGACTTCACCAAGAATATGCTTCCACGAATACAAAACCTAGGCTACAACGTCATACAATTGATGGCCATCATGGAACACGCCTATTATGCCTCCTTTGGCTATCAAATCAATTCGTTTTTCGCTGCTTCTTCCAGATACGGCACTCCTGATGATCTGAAAGAGCTGATAGACACCGCTCACAGTATGGGTATCACTGTACTACTCGACGTGGTTCATTCCCATGCAAGCAAGAACACTCTCGACGGACTTAATATGTTTGATGGCTCAGATCACTTGTACTTTCACGAAGGTGCAAAGGGACGGCATGAGTTATGGGATTCTCGATTATTCAACTACAGCCATCACGAAGTTCTCAGATTTTTGTTGTCAAATCTCCGTTTCTGGATGGATGAGTATCAGTTTGACGGTTTCCGATTCGATGGTGTAACCTCAATGCTCTACACTCATCACGGCATCGGGACCGGCTTTTCGGGCGGTTACCACGAGTACTTTGGCCCTGGCGTTGACGAGGACGGTGTCGTCTATCTCATGCTCGCTAACGAGATGCTACATAATCTCTATCCCGAATGTATCACAATTGCCGAAGACGTCAGTGGTATGCCCGCGCTCTGCCTCGCCCTCTCATTAGGTGGCATAGGTTTCGACTATCGTCTCGCCATGGCCATTCCGGATATGTACATCAAATGGCTGAAAGAGAAATCTGACGCCGAGTGGGACATGGGTGCTCTCGCCTTCACCCTAACCAATCGTCGTCACGGTGAAAAGACCATCGCCTACGCCGAGTCGCATGACCAAGCCCTCGTCGGAGATAAATCCCTGATGATGTGGCTTTGCGATAAGGAAATGTACACCCATATGTCTACCACCACAGAATTCACCCCTGTCATCGAACGCGGCCTCTCACTACACAAACTAATCCGGCTCGTCACCCACGGCCTAGGCGGGGAAGGCTACCTCAACTTCGAGGGAAATGAGTTTGGCCACCCAGAATGGCTCGATTTTCCGCGGGCCGGAAATGACAATTCATACTGGTACGCCCGCCGCCAATTCAACCTCCCCGATGATGATCTGTTGCGTTACAAATTCCTGAACGAATTCGACCGCAAAATGCAATGGACCGAAGAGAAATACGGTTGGCTCCACTCTCCGCAAGCCTACATCAGCCTCAAGAACGAAACCGACAAAGTCCTCGTCTTTGAGCGTGCAGGTCTACTCTGGATCTTCAATTTCCACCCCACGAACTCCTACACGGATTACCGGGTCGGAGTGGAGCAGCCCGGTGTGTATAGGATTGTGATCGATACGGATGCGAAGGAGTTTGGTGGGTTTGAGAGGAATGCGCATGAGACGAGGTTTTTTACGACGGATTTGCCATGGAATGGTCGTAAGAACTTTACCCAGGTTTATTTGCCTACTAGGACTGCATTGGTGAGTTGATAATTCGATCGTACGATATGAGGTTTGGGAGAGGGGTGCTAACGTGCTGTGGTAGGTCCTTGCACTGGAGAATACGCTGTAAAAGACGCAGTGTACAGGTGATGCTGCAAGGGTTTGGATGTAAGCTTGTCTGGTAAAAGGACTGCAAGAAATAGAGTGGTAGAGAAAAATGGGTAGGAATGAGAAGGAGAGTGAGTGGGAGAGAGCAGAATTATATGGATTGATAGTGGCGATTGCGGATCAGCACTGTCAATATTGATATTGATATTGCGCAACACTACCAGCGTACATCCTATACATCCCAAACTCTTTCCTTTCGTTGCCACACCGGATACAACACCGACGGGTTTCAATTTCCCCCCCAGACCGCAGACGATCAATTCAAAATCCGCCATGATCATTTCGCCATACAACCATCATACATACTCCATACAACCTGGCTCATAACCATAAACGCGAACTGAACAGTAGGATGGCGTTGTTGTTATGATCTGTTACGGAATGCTTCTTCCTCCTTCTTGTCGGTCTGTCTGTGTCAAGGACTGACTGGCTTGGACGTAACTACCGTGATGCTGGCATACACGCATAACATGACGTGACGGACGGACGGACGGACGGACGGACGGACGGACGGACGGCGGGACTCGGTACTATAACAATGTTGGATGTATACAGATTTTCCGTGGTAGGACGCACAGAGTGTCTCGATCCTGCTGCTGTTGCTGTTGCTGTTGCTGTTGCGCTGTTGCTGTTGCTGTTGCTGTTGCTGTTGCTGTTGCTGTTGCTGTTGCTGTTGCTGTTGCTGTTGCTGTTGCTGTTGCTGTTGCTGTTGCTGTTGCTGTTGCTGTTGCTGTTGCTGTTGCTGTTGCTGTTGCTGTTGCTGTTGCTGTTGCTGTTGCTGTTGCTGTTGCTGTTGCTGTTGCTGTTGCTGTTGCTGTTGCTGTTGCTGTTGCTGTTGCTGTTGCTGTTGCTGTTGCTGTTGCTGTTGCTGTTGCTGTTGCTGTTGCTGTTGCTGTTGCTGTTGCTGTTGCTGTTGCCAACTGGAATTGTGAGCATGACTTTTTTCTCCTCACTGCGTGAAATGGGATGAGAGAGGAGAATGTGCTGCTGTTGTTGGTGGTGGCGAGATTGAAATTGGATATGGTTGGTGTGCCAGATCCAGATACTGCTTTGCTTTGCTCCGTTTTCTTTTTTCTTTGTAAAGACGAAGAAAACGGAGATGAAGAAAAAGGAGGTAGGTTGTTAAGCCTAGAAAAGGAAATTCCCGTCCAGATGGCCTGTGTGATTGGATTCACCACATCCTCTTCTTGAGTTGGGTTGGGTTGGTTTGGGTGGTTTGAGTAGCCGGTAGTACCCGTCTATCGTACCGGGTCATAGGCCGCTTTACATTATCGAGGATGCGTGGATTGAAGTGGTTGTTTGATCGAGTATCGGTCATGCCGTCTTCCCTGGGGTAGTGGCGGGAAAGGCGCCCTGAGATGGGATCATTCTGGCAGTTGTTTTTCGACTCTGAGATTTGTTGGGTTTGGCTTTGACCCTTGGGAGTTTTTGATGCATTTCTTCTTCTTCTTCCTCCTCCTCCTCCTCCTCCTCCTCCTCCTCCTCCTCCTCCTCCTCCTCCTCCTCCTCCTCCTCCTCCCAGCATGGCATGTTCTAGTAAAGCATGTGATGCAAAGGCACGTCGCCTGTGTGTTCTCGTTTTTGCGCCATCCTGTTCTTGGCCGCTTGTGAAGCTCGTTTTGTATTTTTGCGTGTACTTCATCAGGATTTATATCGTCATGTATTTTCTTTTACCAGTTTTTTACAGTGCTTTTTCTGCCTTCTTCTTTACTTGGCCCTTTGTTGATGGTGACGATGGTGGTGCCTTCAGTAGACCAAAAGCCAAAACTGCAACAACCAGCATACAACACCCACCCATAGTATAAGCAACGTGCCTGCCAGCCCACCAGAACAAACTACAAAACACCACCGGCCCCAATGCCCGTCCAAATTGACCCCAGCTCCTCAGCTCACCAAGCGTCTTCCCTCTATCGGCCTCCGCCGCCTCAAAGCTGCCTAGGCTGTTAAGACCTGTGACAACTGTCGCGCTTGTCACTGCCAATAGTGCACCTGCACTGTAAAGGCCCGTAGAAGATGTTGTACGCGCTAAGAGGAAAAATGCAGCTGCACAGCTGCAGATACCGATTCGGACAATAAAGACAGGAGGTAGGCGCCGCACGATGCTGCCCTGGAGGATGGAGGCGATGAGACCGATGAAACCGAGGAGGCGGCCGTTGAGCTTCGAAGGGGAGGGATGGTCTGGGTAAAGGGTTGTGGTTAAGAGGAATGGTAGGGAGAATTCGAGACCCGAGAAAGGTAAGAGAAAGAGGAAATGAGTGAGGTTTAGGAGTATAGGGTTGTTTGTTTGGCGTCCTTGTGATTGAGGAGGGATTGGATGTTTGGCCGTGGAGCCATTCTGTTTTGTATCGGAGATTGTAGAAGCGGTTTTCGGTGGACGTGTCTCGGGAAGATAGAGGTATAGATATATAGTTTCGACCAAGATGAGAAGCAAGGAGAAGCTGGCCGCTGTTGCGAAAGGGTTGGCTGCGACCAAGGTAATGTTGGCTAGAGCTGCTCCAAGCGCCGGTCCAAATGTGAAAGCTATGCTGAAACATGCGCCCACCAAGGCCATAGTAGAGCCTCTCTGACTTTCATCGCTGACATCTGCTGCTATTGCCGTGGCCAATTGGACGTTTCCTTCACTCAGGCCACCCACGACTCTGCTTAACAGAAACGTTCGGAAGTCCGTCGCCGCACACCATAACGCCACACTCGCGATGTTGCCTACCATACTCCAAAGGAGGGCTGTTCTCCGGCCATACTTGTCCGACGCACGACCAATGATAGGAGATGCGATCGCTTGAAGGAGCGAGAAAAGAGAACCAAGGGCACCACCGAGAAGGACAATGTCATATTTCGAGTTGATGGGAATGGAAAAGGACCGTTTGTAAGCATTGAGATAATGTATTATTCTGTTCAGCAGCGATGTTGGCCGAGTGTCGAGACTTCTATAGAATGAAAGTAGAGATGGAAAGAGAGGGAGAATAAAGGTGAATGAGATCTGGCAGAAGTAAGCAGATATTTGTAGAGGTACAAAGTCGTCTCACAAGGTCGAGGAGCAAGGATATGAACAGCACCCGCAGCACACTTTTCCTTCTCGTAGGATCTAATCGTACAGATGCCATAACCGCCGGAAAAGCTATGGTATGAGGTGCAAATGTTGAATGCTTCTGTAGGTCGAGCAATGTCAAAGATGGAATTAATTCTGTAGCGACCCGCGCTCACACCGAAAGCGGATATGGGTAACAGAGGAACAGCAAGAAAGATCTTAAAAGATGAGCATCAAGGGAGAATGGTGGCATAATCCGGATGGAGATGTCAGACACACATTACTCCGTAGTGTGACAGGATTTCGTATCCACTCCGAGTCGAGTCTCAAACTGTCCCTGCCAAGAGATCCCCTGCACTCGACGAGTCTTACTGAGGTAACCAATCACATAATCCCACCCCCGAAACACCCAACCTTCGAAGGCTAAGAGAGAGGTTAGGCTGCTTGCACTCCAAGAATTAATTAATTTCATCCATTCAAATGATCGTTTAGGCAGGGATAGAAAAAAAGAACAAAACAATCAACAGCCGGTATTCGCTGGTGGTCACCCACCCAACTACTAACCGGCCGGCACATGGCTTAAGTACGGCTGAGCGAACGGGAAGCCCTGTATTCCATGTCCTGTGGTCGATTGCGAAAGTAAGGTCTCATAATAAAATATATAACCTAAACACAAACTGCAAAAAGCGCTCTCCCATCTACCCAACCTGAACTACTCCAGACAGTCAGGAAGTAATGACACTTCACCGCTTACGGAGTATCTCTAGGTATTGATCTTGTCTCTAGAACTAAAACGCATAATTCACTGTTTTCGTCGTCAAATATGCTCCTATCATAGAAGAATTGCTACTGGCTTGTAACTCCAATGGCACCGCAATACTACGCGTTAGTCTCGTAATTCTAGGTATGAAATCCAAGTCCAGCTATTAGGTTGGAATTCCACTTGTCTTTGATTGGATTATCACAGTCTTGAGGGATGACCGCTGGGTGGCTCAGTCTAAATAGGGCTCGCCCTTGTAGCCGTAATACTCTGATTGGTATGTTCGATTCGGCCACGGCACTTACAGCTCAGGGCTACCGACTACACCCCACGTCTCGCAGTCCACGGGAAGCTGTGGGTTCAAGAAGATTGAGGAGAGAACGGTTGAGAACAAACAAAGGCAAGGATTGCTTCAAGTGATCTGCAAATATTGGGAGTAGAGATCTAACACATCGAAAATGCTTGAACGATCTTCAAGCCAGCCCTCATAGTTGTTGAAGTTCACACCGAATCAAGACACCTTCCCGTTTTATCAACACTCCAGACTATTCCTATGTCATCCTTTCCACATTCCGGTACCGAGAGCACTGGAGCATTTCTTCGTGTCTCCAAATGCGGAGCCGACCTTCTATTCCACTGCCGGAGTAATTGGATAAACGGAGCGGGTTGTGTTGTCAAGCCTGAGGACAATGCCCATGGTCCAAGCACCTCACGTACCAATGGACCCATCTGCAATACGAATAGGGCAGTGTAGCGGAGGCGTAGTGGACTGTCAGGGTGGCGGGCTGCCATACTTCGCATGCGTCAGATCTCAAGGGACAATGACAGGATATCCTGCTCGATCGATCTCGCAAGTCGAGTAGGCATCCTTAGAACTACGCTTCAGAGCACGTGAAGTCCGCCCTCGATCATATCTCTGCCTCATTGCTCCCAAGGCTCCTTCGCACCAGGATTCTGCCTCCTCCACTCCGCCACCTCCCTTTCCAATGCCTCCAGATCACCCTGAAAAGCATCTTTGACTGGCTCAGTCCTCATCTCCCACACATCCTCACTGCTTGGGCCCTGCTTATATTTGATCGCCTTCTTCCTGTAATGATCCGCAATCGCCTTCTCGCGGTCTTCCTTCTCCCATTGTCTTGTGCGCATACATAGCCAGAAATCCTGCCAGTGGTTCGAGCATGATCGGAAGGTACCGTAGCGATAGACATTGACGAATTGCCCGCCGAACGTTTGGCAGAAGAAAGCGTAGTCAAAAGCGGAGCGGCAGGAGATTTCTCTTGGATAGAGCGAGTCTGGTGAGATGTCGGGATTTCGTTTTATTGCGTTGGATGATTGCTTCGAGGATGTATTTTGTGTAGACTCGGAATCCAATTCCCTGAGCCAATTTGCTAATTCTTGTTCGCTCTCCTCGTCGCGTGTTAAGACTTTGCTAGGTTGAGGCTTTTGGGTGGCTTCGAGTTGAGGAGCCGATGGTGGTGAGGAGCGCAGGTCATCATTTACAGCATTTGACAGAGCAGCAGGTGCAGATGGTGGCCCCTTCGAGGTACCTGAACTCCACCACCATCCCATCGCGCTCAACAGTGTGCCAGCTCAAGCAGGTGCAGCTGTGCTCTGTAATCAATTCGGATGAAATGGTGGTTAGAGGTCTAAAATTTAGCAAAAGCTTGGCGTGCTGAGAACAACTTCTTGAAGTCCATCTAGAACTAGTTTAAGCCTTTCAACCTCCCATCTCTTTTGCCGACAATCTTTGCATACTTAATACACATAAATTATGAGTGGCCATCCTGCCCCAATGCGGACTTCATCTGACAAAATAGCTGTCATTTCTGTCAAGGACTAAACCGAAGACCTATGCGTCTCTTTAGCTTTCTGGTCTCTGGATGAGCAAGGTGGGTTCCACAAGATGCAGGACTAACGGCAGAGGGCATAAATATGCTTAATTGTCCTTGATCCGCATGTAATTCTAAAAACTGGGCCCAGGAAAGTGCGTAATCTTTACAATTCACCCTTTCATTGCTGCTGTCGTTGATCAGTTCAATCTCAGAAACTCTTGACTTACGCAGAGGATGACCACCACTTCAGGAACAAGTCATCAAGCTGATCGTCAAGACCGTAGCAGGTTTACATTTCAGCAAGGGTGGTTCGAGTTGATTCGCGATGAGTGGGAGAAGCTAACTATGCCTCTTCGCGGGAAAAAGCTTCATGTCTTGGAAGTAGGCTCCTTCGAAGGCGCCTCGACAACATGGATCCTTGACAACCTTATGGACCATGCCGAGTCAACAATGACCGTTATCGACACATTCGAGGGTGGCATGGAACATCAAGCCGCCGAGAATGCGCAGAAATACAACATGAGTACGCTTGAAAGCCGTTTCCGAGCGAACGTGGCGAAATGCGAGCATGTGAACAAATTACGCGTGATGAAGGCACGCAGTGATAACGCCTTACTGGCCTTGAGGCAAGAGTCTGCGCATTTTGACTTTGTCTATGTCGACGCCTCACATGTAGCCATCGATGTATTGCATGATGCAGTGGTCTGTTGGCGAATGCTCAATGTACATGGCGTTATGGTGTTCGATGACTTTCGCTGGAAAGGATATATGGAAGATTGCTACAACCCACACGTTGCTATCCTTGGCTTCCTTCGTTGCGCCGCGCCAGAAATCGAGACCAGAGAGACAGAATCTCAGATGTGGGTGACCAAAGTACCGAACAGAATACCTGCGACTCCGAATCCGGATCCTGCTTTGTACTATTGGGAAAAGGACAAGAACTCAGCGTTAGAGTAAGGCCCAAAGGCTTCTATGAAGGAGCACTAAATTGCAAGCACTATGTTAGACATAGTTTAAGGACATGAGCCGCTCAAAAGCCTAGAATCGGAGAGAGCATAGCAACTGGTCATTGTGGTTCTGGAAGGGTTTGGGGTCGCAACCCTGAAACTGGCACTTCATTCACCTGCACAGATAGCTGTCTAGGAGGCTTCTTTGCTCATAGTGTTTCCCTTCTTTGTTGAATAAGGATGAACATGCAGACTTGAAAAACGGAGCCATTTACGGAGTACCACGAGCCATAATTCTTTTTGAGATGCAGGTAGTTTGCTTGACGGATATTGATACCACCACTCTCTTCTGGGGCCAATAGGTGGCTGGGTACTCCGTGAAAGGGCTTGAAATGCTGTACAACTCCTGACAAGCCGCTGTAAATAAAAGCGTACTACCAATATATAAAGACAGTATCGCCAGCCTTCTACATTATGTTGACTGTGGCTGGGGAACAACTGAGATATTTACAATCTCAACCGGAAGTGTTTTTCTGACATTTTCCCTATCTGAACAATGTTTAACTCTACAATGTTTCTTATTGTCTTTCCTTTGTCACAATAGCATTCCTTATGCCCTTCACTCAATGCAACAATGCAGCAAGGGCTAAACATTCTATTCAATTCCTCAAGTGGCTTCTAATCTCCATGGATATTTGGTTAAGAATGGCCAAAAGTTCTTAACTAATCTTTCAGCTTGCCCTTGCCTAGGCTTTGTACTTGTCTTCACCCAACCTGACACCTCAGCTCAAGTACTTTCTAACTATAAGTCCAACCTTTACTGAATCTCCTCTGACGGCTGCTGTCATCATGGTTTTCGCAATGAGGCTTATGGAATCTTTTTCCCAACCGGAGCGCTTTATCTGGCATGACGGCGTGTTTACTGTCATCATTCCGAATGGCACCCGAACTGCATATCATCCTCGTGCATCTGTGTCATATCTCAAAACGCTACTCATACCCCAACTTCGACTGACACGCGCCGGTAATATCTCCTCACACCAGCCACCTCCGCCACCTCCGCATCCATATGATTTCTACCTGGCACAGTTGATCCACTACGGCCTCGATTTTCATTTTGAGACTGAGTCAGCACAGCGTGCTCTCGAGATCGAGATTAGACTTGGAAGGCTGCATGTACCACAAGGGTTGGTGAGATTGGAGAAAGAATTGAGGAAGGTGCACGAGAGGAAGCAAGAGAGGGACCGCCAGCATACAGTGAGGCTCGCTACGCAACAGCAGCTTGGTAGCACAGCTGATACCGCAATCACCGTTGACACATCTGAAGATGCACCCGGAGACAAGCCAATCCTAAGAACGACTCATGGCCGGTCTGTAAAGCGAAAGAAAGCGCAACAGGATGTAATTCTCACTTCTGATGAGAGCGAGGCACGGTCTTCTACAGAGCAGAGCTCCAATGGTGTCGCGGAAGATTCAGGCAATGAAAGTGACACCATTGCTGTAGCCCCGGATCGTCATCGTGGCACATCTTCCGGCAGTTCGAATTCGTTTTCGCCAGAGGACGTCGCAGCGGTGAAACGTTCTGACTCCATCTGTTCTGGACGTCAAAGCATCAGCGACGAATCTTCAGAGGATGCAGATGGTGAAGACACCAGCAGCGGTGACGATCCATTTCTTGAAAAACAAGATTACAAGCGTATTAAGATCGAAAAAGCTGATGAGAAAGACGATGCCATCCTCCGCTCAACTAGGGAGCCAGGACCCTTTGTCGTCCGAAGACAGCTTCCGCCCACTCAAGTCAAAATCCGCCGCATTGCTTCACAGCCTCACCTCAACGCCCAGCCGTTTCACTCGGCGTTAAAGGACACCGTTGGCAGTCAGAGCACCAACAAAACAATCTTTGCGTCTGTCAGCAAGATGCCACCGCGAAAACCATTTGTCAGTCCAGATAAACGACCATCATGGACTATCCCTGTCCGATCACCATCATCTTCCCAGCACAACACGCCAAAATCAGTCACCTTCAGCCAATTCCAGCGCGAAACTCCAACGAAAGTCTCTGAAGTGGAAAAGGATACGCTTTCGTCAGCAATGAAGACACCGCAACGCACTTCACATAGACGGACGCCCTCACCTTCTTCTGATTACAGCCATACTACGCCACTTCGCTCGATTCTGAAGAAGAGCGTTGCTCATTCAAGCGAACTCTTGATAGAGGATGGTGGGAACACTGAAATAGCTGTACAAATTCCTCGCAACGGCAAAGCTTCTCCATCGCGGCCCCGCAAGCGGAAGCGCAGAAGTGAGGCCAACCGAGGCTTTCATCTGGAATTGGATGGTGCTGAAGACCCACCGGATATCCCGGATGACTCTTACACGGAGAAACCTTACATCACTAGTGACCTTGTTGGCGGCAAGCCGATCTCGTCTTTCAGGAATGGCACCATGACGCAGGCTCTCCAAGCATCTTCGCAGCACAATGCCTCAACAGTGAAGAGCACCGGAGGCTGGCTAGAGGCGAAATCGAAGTCTTACCTGCAGGAGCAGACGGAAAAAGGGACGAAGCGCGATGGGATAGCCAAATCAGCCCCAGTCACAGATATGTGTCGCGACAGAAAGCTTGATAAACCTACCCCAGGGAATTCTAAGGTCAAACTGAAAGTAACGGGCGGAGCAGAAAACCCTCGGAAAGGTAGGGACACGTTCGCAAGGGGAAACGAAAACGGCTACAGGGATGGAAAGCAGCTGGGCCTGATGGGTCGATCTGGTTCGAGAGGTGGCCTTGTGAGAGCTGGTGGAGTTTGTTGAGGACCGAGCATCGATTCGGCTGATGACCATCAGAAGGGCGTTAGAAGATCGGGGCCATGCTGCTGGTATGTGATTTGGAGTCTTGGGAAAGCCGGGTCCTGGTTGGCTGGGCAGTCAAAGGGTTGTCAAAGTTACGATCAGCGGAAAGGCGGGTTGGGAACTGACTGGGCAGTGATTCAATAGCAACCCAGGACATCGTTCGTGGCCTTGACAGAGTTAGAATTGTGGAGGACTGAGGATCTTGGCCTTTGAACTCGATTAGGTTCTCTCCGTCCCTACCGGTCCTCTATATTGAACAGGAGGATGCCAGCTAATCGAGAAGATTGGACCCAGCGCTCTATTATGAAGTAACACCTGGCCACGTCAATCTCCATGCTTTTCATTGAAAACTTACAACAGCGTGCTCCACGATTCTTGATCCCGGTCTAAATAACCTTCTCATCCATGCGCCCTTTCCTTCCTTCCCTCTTCTCCGTTTCCCCCTCAGTTCCCAACTTCCTACCCAATCGCCCGTCCGAGACTCATCCTCATAGGCGACACGGGTTTCGACATTTACAGTACCGATTCACTCACACGAAACGCTGTGAGATATGCCCCATCCTAACGCCTCATACTGTCATGGCCAGGTAGTCTGAGAACGCTCTTCGAATGATTCTCGATGCAGAATAGGTACTAGGTAGAGAGAGAAATGATGTGTAGGGAAGAAATATTGAACCAGAGAAATATTTAGGGGGGTGGGTCCCGGGTAGCTAAGGCTTATAATACAATTGATCTTGATCGCCCTGGCTGAAGTAAAGTACGCGAAAAGAGGGTCGCGGATCAAGGGAATTTTTTTTGTCACTTGAGGGTTTGGACTTTGGGGAGAAGACGACGACGTTGGGAATTTTCTGCTCAGTGAGTAGTAGGCTCGGGTTCAGGGGATTTTGGTTGTAGCTTCTGTCCGGATGGAATGGAGGATCATGATAAGGTGGCGGAGGGGGCGCGTGGGGGGACGTGTAGTTACTTAACGTAGATGATTGGGGGTGGGGTTAGGAGAAGCGTCAGAGTGTGTGCACCGAGGGCCTCGTTATCTAAGCCTTCCGGCGTGTTGTTTCTGGTATTGAGAACTAAGTACTAAACTGGGTAGGATGGCCGTGCTTGGACTGTGTTTTGGTAGAGGAGGGACGGGGAAGGGATATATATTTCGACCCTCTTCGTTGTATTTGACGCCAGATAAAGCATTACTACCAAGCAAGATGTGGACTTGTCAGATTGAGGGTGGGTCATGCAGATCCTTTGATTGCTTTTCGTGACCGTCGACGACGCACGTGGCGGGGTTCTTCCCATTCACCTTCATCTTCATCTTTATTTGACTGAGAATGAGCCACCGAATCAAGCGCGGATGGTAATTTCTGCGGAGACCTGTCCTGCTGAGTGTGAGCTTCCGTATTGGGAGGCGAGGGCAGTTGCCCCGGAGCACTGTCCCGCTGGACAGGTAGAGCTGGAAGCCGAGGCGAAGAAACTGCTTCCGGAACTCTCTCCTGCTGGCTTCGAGTCTCGAAGTGTCGAGAAGTGAAAGGTTCACCTGCCCCCCGATTTTGAGGCTGCATATCGAGAGGGTGAGACGGTCTAGCTTGAGCACCTGTGCTCTGACCCTGCACTCCTGCCAGGCCGGACGGAAATTGTCCGCCTTGATCCACGTTTCCTTGGCCTTGGCCCGCCTCATGGCGAGGAGCTTGGGAACTTGGAACCTCGGAGTAGGGTGGAGCACCACGCCCATTTGGTTGAGAGTAAAAGTAGTATTGAGACGGGGAGGATTGAAATGGAGGACCAACGTAAGACTGCTGGACTTGGGGCACGTAAGCTGGAGGAGTGCACTCTCCTAATTGAGCATATACGAGAAAACTTCGAGCTGGGGCTCCCACAAGGGTAGGAGAGATATCTGTATATACTCCAGCAGGAGTCCAAAATGGGAAGGCTTGAGTTGCCGAGTGGAGAAGAGGTGGGGGACGATGGGGACGATGTGGACTGGCTTGTGTGTGATTTGGTTGGGTTTGAAGTTCAGGGCCGATTGACTGGGTTGGAAGAGGCATCGCAGGTTGGCCCAGCGACGGGGAAGACCGAATTGCTCGGTTCAAGGGTGCCATGGGAGGAGACGTGCCGGCTACGTCTAATGCCGGAGACCTTTGAGGCCCTTGGTGGGCAGATAACATTACACCATGCCGTCCACTTTGAACTCCTCCTTGCGTGGCTTGACCACTCGCTTGATGAGCAACAAGTCCAGCTCCAACACCTGTTTCCTGGCATTGATCGTCTGAACGGCGACTTGGCTGGCTACCATTAACATGAAGAGCCTGATCACGATCATAACCTGAACGACCTGGTGGGAAGAAACTGGGTGCATCAGCAGAAAGCCGTTGAGAAGGGTTTCTGGGCCCGGAAGATGATTGGCCCTTGCTATGCGTGGCACTTGTTGCGGCACTCGAAGAGGTCGACCGTGGACTATTTGTAGATTTACTAGTATCGTTAGTCTGTGGTGCTGCACGTAACGTGTTCGACTGAAGCTGAGCAGCGCTAGAGGCCTGTGGGGCAGTAGAATACCGTCTCTGACGGGTCGCTTGCCGCTGATTTTTAGGATTTTCAACTTCAAGATTGATGCTGGAAGCTGACGGTGAGGGCGTGGTTGTACCTTGCGGTCCTGTTGATACGGAGGCCTTAGCTGCACCTCTTTCTCTTTCTGGCGTACTTGATTCTTGCGTTGCGACTGACTTTGGAAGTCTCTCTGCTTCTTGGGCTGGGGATGATATTTGCGCTGCATTTGGTCGTGGCGGTTCTTTTGCCTGTTGAGACTGAATTTTTCTGGACTTTAATGTCGCATCTGCTGGTTCTATTGTTGCTTGTGACTCACAAGACGTCTTAGCGGTCGTTGATGGTCCATCGTCTGGGTAAGTTTGGGCTGGTCGCCGTGAAACAGAGCTCTTTTTCGCAGCGCCTTTTCGCAGCGTCCTTTTAGGGGTTGCAATCACCTCTGATGCTTTTCCTTCTTCCTGAGACCTGGATCGCTGTGGGGGGGCAACCGTTGTGGCTGAGCCCCCCTCAGTTTCTGAATCCTTCCGGATCGGAGCTACCGCTGATGAGTCAGCTACTCCCTGTGACAGAGGTGGCAAAGATATTGCGTCTGAGTTTGTTGGTGCTGCTATTCTCCGTGACGGGAGTGACGGTGGCAATACAGCTGACCTTAATGGTCCCATCATCCTTCGTGATCTGGTCAGGGGTCTTGTTGCCGGTGCACTTGTTAGGGGTTGCCCCCTTGATGGACGCGCCCCTCCTCGTAACTGTAAACATGGTGGCAGTTGCGGTGGAGTTGACCTTGGTTTGTTGGTAATCACGGCCCTCTGTGTTCGCGATGAGACTTCGCTAGTGGTATTGGCGGGCTCATCTTCATCGACTAGATCGTGCCTTTCCAAATACACATCTACTAGGGTATCGAGATCATACTCAGGTACCCCCGGACCCATGTTCTTCTTGATCATCAAACGTGCAAGGCGCGCACTTGCTTTCTGACTCACTATATGCATGGACGAGTTGATCTTTGTGAGAAGCTGAGTGGCTGTGGTTCGTTTGAGGACGTCTACTCTGAGCATTTCCTCTATTTCAGGCCTGTAATTTTGGATCTCCTTGCCTAGCTCTTGCATGCAGTTGCACCAGTTGACTCTCTTCATGGCTTCGACAGTCGTCGCTCCGGCTGTCCCAGGCAGCCAACCAGCCATTTCGACGCACACCATGCCGAGGCTCCAGATGTCTACCGCTGCCGTCTGTTTTTGCCCATAGTACATTTCTGGGGCTATGAATTGTAAGCTATCAGTAAGCCCACTAGGAGGAGGAGATGCACGACTGGCACAACCAAAATGGCCTAGTACGAAGTGGTTGGGAGTATCGGTAGGATTCCCATTGGGATGCTCGATAAGGATATTCTCAGGTTTGATATCACGATGAATGATATTGACGTCTTGGCTGTGAAGGAAAACCAGCGCTGAGAGCATTTGTGCTAGTACAGTATAATAATACAGTGGAACTATAAAAAATGCATCTACCAAGTGTCAGCACCAGACGGAGCCTAATTCTTTCGAAGCGAAGTTGACATACCACGGAGCCCTCGCTCTGTTTTCGTACGTTCCAACAGAGAAGCAAGGTGTTCTGGGTAGAATTGCATAGGAAGCTCTACACTCCTTGAGAGATCGTCCAAATAACGTGCAGTCCCAGTAACGATAATGTGAGGCTGGGAACACCGTCAGTGGCGTCCATCCCAGTCGGGTTTTGTTTGCGGCACTTACTCCATTTCGAACTGCATCAAGTATTTTTAATTCATGCTTGATAGCTTGTCTCCGTCGCATATCTTCCGCAGGTGAAGCTGGCCTATCGAACACCTTGACAGCCAAGAACCTCTTTGTGCCCACCTCTTTTGCCATATATACTCTGGCGTGTTTTCCACGACTCACCTCTCGCTCTTTTATGTATGCCTTTCCGATAGAGGAAATGCCCGCCGAAGAAGAAGAACAAGAAGAAGAAGAAGGAGCCATATTACTCGTACTCCTGTGGTGCTGTGAAAGGATTGTCAAGTGATAGGGGGAAGTACCGGATCTGGGCAAGGAACAAACCAAGACCATACAAAATGCACCTAGATGGGTTTTAGGGGTCTTAGTAAGGGGTATTCATAGTAAGTGAGGGTTCATCTGATAAATACTCCATGTAGGGTCCACGGATCCCTGAAATGCAGCACTCAGAAGGTTCAAGTAGTTAGTAAGGAACGTAAGTAGAAGTTGCTGGCCGAGTCAGCGCAGCACCGTAAGATTTGAGACTGCAGGTCAGAGCTGGATCAGAATTGAGAAGGATGCAGCAATGATTTTTGGGTTTCACGTTTGCTCTGTAAGAGGTGTTGAAGCAGAGTGCCAGCACGGGAGGAAGTCTCAACTAGATCATAAACTGCATAGACTCTCTGATTGTTTATGCCGCTTTGCTTCTGATCATGGGTAACCACATGTCTTCAAGGATTACATGCTTCATCGTAGTATCAAATTGTTAGATGTTTTGGATCTGATCTCCAGTGGTGCCGATTGCCTGTGTTTGAAATGTGGAGGGCAGAAATCGACCCCGAGGCCACTTGAGTGGAAACAATTGGTGCCGCTCTTGGCATTATCGGGACGACAGAAATGCAGGTATGAGACTGCGGATATTTACTTGCAATGATCATCATTTGTTTTGTACAATATTTAGTGCCACGGGCAAGACGCGTCACAGCATTAGTGGCAGCGAAGACATTATAGCGAAACGTACTACTAGTAGTACTTAAGTTAGCAGTTGCCAATGTGGGGCCGGAGGGCCACAACACTATTTTTACCTCATCTGTTGTGCTCCCACCAGCACACCTCAACTTTCAGCTTCGTCTCTATCTCGCAACGCGGAGTGTATCTTACCATCAAAGCGGTTTGCCCTTTGCTGGCGAAACAGGAATTGATCCGGGACTTAACAGTCATTTTTCTGATCCGAGCGCGATATATGTGTGTCACTTCTTGCACAGCAAGGACCGCAAATATGTGGTTTTCTCTGGTTGTCTCATACGAGGAGTCCTTGTCTGCACTTCTTGATTGCTCTTACTGGGCTGGATACAGAAGCTGGTAGCTAGAATTTGTCAGCAGGCAACGCCAACTCAGAAGCTGGTGATGAAGATAGATTGGCGGCGTCATCGATAGCAATTTATACTTTAGCAGCAGCTCTCCATTCACCATCTATCATCAAGTATATTCGTCGCCGCAATGTAAGTCATCATAGAGCTAATATATGCCAAATCTTAAACGGCTGAAACATCGATTTTGATACCGATTTACCTTTCAATGAATTCGATAACAAGATCGCAGCGGCTGACATATGAATGGAATTCATTCATTGAGACTGCTAACAAAGAATTCTCACCGATTAGCGATCGCTAACTAGCTCTTTTTGGAATGGTTGAGCAAGATCGATTGCCAATAGACAGATTTTCAAAGCGGAAGACCCTCCGTTGACAGCTTTGCCAATCCATGGAGTTTTTCATTGATCCTATACTCAAAGTCAGATACAGGACTCTCGAAGTCTTCCCCCGCGTACAATGCGAGCTCGTCTCTAACGCCTTCTCAACCTGCGTTTGGTATCTTGTATAAGATATCTAAGATTATCCTTCATTCAACACTACCTTTTTTTCCAAAAAATCTTATTTTAGCCTCAGGCATCACCCAGGTAGACCATTCAACCTGTTCAATTGCAATTTTAGGCACATGAAATGGTTGTGAACGACCGGTCTTAGAACAGCGGAGTCATCGACATCGACGCGGACCGGAGTCATAGTGTTAGGATCTCAGGGGAGTGCAAGGGCAATAGAACAGCAGGGTGTCAGTGGAATGACTTATTGAGCGCAGAGAACTAGAATCTATCTAGAGAGAAGAGAGATCTAAATACTAAGAGGCCTTTGTGCTATAGAAGAACGTAGAACCTTCTCAGCAGCTGCCAAACAAGGAAGCTGCCAAACAAGAGAATGATCCACCAGAGTCCTCCTGGCCTTATACCGTGCGTAGGGCTCGGCGGTCATAACACATAGCCGTACCATTCGAGGTGGTTGCCCAATCCCTGTGATGATTTAATTGGATAGAGGACCGCTTGACCATGTAGGGACCAGGCTTTTAGCCATTGTTCAAGTTGAGGCCTGAGCGAACCAAGCCCAAGCTTGAGCAATACTAAGCAACGATCAAAGAACGCAGAGCAAATGTCAGCAATACCACAAGCCTGCTGTTTGGTTTTGCGCACCTCGAGACGGAGCGAGCTACTTGTAGGGCCTGTTAGCACATGGCAGTTACTGAGGTCATGAGGACAGAAGCATCCTGGCTTCAGAAGTTGAGCGTATGATCTGGCGAACGTGCAGCATGCGCAAAAGCCCAACGAAAGGGCGGAACCAGCAACATCTAAGTCAAACCTACTCACGCGGTCATGGCTATGACAGCTGTCCATGGAATTACAAGACTTGGAGGCGCGTCATGCGAGTATATAAATTCAACAAGCTTTAGTGCCAAGCAGAGGCTGTACAATTCTCACAGACACATAATCAACAAAGAGCGAGCAAACGACTCTGGGGCGGAGGAGTCAGAAGTCAGAGTGATCTATGGTCTGTGACAGGAGGTGGCACTCCTATCGAGGAATATAAATCACCTGTTGGCTCTGTTGCTGTGGCTTTCATTTCCTATAACCTCACGAACAATAAATCAATCATTACCGTTACCAATCGAGCACAACCACTAAACAGGTTCACCCCTCTATCGCTTTGGAGTATTCACAACCATATTTCCCTCTTCATCTTCAACTCCTGCAAGCTAGTCACTTCAAACTCCCATTATTCTTTGCAGTAGGCAAAGATGTGCGCCACGTGGGCCAACGCTACAGCGGCCGAGACAGAGCCCGCCAACAACGCCCCTATCAGAGAGATCGTCGATCTTCAAAGCAAAGACGCCAAGCCTGCTCCCGCTGACAATGCAGGAGCACCTATGGGAGCCAGATTTTTTAGTGCTATCCGTGGAGGACGAATGATCGATTTTCGTAACGACAACAGGAGATGTCCAAAATGCGGTGCTTCCGTCCTCAAGGGTCAGAGGTGCTGCGGGCAGATTGTCACATAAACTCAGCACGAGCCAGAGTCATACTATTTCCATATTCACAACTGGGCTAGTCGTGCTAACTTTATCATCACTTGGTCTCAGGGTGTAAGCTGTGCAAGACTATTGTCTATGACTCTGCACACATTTTCGGACCCAGTTTATGCCGTCTGCCAGAGCGCTGGCGGGATATTTGCTATGGGAAATCTGCTTGTGCCCAACTATGTTGCAAGTCATGTTGGCTCTCCGCCGCACAAGATATCAAATATGGTGGAACCTTTGGAACTTGGCAAACCATAGGATAGTTCAACCAGGAGCTCAGATCTATTAGCTTTGGGATTTGATGCTAGGTGTAGTGATCATTCAGTGGAACTTATTTACACAAGCCATTTACTGGACAAGATCATTGCACATAGTCGCACATAGTCGGCTGTGGCTCGCTGTAATCGCTAACTGAGTCCGGAGGAAACTTAACTACTTAGTACATGGTGACAGTAGGTAGCACTACTACTAAAAGCACCGCTAACTACTCCATACTAACTACTAACTACTAGTGGTAAGTGGTACCATACTATTCCTACTTAGTAGTATGCCTCTCCACTGCCAAGACTTGGCCCGGCCGCTAGGCTACATCCGAGAGCTACTAGCCGCATTGGAAAATGTAAACACCGGAGTTGAAAAACAGTCTGTGAGTCCAAGCTTTGCGAACTTCTACAGCAGTGGTACTCGAGTAAATATCTGACGGCGAGGACTTCTCTATGCAAGTTCTTGCGTGGCGGTAATGCTCTTGACACTTACACTCGTTTGACTCGTGCTTGCTGATCTTCACTTCCCTTCTCTTTGTACCTGTTTACCACATCTTCCAGATTGCGCAGAGGTGTTGGATGGTGAATAGTGCCTTGCGAATTCGGACTTGAGCGGCGAAGCAAAAATCGGCCGACCGAGAACATGGCTTCTACTCCCCCAGAACTTCCGACACGGTTTCCCTGCTGGTGTAGAGCGGTGTACTCTTGGGGAGGAGAAACAGACAAGGACCTTGGATTCATTGAGGGTGATTTGATCGAATGTCTCAATGCTGGAGATGGATCGTGGTGGGTTGGGAGACTGCGGCGAGATCGGCGGATGATGGGATCCTTTCCTTCTAACTTTGTAATTGTCCTCGATGAGAGCTTTCAACCTGCCAGCAGAGCTTCCAGTCCGATGCCTGAATCAAGTCCGCAAAAGAGCGCTGCCGCCAACCAAAATCGAGCAGCCAGTCCTCAGCCACCGAAACAGAAGCCCTCCGCATGCCGAAAGCCCTTTCAGGGTTACAAAAAAGCTACCTCACCAGGAATTCAGGCACAAAATAATTCTGTGCCATCCCTAACACAAGAGCAGGAGGAACGCTATGATCCTCGGAATCCGCCTTCAACCGTACTCTGGGCGCAGGGGTCACATTCTCGAGGTCCATCTCGATCGCCGTCACCAATGCCACTGGCAGACTTGAGCTCTTCACCACCCCCTCCACCACCACCTCATCGAGTGGCTATTGCCAGCCATCGAGGTCGGGCTCCATCTCCGCTTCCTCAGCACACCTACCGTAAACCACAGGACTTTGCGCGGACGCCGTCTCCAGATATCGCATCGTTGAATGGTCATACCCCGCCCATGGTTAGAGACGCGATGGATGATGTGATGTCTTCACTCGATGATATGGGTATGACAAGGCAGGCGCCACAACCACAAGCACCTTTCAATCCTTGGTCTCCAGAAGCTTTCCATGATCTTCACCAACCCCGGTCGGCGAGACCGAATGCAAGACCAGTAACCTCGCTTGGGCTTGGACCTGCTGGAAGTGACTTCTCGGAACGGTACCAAAACAGCAGCCGCCATAACTCACCCGAAAGAGACGGAGAGGGGCCACCTCAGCTAAGCAATTATGTGCAAAGGATGGAGAGTCGGCTGAGGCAGATGCAGGACGAAAAAATGGGTAGCAGCACAGAAGAATTTCAATACCAGGAAAGTAGCCAACCACCCGCCGTTCCCGCAAAAGACTTGCCCTGGAGCTCACATTCAGTCTCATCTAAGGGTCATCAGCGACCATCAATGAAGAACAGAAAATCCGCCTACGAACTTGATCGAACGTATACTACCAAGTCCAGCACTACTAATTCATCAAGTGGAGTGCGGAGCAATGCCACCAATACCTCGAGCACCACATCCATGACAAGCCAGAGTGTGTTCTCAGCGGGGGGTATCAGCGCAACAAGCGCAGGTAGCTTAGCAAGGCGAAACAAATTGGGCAGTCTCAACAGACGACCTGTGACTTCTAATGGCACTCGAGGCCATGAGCTGAGACCACAAACGCCGTTGACAGGCATATCGTATCATTCGAGCCATAACTCGAGACACGGTGCGAAATCAGCGGTGGGATGGGAAAATCCAAGCACATTCGGCACATTCGGCGGTGGCGCTGGTGGCCTGGGCGGTCTTACCACACCGAAGGTCAAGAAGACTGGATTTTTCAAGAAGCTGATTGATGGCTCCAAGACGGTTGCGGCGAGTGCAAGAAGCAGCATTGCTGTAAGCCAAGCCGCATCTGGCCCTCCATCACCGCCGAAGAGGAGGTTGAACAACGGCATCACGGGCATTGCTGGGGGAATTGCAGCCACCAACCACGCTCAAGATGCGGCCAAAGAGATGGGTCTCGGAGGAGGCAACATTGGCTGGGTCAACGTTCGTCGAGACGTGAACCGATCGAACACTCCTGGACCAATGGAATTGCAAGAACGTGCTGACCGGTGCCAAATGTACGACCATCCCGTCATCTATCCTATTGACGAGCTCTATGAGACGGCCGAAGGGGACGAGGGTGCCGATGGCCATCCAGTGATGGACGCATTCCAGATGAGTAACCCAATGTTCACCGGTGTCGACAAAGCCGCCAGATTCATCACATCCCTCCCGCCCATGATCACCCCAGCTTCCCTTGCACAAGGCTACGTCTGCCGCCCGCATCGAAGCGACGTCCAACGCCTCCGCGCAATCTTCACCTGGGCCAGCGAAAGAATAGCGTGGGACGAGGACTTTGACGGCGAGATTGACGCACGGCGAGTCATCCAGAGCAAACGCGGCTGCAGCCACGAAGTTGCAGTTCTGGTATATGAAATGTGCAGCGCGATTGGCATCCACGCCGAAGTGATCCGCGGCTACCTCAAAACACCGGGAGAAGATCTCGACCTGGATGCCTCGACCCACCGACCGAACCACTACTGGAACTGCGTGATCGTCGACAACGAATGGCGCATGCTAGACTGCTCCCTCGCCTCACCCACCAACCCCAAACGCAGTCTCTACTCCTCTGTCTCCCCCTCCATCGCCGAACCATTCTACTTCCTCACCCTCCCCTCCCAGCTCTGCTACACACACGTCCCAACCAACCCAATGCACCAACACATCGTCCCCCCCATCCCGCCCGACACCCTCCTCTCCCTCCCCTGCGCTCTACCCGCTTACTTCCGCCAATCCCTGCACCTAAACGGCTACAACACCTCGCTCATCCGGCTGGAAAACCTCGAACTCGCAACCCTTACCCTCACCGTACCGCCCGACATCGAAGTCGTAGCCGAAATCGAAACCAAATCCTACCTCCACGATTCGGACGGCGACCTCTACGAAAACGGCGACGCCACCGTGCGCAAACGCGCCCTAGCCCAGGCGTCGTGGTATTCTTCCTCCGCTCCCGCAAACTCGTCAGCCGCGGCCTTATTGAGCAAACGCTACACGATCAAAGCCGTGCTCCCGCCCTCGGAACCGCAGGGGATGCTCAAGATCCACGCCGGAAAACGAGGTCTCATGCACAGCAGCAAGGACATTCCGCACCCGTTGGCCCTAGCGGTCCCGATCTATCACACGGGAGATAATCCTCAGTATGAGTTTTTGGTCCGACATCCGACGCCGCATGCGATGAGGCAGGATCTGTATGTGCAGCAGCCGCAGTGCCGGGTGCTGGGCTGGGGCGAGACTTTTGTATTTGCGGTGAGGCAGCATGGTGCGAGCGTTGTTTCTGCAGCTACTGGCGACGAGGCCGGCGGTCTAGGGCTGGCGAGGCCGCCGAGTCCGAATCCCTTGATGAGGCCCGGCAGCGCGATGAGCATGCTGAGCGCCTCTGTGGCCGGGGGTTCGGAGCAGGGGAGTTCGATCGTCAACGCCGGTGCCGCTGGGGGAGTCAGGGTCAAGGATAAGCCGGCCAAACTCGCGGTGCAGAGTCCCGGCGGGAAGATCCTGAGGTTGAGCCGCAAGCCGGATCTCACGTCCCGAGGTGGTGTTGGAGGTGCGGAAGAGGTCCAGGGCAGTGTGTGGGAGACGGTGGTCAAGGTCCAGGAGAAGGGCGTTTGGAGGGGTCTCGTGCTGGCGGACCGGAGCGCCAGGTGGTGTGTTTGGGGGGAGTGGGAGTGCGTGTGATGTTTTCCTTTTTCTGGTGGATTGTTGGATCGCTCTGTTTCGATTTTCGGCGAGTGATGGTGACGCGATAGTATTTTGGGGGAAAAAAGGCGGAATTCGCGCGATCTGTGTCGAGCGGTTGCTTCATTGTCGACGACATGTATTGGATGTCTCGGATGCTATGCTACTTCTCACGGCTTGTTGCGCATGCTCGTGTTGCATGTCCCTCGCCCCCACTTCCCGCTGGAACTTTGTATATCTGATTGCCGATGATGATGATGGATTATGGACGTATAAATCAAAATCAATGGCATCTGCCTGGCGCTACCGTAGGCGGAGTGCGCTGGTGGAATGAAGCAAAATAATGAAATGAAATGAACGATTCTTGTAAGCTGTCGAAATCTTTCAGAGCGGAGTTGGTTGCGTGGGCCACTGTGTGGCTGGGCGCTCGGGTTGGACTTCTGCGGTACTCTTCGGGACAGCAGCACTGCGGGAGAATTGGGGGCAGTAGTTTTCAGTAATTTGAAATTGATATGGGGAACTCGTGTTCATTCAAATGGGAGTCGTGGTGCTGGACGAAGCGCCTCCTCGGCAAGGCTTGTTACCGGTAGATATACTTGGAGATTTGCTGGCGTGGGATGAATATAGGGAAGAAGCAGCGTTATCGAGGTCGTGTCGCGGACGGACAGGAGAAGATCCATGCATGTTAGCGGTAATGGGTTTTGAGGCGCTCGAGAGGCTGCGCCGGGGATTTTGGGGGGCGGTGAGTACGGTACAATTGTCAGAGCTCAGTCAAGGGGACTGAAGACGGAGCGTTTTCGAGGGTTCGAGAGAGCGTTGAGGATCGAAAACAGGTCGAGGATGTGGAGAGCTAAGTAAATTTGGACGACTTTTGTTTTCGTGGCGGAAGGGAGCAAGCGACACATAGGCAGAGACAGAGATAGCGGAAGAGAAAAAGCGAATTGTAGAAGTGAGAACCCCATCAGCTTTCCAGCTACATGGCAGATAACACAATACATACTCTACATAAATAGATTCAGATTATTTTCCACATGTGTCCCTGACAGAGCAAAAAAAGGTGTCAAGGCCAAAAGGACCACTGGTGTACTTATCCCAGATACCAAGTAAAGGTTTAAGTCCATCCATCTCTGTAGTGAAGTCTCTCCCACTCGAGGGAGTTGAGTCACTCTCCTATACTGTAACCTTGTGCGTTGGAAAGACTGGTGTAGCCAAGGGCAGATAGACCCACCCGCCAAGCGCCAATGTTGTACTTCGTTCTTAGCCCTAAGTTAGTGAGGATTTGAGGGAAGTTCTTGTTTTCGTTGTTCTAGCTTTCAGGTTGGGTTCTGGTGGAAGATTTGGGGTTGTAGGTGGTATAGAGGGTTTGAGACAGAGGCAGTGTTTTTTTTGCTTTTGGTGGTACTTGCCACCGGGGTTGGGGCCCTGAACGGTCCAGATGCGCCTGTTGCCTCTTGGTCGCTTGAATTCAATCCGTCGGCCTTGGCCTGTGAGAAGTGTGGGTGGTTTGAGATGGGGTGGGCAAAAGGTATTCGGTGCTTTTGTTTTGTTTGGGAGAAAGAGAGAGGAAGGGGGGGTGAGTACTTGTCAACTGGGTTGGATTCTAAACGGTCCTTATGCCTTTGCCTCTCATAAGGTTGACAATCCGTAGTTCCGGCCTGCAGTGTGAGTGACAAGGAAAAGAGGTGGAGGATAAAAGAAGCAGAGTGAGAATGATGACGAGGAGTTGAGGAAGGTAAAAGGAACACGCTTTCATTCAAATACGACCATGCAGAACACCGGCCAGCTGGAATCAAAGGTGCTTGTAGAATCTGTCACGAAGGTACATCTTGCGGTTCAGAAATGGATGTAGCCAGTCTGGCTTTTTGAAGTGGAGGTTCTTCGCTCTTTTTGAATACCAGAGGGGATGGATGAGCTCATGATGCACGTGCACAGACTTGGACGCAGAATTGGTATCTTCCTCGTCGTCAACTGCAATGCGGTTGATCTCATCGAGTGTTGCATCACTTCCGATCCGGACAGCACGGGCTAGCCGCGTCTCAATCAAGGAAGGCGTGTCAATGTCGTTGGTGACAATCAAGATGGGAGGAGGAGGGAGTGGTTCATACAGTGCTATCTCTGCCATGAGCAAGTACAGTCCTGCTATCTCTCGATCAGGTATGTGGCTCTGGCAGACGCTGCTGACATATTCAGTTTCGTGGCGCTTGGATTCTCTCTCTTCGCTGCAGCCAGCAGTAACCTTCATCATCTGGGGGCTTCTGGTAGGCGCCATGCTGTCCAAATGATTCCTTGAGATCTCGCGAAAAGAGAAAGCAGTGGGATTCTTTATCAAGGTGACTTGAAAGACCTCAGTCCAATCAATATTCAATTACTTTGGTGGGAAGAGTTAGGCACAGAGATTGCAGTGAGTATGAAGAAAGAAGGAGAGGTTGGGAAAGAGCAGACTTTGAGAGGGCGAAAAATACTCTATGAGACTGTGGAGAATGACAGCACGTTTTCGTGGTGATCCACTTCGTTATCATCCTCTACGATGCCATGAGCTACTCTTGACGCTTGTCTTTCCATTTCGAGAACACAAGTCACTTATACGGGGCTCAACGGCCTGCTGGCCTCACTCGAGGATCGTGAAGCACGGACGTATAGATCGAATCTTTGCAAAGACCCCAAAATGGCATCCCCTGGCCTGAAGGGTATCAAGTATTGGACCTGGGGTCCCAATGTCATTGAATTTGAAGCTCAATCTCGTATGTTTCTGTGTTCTCACAGAACGCCGAAGGACGCTTTGTACGTTTGACCCCTACTCCGACGTGTTGTAGGGCAGAGTAGTTGAAGAGCTATCTTCTGCGTAGCATGAATCCAGCGACGCTAAGACATCATCACAACATGCGTGAGGCACAGTCATGGGAACTCCACATTACAGATCTGTTCTGACTGTGGCATTGTTGATGCATGCGATGTTGTTTGTTGACTTCGGTGTACATGTGATGCAATGAGCATGATTGGTTGCTCCTGTACTGGGCCTGGTCACTTTGCGCAGCAAAATCTTTGCTGAGTGGTACGTCTGAAGGAGCATTGCGCGAAGGATTCTCCGGGCCTGGGGAAAAATGGAAGAGAAACAAGCATGATTACTGTAATCTCCGAGGCAATCCGTCAGGATGATCACACTGTAAGTACCGACTGCAGTCACTTTCACATTTGACCTTTTTGAGCTGAGAACTGAGATGTTGACGCGATTAGTGACCGGGTCCCAAACGGGATATAGGGCTTGACTAATCCACACTAAGTTAGTGGGAGTTCCTGGATGAGGCTCATCATTTGCTTCGTACTTCAATCTTCATCCACCGCACGCCCAATCACTGTCCCTGAGAAATGCAGGCTACTTCTGGCACCTAAATCATTTCTGCTAGAGCTCCGCACCGGAATTTCAGTCGATCCCAACAAGGATGTTTCGCTGTTTCAACGAGTCACACTAATTGAGGCGTTTTGTTGACCGCAAGTCTGCTCCAGTGTGCGTCGCACCATGGCGGGAGAAGCGGAAAACCAAATCCAAAAGTCTTTCCTACGAGCATGTTCCCTAATCACCGTTTTATGTCTCGCTAGCCAGGTTGAGAAACGCTATGACGCAACTTGTAATCTTGTGGAAGCAAGTCCTTTCGAAACGGTGAACAAGGCAGGTGAAATACTATCAGACATTAGAAACAGACTCGCAGCTTAAAGGGTATCATATATGGAAACTTCCAAACCATAAGAATGTGAGTACTGCAGCTGAACCGCTGGGTGGTGTCACATCAGTTCAGACCTGACTCTCTATCTACGTTCGGACACCTTGACTGCGCTTTACGTGGTCCTTGTGATTGGACTAAAATAATCAGCCCTCAATGCTTCTGCTCACCTCCACTTGTATCACGGTATAAGGAATAAAAATGGGCTGTGGCCGCAGCAAGGAAAGGAGCGGACCGCCCTTTAACCCCGAGCAAGATCTTACAGGATTTTCATTTACACCGTCACAACCCAGCACCCTTTCCCAGCAAGAAATCAATGCTCCTACTCAAGGCCAAGGTCGAGCCGCAACTACGCCATCTCAACCTCTGACTAATTCTTACGTACTCCAATTAGCCAGTCGTCCTGCACATGAACAGCAATCAACCAACACACCTATCCGGCAGCAGAGACTCGGCGCCCGCGATACACAAATCTCGGTCGCTGCGCCTTCAGAGGAGCAGAGATGGGGTGATCACCCTGCTAGACTGCGTCAACGAGCCAATGACGCCGACTTCTTACGCCGACTATCGCTCCAGAGTGAACGGAGCTCTTTACCGGGCATTCGAACCCCTATCTCAAGCGAACGATCTTCTGCTTCCTCCTTACGAGGAGCCTCTCCAATCGGGGAACGCATCCCTCTTTCAATTAGAGGACGATCAGCCATTGACGAGGGACCAGAACAACCTTCCCCTCGTCTCTCTCACCAACAATCATGGCTAACGTCTGCACCAGAGGGACGAGGATCCCCATTTGCTTCTCCTCTAGTCCAAGAATCACACTTATCCTCCTCGTCTTCTGCCTCGTCATCCTCGTCCCAGCAGCGACGAAAAGCCGCCGGCTCATCTCAATCACGGTCGGGCGGTGCGTCCCCTCCCGCTCCTCCTCCTTCTTCCCCTCGTCTGAACAGGTGCGAACCCAAGCCGCTGCGCACACACTGCAAGAAAGGCTGCCGCTGCATGACCTGCCGCCCGCAATTCTACACCTCACATGGCGAACTCACTCGCGTCTGGAGCAGTCCCTGCATCAAAGAAGGCTGCCGCTGTCCCATCTGCACCGAAATATGCCTCAACAACGGTCACATGTTGCCGAAATGTGAGCAATGCAGGCGCAGAGGTTGCGCGTGTAGCACCGGCTGCATGGACATCAATTGCCCCATATGTCGCACGGCTATGGTAATGGATAGAGGGAGCCGGCCTCTGTCGAGACTCAGTTCGAGACCGTCGATGCCGAGGATTAATTCCGGGTCGTCATTGGCGAGGACGAGTGGATCGGATGACTAGAGTGAGGACGACTAGTATCTACGCCTTTTCAATCGATAGGAAAGGGGCATAATCGCGATAATCTAGGCTCTACGGAGTAATAGTTGTGCCAAGAGTAATATATGACTTGGCTAAAATATATAAAGCTCCAAGTCAAGTTATATTGTATAGCTTAAGCTGGTGATTGGTGATCAGCATAGCTCTCGAACGAGGCCAATTAGCCCCTACGTAGTAAAAAGGTAAGCGGCATCAGTTCAATCGATCTGTGTGGACAAGAACAGGGAAACCCTTGGAATAGAGTGCAGCGATGCATTGAAAAAATATTCGCTCTTTTAGCACTTTGCTGTGAATACTCTTGCCGCTTACTCCAGCAGAACATCTTTACGTGATTACTGCTACACAACGAGCAGATCAGGTTATATCGAACCTATCGCCTTCCCGCGAGCAAGCAATGTGCTCTCTTGACTCCTACTCCGTAGACCTGTGCGCGTTTACTCGATACCTAGTTCAATACGCACCCTGTACGATCCGCCCCCCTTCCTCTTGCCGATGATGAACAGCCTATACTATTTAATCAATTAGATCCAATTGATCACCAGGGCCCCAAGAAACATTACCACGTAGTATCCCATCCGCCGGCAGACCCCGGGGTGGGGGGTTGAATGCTCGCCTCATTCAGAGCGCCGTTGTTCTCATCAGTTGTTCTTGAACTTGCCAGCCAACAACCTAGCACTGCAACCTCCTGTCCAGCTGACTGCCTGCACATTGCACATGTCGCTGTCAAGTAAGACTCAAGATAACATTGTGCCTGGTCTGCTGCTGTTTAGGACCAAGCCCACCTCTGACCCTTTGGATACCAGATGCAGCAGCATGATGGTGGGAATTTCCGGGAAAGTTGCCGCCAAATTCGAGCAGGAGGCACTACTACTAGTAGTATCAGACGGAGGGGCCAAGGAGTGGTATTAGGGAGGGGGAGGCGCATCGGGTGCCCTCCGGAGAAGAATCTCCCTTCTTACAGTCTATCTATCTATCTATCTATCTGAGCGATCTGATTACCGGATCATCTAAGCAGGTGCAAGTGACTGTTGTGGCTATCTGCCAATATTATCTTAGAAAGTGATGAACTGTGCTGACTAATCGATGGATCAGTGTGGAAATAGCAAGTTGTTCTATCTAATTCAGTGCGAGGAGCGCGCATTTATACGTACAGAGTTGCTATATCAAGCGAAATAGCGCGAAACGCTGATACCAAAAATACATGCGTGGCTGATGCAAAACGCGTATCAATTCTGTAACAAAACGCTGGTGACACACGTAGCAAATTAAGCGCAAACTGTTTTTTTTGAGTTCTACAGAAAGCTATCCCCTCCGTCCCTGGGTGTGCCTATTTACACCCCTGTTCAGGGACGGAGGGGATACGCTAATGGAGGCATTGTCGGTGGGAGAGATAAATTGTTGAAGGAAGTTGGGGGGGGGGAAATAAGTAGCAAGTGCAAATACCAGTCTGGCACTGGCAGATCATGGGTGAGCAAAATGACTGATTCCAATTGGGTATGAAGCTGAGGAAGGTTGTGTAAAACCGTCGCGACGGAACAAATTGCTGATCTACCTGTGATATTCCAGCCAAAGCCTTGGCATGACACATGACCACATGTGGCTAGGCGCCACTGCCACAGACACGTGCTACTACTTGGTATATATCTCTCGTAGCTACTCGTAACTAGGAAAATGAAGTACCTTTCTTACTTCCGATTTCACATACCGAAAGCCAAGGAGGGCAAAGCACGTGACACTAACCTACATGTCGGCGCTGACTTACCATGACCTTCCTATCTATCTTCACAGTTCCGCAGCTTATGATCCTAGTATCAAGAACGCCGCTGATATTTCACTGCAGAAAAGCTAAATCCGGCAGTCGTTGCCCTTAAAACCACAAAGACTGCAACCTTTAGACGACCGTAAACTAGCTTATGTTTGACAGTTTCCCACCTGTAGCTGACCTTTTTCTTTCTTTCTCAGTGCTGAAAGGGCCACCCACCTACTCCCAGAGCCAGTAACGTCGGCTCCGCGACGATTTTCTCTTTCTTCGCCTTTAGCTCCTCAACGTCCCAGTTACACCAGATCAACCGGCCTTGTAAGAACGCCGCCTCCGGACTGACAGCCCAGACCATGAAATCCGCTGGTAGGGAAACTAGAGCAATGGAAGACCCCTGTCAGCAGCGTACGAGAGAGTTACCTGGTAGGTAAGCAAAGATTGTGTCGTGAGATGAACTTACTATCGTCTACAGGTAATTTCGTGCCCTGTGCAGCACCCTTCTGTCCCATATCGGTCTCGATCACGCCAGGATGCACCTGCATCACTCTCACACCCTTCTCTTCCTCGGCTAGCGCCTCAAAGAACCTCTGTTGAGCCATCTTGCTAACGGAATAACCGCTAGACTCTTTAGGCGGCGGGGATAGCGTCGCCACTGCCGAGCCCATACCCACTAGCACCGGGACATCAGCAGTAGAAGAAGCGTTCTTATGTTTGAGGAACGCGCGCGCCACGATAAATGATCCCAAGACATTCGTCTCGAAGCCGGACCACCAGTCCTCTATCTCCGATTCCACGACCGACTTCGCGTCCGGAAGGTAGCCAGCATTGTGGATGCAGATGTCGACTCCCTTTCCGCCATTGGCGGCGCTTAAAGCGGAAAAGGCGGCGTCCATGGCGGGTGCGGAGGTCACGTCCCCAACTGCGGTAAGGATGGTGGTGTTGGGGAACTCGGATGTCAGGGCAGCTTTGGTGGACTCGAGGGTTGGGAGCGTGCGGCCCGTGATGGTGATGAAGGATGCGCCGGCTGAGGCGAAGGAATGGGCGGTGCGGGCGCCGATGCCCCGGCCGCCGCCTGTGATGACGATGGCTTTACCACTGACTGAGAGGTGAGGTTGTCTCGGAGAAATGGTTGGGTAGGTCGTGTTGTGCCATGTGGCTGTTAGAGAGGGGAGTGTAGAAATTTCTATCATGTTTGCTTATGGAAGTAGCTTTGTTGGAGAGGTAAAGTACAATGAAAGCGTTTGAAAGGGAGATGTGGTAGTATTGCAGCAGAGTGGTAGGAATAATATTGTGTTGAAGAAAACATTTTTGAGTTGAGCTCCAGGCGTTCTTATCTATGTGATATTCCAGCCAAAGCCTTGGCATTACACGTGACTATATGTGACTAGGCGCCACCGCCACAGGCACTTGCTCCTACGGGGTATATATCTCTCGTAGCTACTCGTAACTAGGAAATGAATCACCTTTCTTACTTCCGATTTCACATCTATGTGGACTAGTTGTGACACGAGCAGGATTTGATGAGCAAGCTGGAACTATCACACAGGAGTGTCCAGTTCCCTCTGACGCTGAGAAATCCTGTTACCGTGCACAATAGCGGCACTGCATAATGCATTGTGGACGGCGGCACTCTGTCAGCGGAAAAGGTCGAATGTCGGTGAATGATATGGATGGTGCTGCCTCAGTCCCTCAGCCGTACGGAGTACTCGTACTGATTAAGTCAAAGCGCGCCAACACGTCCGAGGTCAATAATCAAAATTAGGTACTGATTGTCATTTGACCCTACAAAAAGATTGAGCTATACCTATTTGAGCTAAAATCAAGTGTATTAGCTTGTAATTCGTTGTTTTAGTTATGGAATTCACGAATCCATAGCTATTTGGGCCGATAATCCTCCGCAGAATCCGTAGTTCCTGCAGGGGCCCTAAAGTATTGTTAGTTCAGCACTAGTATCTTTACTCAAAAAACGTCTTTTGTACAAAACAGCTAAGCCCATATTAGATTAAGGGTAAATTTTTAACCCATTTGAAAGAACGTATCTCAATCAAGCTTTGCAATAACAGATCAGGGCACTATGACGGAGTAACAAGAACTAGCCGCTACTAGCATCCATCAGACTACGTAGTAACAATACTTACGCCTCCCCCCTGTAGTATTTTAATGCAGAGTAAAGGTTCCTGTCCTCAGGACGTGTGAGACAATGGTTGTGTAGTCAGCAACTAGCCCATTCGAATATGGCGCGTGTGGCTAACATACTAAGCCCGTCTGAGCGACTGAGGCGATGGATGGTGCTATCTTATGATGAGTAATTACAGTAGTTAGGCATAATAAAGCGGCACAGAGTCGTACTATGTGGTAGAGCAGCATGTGGCACCGAATGGGAAGCTGACACCTTCCAAGCAAGAGGAGGTCAAGTAGTGTACAATTCTGCATGTGCAAGGTAACCGTAGCACTTAGAATGATTGTTGCAAACCAACGCTATCTGATGCATAACTTGATGATTGAAGTACATATTTGCTAAGACCCTTTACAGCGGATTTCGTTGAATCTACGGGAGTAGTAATACACAATGAGTCGTACTAAGATTAGAGAATCGTGCGTTATAGGGACGGCACTCGCGGAGTGCCTTTAACAGCTCCCTATTCTAAAGATGCCTCGGAGCCTTCTTTGAGGCAGTTGGGTGTGGTTGATAGATCCACGCTAGCTAAGCTTTAGGCATTCTGCCCTCCGGCGGCCCTAGCATTGCCACCAGAGAGAAGCGTCATATAATGCAAGAACAACTAGCTGTTCTTCATCCCAGTTGATGCACATTGATGACCGTACCTGTAGTGGTTAATAAGCCAGATTACCATGTTCAGAACTGCCAAGCTCATGCCGCTATAAATCTTCCACAGGGATCACAAAGCAGAGGAATCATGCACAGTAATCACTTTCATGTTGGACGACATGAGCTTTAATGCTGTTCTAATTCATCTGTTGTGGATGCCAGAACCCTGGCAAAAGACAAAGCTCGTTATGGGTATCTAATGCATTCCAATCCTACCATATTCCCAAAAAAGGAACGCCTTCATAAGGCGGCCACGGCCCGTGGGGACTCCGACCAGTTGGAATCAGCTCGAAGATTAACATGCTATATTGTAGAGCAACGAAAAGTAAAGTGACAGCATACATGCCTCATGGCAGAGGAGGAAGAACAGCACCGCCTGAGCGTGTCCTCAGCTTAGGAGCATCACCCATCTTCTCAAAGACCTTCAACGAGTTGACCGCCCAGTAAGCTTCTCGGAACACCGACTTGTTCTTGGTCACAAACTCCTCACATGTCGGAGCCTGCGATGCGCAGCTGGATTGGGCCCAGACCTTGCCAGCCCAATCTCCACAGAAGGTCGTATCGAAGACAATGTTGAGATCCTTGAAATGGTCGTCGACTTTGAAGTCGCCGCTAAATACGGCTCGTGGAGGACCCCAGCTTTCACACGGCCGCGGATTGCCTTGGACAATGTCGGCAGGAATTGCGGTGCGAGGAAAGAACCAAATATTGATGGCAGAAGACGTCCATTCTGTCGCGTAGACACCACCACCGTTCTCATTGAAACCCTTTCCGTACGTAGCGGTGTCGTTGGTTGAAATTGTGCAGCCTGCATTTTTGGCTTGACCAGGCGCATTGACGTCGCAATTTGGTGTAACCAATTGGCCGGTAAAGCTTGCATTGTTCGAGACCACAACACCAGGCCCAGTGTGCAATGTAAAGCTGTTGCTTGTTTGGTCGTTCACTCCTTCGAGAATGTCGATTTCGCCTGAAGTTGGCCAGTTCGGCCCCACAAGCCAAAAGGCTGGCCAGGTCGAGCAGATGCCGCCAGGCATGTGAGCAATGTCAGCGATGAATAAACCACGATTGAATGCTTTCTGGCTTTGTACGCGAATCGATCGGCGACCTTGGGGAGCCTCATTGACAGCGTCCATGCCGAGATAGACAGCGTTGTTAATTGTACTGCTCGACATCAAGCCTGCGATGCCGCTGTTGTTGGCATTCTCCTTGTCAATGTATTTGACGTGGCCGTTCGTCGGATCGGCGTCCGTAAAGAAGTCGAACCCGTCGAAGAACGCTCTTCCGGTGTAGTCTTGCGACAGTGTATAATTGGCGAGTGTTGACGAGATGAGTGGGCTGACCAGCAGCGCCATTCTGAAGAGGGACAGCATCGTGTGTAGTGAAGTAAGCAGCTGAGAATGTAATATATGGATGATTTGGGGGTGGAGATCGGCCAAAATTAGCAAATGTGGTGCAAAAGAGGGTAATGTCTCCAGGCATCAAAGTATTTATAGGTCTTCTGTGCCAGCAGAAGGAGGAGAAAGAATGCACAAGAGTACGAAAGAAAGACACACCAAGGCTTGTGTGAAGCCATCATTCTTTGTCTCCAAGGGGGCAAGGACAATAGAAATACTCGGCTGGGAACAAAGGGAACGCGCCCAACATAGCTCACGATGAATGAGAGAGGCTATACATGGTATTGACGCGAGCCTATTGTCATTGAACACTGCGCTACAGCAATTAGACCTCGTTCAAGCCATCGATATGAAGTAATTGGCCGCTGTTTGCGCGCACAGATACTTTAGTGGAAAGGTCTCGACGGCACCATGGAGGCACTGGCCGAGCTTGAAGCTTTGCCAGTAGGAACAAGAAGTCACCTTGAAACAATGTGGAGCTCTGTATTGCTGAGTGAGAGGCTGCGCGTCTATCTGTGTGGGTACAAGCTATTCGCATTCTGTAGTGCGGAATGCAGTGGCCAATATGTGGGCTGGAAAGTTGACTCTTTGAAACACCAAAAAATGAAGTGCCGCCTTTCCTAATTGGCAAATATCACCGGAGATTTGCCGCGCCATAGATATGCTCGCACCACGTGGTCAGCCCTAAGCTACAGCTGTTCACTCTGCTAGATGTCACGCGACTGCTTTGATCGCGATGTGCATGGTGAATGTATATTGTACAGATTATTCAAAGCGATGCCTCGCTCTCTAGGCCTAGTACTACAGCACTTGGTCAGGCAGCTGGGAGCATAGATTGATTTCCCGCATTGCAGCGATGACCTCTCTGCTACTAGCTCTTCCACAAAGCCTCAGACTTTCTCGAGCGTCAAGATGCTCAATCACAGAACTTTCGCCCGCTATCAGTGACCAGGCCTCCAGATTCATCGACGGAGTCATCTCCCTAATATGGCCTTATTCGAGTTCCACCCATAGTACGGCAGTCCTCCTTGCGGATCCTGACTTTCGAATACGCAGAGCAAAAGGGCAAACTAAGGTCACCTTCCATGGAGAGGTTGCGGTCGCTGTTGCCAATTCGCACGTGGGGATTGGCGATGCTGTTCACCTAAGCCTCGAAGGTGCTCAGTGGGCGCAGTCAAGCGAGGATGTGTCTGTGGTGGGAAAAAGAGCCGACTGGGATCTGGAGTATGTCGGACAAGTGTTCATGGAAATACAGCGGGGCTTGATTCCACTCGCTGTGGTGGACGTTTCTCCCCTTCCAGAATCCCTGGATGGCCCACTACGTGAGATAGATGGTAATGGAGGAGTCAAAACCAGAGCACCTCGGACAAGCAGGACTCAGGAGTTGTGGCCTTCGCCTGCATTCGCCAAGCCGAATGTGCATCTGACAGATCCATCGGTACAAGTCAAGGTGAGCTCTGCCATTGAAGAAGATGGATATATTCCTGGCAGTGGTAGAAAGCGAACAAGATTCTCGCTTGATAGTGGGTCATGGCGTTACCTGGAAAGAAGCTCTAGCCCTGAGGACGGTAACCAAACCCCAGACCATGCGGATCCGCCATTCAATCAAGAACAGGTCGTCGATACCACCTGTATTGCATGGGACACAGATAACAAGCACCGAGATATTGATGCAGTCGACTCGAGAGTTTCGCAGCAGCCATGCTCGCTAACACCACGTCACCACGCTGTCACAAATCATGCAGACAAAGCGCCGGAGGCTCTGATGCCTCCACCAACACTGGATCTAGAACAAGATCAGATCATAAACGGTCCCTCCAATACAAAATCGCCAGTGAAGAGCGAATCTATTCTTACGCCGCAAGTAGAAAGGCATCTAGGGGCCGAACATAGCCCTACACCTCCAAGCACTAGTACCCCGATTTTGCGCCCTTTGGCTTCGCCAGGACTGCCCCTTATTTCTCCCCTTGTCGGGCGGCATGGTGGTGTCACTGGATATTTTCCCCCGGTTTCAAATGTGCAATCCGAGCTCCACTCGAGTGCAGAAATGTTTTCTCAAGAAGCTCTAAAAGGGAATCAGTCTAGTGTTACTCTGCCTCCTCCCTCAAGCCCAACGTTCCCTTACCAAATTGAGAAGAGCTTTTCGGATGATGCTATGATCATCAGTGATCCACACCCAGCTGGTCAAACAGTTGACTTGATTTCACTAGGGGATGAGACTCAGGAATGGCAGAGACCGGAGGCAGGCGCTGGTTTGCATGCTGCTGCTTCTGAAGCAAAATATGACGCAGACGACATAAGACAACCTCTCATTTCACTTGAGGGATTCGAGCTTGTCGATGACAGTCCTATTGAGCCGCAGCCTGTCGACCGAACAAGTTTTAGGAGTGTTCCTGATAAAGCTAGCACCAGCACGGCAGAGGTCACTTCGCAGAAATCTATCATACAAAATATCGTCTCTAGCACAACTTTGGAACAGTCTGTGCCTCGGTCTCCTCATAAGGTCGGAGGTGACTCGAACCAGGCCGTTATTCAGTCAGATAACAGGGTTGTAAATAATTCGCCAACCAAGCAACCCTCCAAGCTATCGACTGATCAGCTGAATACCACGTCCCCTTCACACGTAGAGCAGAAAATTGGTGAAATCAAGCAGAATCATATTGGGCACGAAGATAATCCGTATAATGGGAACAAGCAGCAAGACATTGAGCAGAATCACACTATCTCCGTTCCTCTTCCTTCACCGCTAAGACTCCTGGATTGGACTGAGGCTCTCGAAGTGTCGGCCCATGACGTTGAGGACGATAGCCTTCGCATCAGTGCACCACCATTTCCATTCAAACAGGGATGGGACACCAGAGCTAAGAAAGAGAGCAAGGCTCGTCAAAGAGTACAAAAATTGCAAACCGCCGGCCTCTATACGGCTCTTCGTGAGTCATACGATGGCGCTGGAGAGGGAGACAGGAGTTCTTCTGCAGAACCGTCGGATGTCGTTTCAAGTCTTGATAGTCGGGAAAGGAGTCTGTCCTATGATGAGAACGGTAATCTGAATCAAAGGGAGGTCGCAGCGCCTGATGAGATATCCGAACCTGAAAGCAGTGACTCGGCGCTTACAGATGGAGACGAGAGCATCCTAGAGGCCGAAGGCAACCATTCGGAGGATATCCAGATCGTTGAGCTAGAATCCGGCAAGGATCATCAGCTGGTAGTTCCAGAGCTAGAAATGCAGCCTGGCCAGGGCACCGAGCAGGAGAACTTTTCTCAATCGGTCGATTCTGATGCGCCCATGATCGATGACGAAGATGGCTACCAATCCCCAACCCCAATGGAAGTGATGGACTTAGCCCCGCGGCTACCAGAGATGCCACGGTCACGATCACCGTCTATAACCCCAGAGGAGGATACTAGCCCATTCACTGCTTCGTCCACTCCGTTGCCTCAGTTTCCTTCTGATCTCCACATAGAGGAACACAAAGCGGCTCAGCTGAAAGTAGGATATGGGCGACTCACAGATGATTCCTCTCTGAGACAACCCCGCTGGGGCTCAGGTTGAGCAGCTAGCAACTCCGGATAATACTCAAGATGAACCCCAGAATGCGCAATTCCGAGGTTTACGGAATAAGCTGCACAAGGAGAAGCCATTAACTGAGCTGCTTTCTTCGCCGCAAAACACACAAGATCTCCAAGAAAAGGAACCGCTAGGTGCAAACGAAGAACGAGAGAAGACGTCCACTGGTCCTTCGGCTGGGCCACCCAGACCCCACCTTGGTGAAAGTGAAACTGATGCAAATCTTACTACATCATTTTCTGAAGAGACAAGGCGGCGCCGATCTTCCCGTCTGTCTGGGAAGATGCCACTGTTAGGTAAAGACCCCTCTGAAATCGTCAGTCCATACTTTACTCCAAAGAGGGCAATACAAGACGGACAGCAAGATCAAGATCCCTCATCTCCACTCCGCCAACCTATCAGTCCGAGCTCAAAGCCACGAGATAATGTGGTGGTTCTGATCCCTCCACCAACAGAAAAACGTTCTGAGCCCAACATTCAGCAATGGTCTGTCACCCCAACGCCCTTGACATCCACGAATTCTTCTCTGAAGAGAGACCCAGCTGATGGGAAAGGCTTTACAACACCCCACTCGTATTATCCATCTCTCTCTTCCGTGCCAAACCATTTCCATGACCTACTCGACATACTTGCGGTTGCTTCCTCAGTCTCGAAGCAGCCCCAACGGGCCAAATCTGGACCAAAAGACTACTACGTCTCAATGAGGCTCGCGGATTCCTCTTGTGGCGCAGGTGATACACTTTCGGTCCAGCTCTTGCGACCGTACAGAAACGCTTTACCCACATGTAGACGAGGAGATATCTTACTACTCAGGAATATGAAGGTACAAACCTGTCCAGCGCAAGGTACTCGGCGGAAGAGCCAGGAAAGTAGAGAACTCGACAGTATGATGCTCCTTAGCACGAACAGCAGCGCCTGGGCTGTCTTTAAATTCCCTTCTGCAGACTCTGTCTCGGCCGTGGAGGACAGGTCAAATTCGGAAGATGGATCTGCCCGGTCACCAGATAAAAGAGTTACGCCAGTCAAAATGGACGTACAAGTAAGTGGGCCTCCGGTTGAGTTCGGTGCCGAGGAGAGAGCATTCGCCAGAGGACTAAATCAATGGTGGATTGAGGAAGGAGAGGCAGGCTTCCCTGATATACCCAGCAAACCAGGCCAGAAGATGAAGCGCAAGGGAAAGGAGAAGTTGAACGAGCTGGAAATACCAGAGGAGACATTACATGAGCACGAGTTGAGAGACGGTATGGCATACGGCGATTTGATTAGCCCGAGACCCCTACACGAACATTTCCATCGCAATGAAAATGGTCATGTTGAAGACCACGAGTCAAGTCTCCATGAACACGAACTGCGCGATGGTGTGGCATATGGCGACACAATCAGCAAGATCCCTGTGCATGAACATCATCAGCACGAACACCACGTTGATCACACTTACAGCCGTGGTTCCAATGCTCCACGATGCGGAGAAACAGATAGCAAAGCAGAAGATGAATCTAGCCTTCATGAACACGAACTCCGGGACGGAACGGCATACGGCGATACCTTGAGTTCGAAGCCTATACATCGACATTTCCATGTTCACGACGATCATCAAGATGGTCAAGAGAGCAGCACTAGCCAGCTTGTTCAGGATGGCCACAACGCTAGTCTCACATCTCCAGCCTCAGGTGAGGCCGACCGCTCACATAGCTTGCGCAACGGGATCTCATATGGAGACACAAACTCAAAAGGCCAAAATACTTTAATTTCCACACCAACAAAACCACGTACTAGGTCGAAACGAGGTGTTGCAATCGAAGCACCAATAGAGCAGAGCGAGTCTGAATCCGAGGCCGAGTCTGAGGATGCGTCTGAGGATGCGTCTGAGGATGAGTCTGAGGATGAGTCTGAGGATGAGTCTGAGGATGAGATGAGTCTGAGGATTAGTCTGAGGGCGCAGGAAATGCTGAGTGTGTGCACAATGTCGGCAGTGGCAGGACAGAGACGGCCGCCGAGACTTCAGCTACGCGCTCAAGCAAGAACATCCTAGGGATTAGTGTCTGTGTAAGTTCAACAAGTCATCGACGCGGCAAGAGATGGAGAATGCGGTGAGGGAAAACATATACGAATCATGCTCCTGACCACGCAAGGATTGTAGGAACATCAGGGACCTAGAAGGAGGATTAATCGCACAGTTGTCTACCAAAGAAGCAGCTGATGCCGACATGGTGGCCTGTCTCTCTCCCTCCAGTGCAGCAAACCTGACTCCAAGAAAAGCGCATTGAATAATACAAATCATCATCCACCGGGTACAAATCCACCAGCCTAACCCACCTTTCCTCCCTGCTTCCGAAGCCCCAGTAGCCATGTATGGAAGCCGTGTTTAATCACCACACCTACCAACAAAGAGCGACCAACTTCTTCCGTGTCCAGTAGTGTCCAGCGTCCTCCCATCCACCATTCTCCCCATCAACCAACCCGCCAATCAATCAATCGTTCGTTCATGTTCATGTTCATGTTCATGTTCATGTTCATGTTCATGTTCATGTTCAAGACCGAGATCAGGATGCGCAGCAGCTTAGCTGCCCAACCAGCACAAAGGTCGTCCGAAGCACCCATCCGATGGGCTTTGGTTACTGGGAAGTTGGCCCTCACTTATATCCTTGACAAGCTCGGGTCCCATGTTCGTATCAAGGAAGGACAGATTAGCTTTTCTGCTCCTGGTCGTCTCGACGCTAGGAGAGTAACTTCAAAGGCTGCGAGGAAGATGTGGGTGTGTAGTGTAGGTTCAATATGTTTTTTATTCACTACGAACTGAAGTTATGCTATGTAGTGAACTAGGGAATGGATGGAAGAGCATATAAGTGATGCTGGCAAATACGTCCTCCTGCTAAGGTGACCGCTATCTGAACGAGAACGACGATGATCTGATCTCGATGGCGCGCGCATCTGTTTTGGAAAATTACCAGATCAGAGAGACCTTGATATCTATCTCCTGCCGGTGGTTCCTCTGGCTCTAGCCACTTGTGCTCGGGCTCCCTGTCGCCGGATGAAGTTCAAAATGGTGTCTAGAACAACTGATGAATACGATTCACCCCAGCAGTGAACCACCAGCCAAGGGAATGGAGACATTCCCTTACCAAAAGATATCTTCAAGGACTTTTTTCAGACATCATGCTCAGCCGGCCTTCTCGCCGCGCCGCCCTCGGTATTGGCCTTACTGGCCCCCCTCGCCTTCCGATCACTAGCCAACACCTGCGCGAATTTACTCCTCTTCCTGATCTCGGGGCCCTTCCAATAAAACACATAGATTGGGATCGTCACCAGAATAGCCAGGAAGGCCAAGATCGTGGTCGGCCACTCCAGCTTGTACCTGTGGCCGATGTTTTCGTACATGGGCGTGGCGTAGAAGGCGGCAATGCCGGCCAACAGATCGCGGGCGAAGCCGTTCCCGCCGGTGGCGGAAGCGGAATAGGGACCGTACGAGGCGATCATATAGTCGATCGTTGCTTGGTAGATGGCGTAATTTGCGATGCCGATCAGGGTTGCGAAGCTGAGTGGCGCGATCCAGTGGACGTGAGGTGGGCCCAGGGATGTCCAGGCGAAGCCGAAGAGGCCGACGGCCAAGCATGGGGCTAGGAAGAGGAGCCAGTACAGACGGCGTTCGGGTTGGAGGGCGTCCGGGTCTCTGCGGCGGATTTGACTGTCGCGGTGGATGAAGGGGAAGAAGGAGATGTAGGCGATGACATAACCGAGGACGATGGAGCAGAATGCTAGTCCTGTGGTGATGACGGTGAAGTTCCATTGTTTGAAGACCGGGGTAAAGGATTCGAGGAAAGTGAAGATCAGTGCGTCGCTGAAGCCGGAGAGGAGGGACAGACACAGTACGATTGGCTCGCGAACAAACATTTCGAAAGGCCGGATCCAGATTGTCAGGACTTCTTTGGGAGAGATCCGCTGCTCTTTCAGCTCGTTAGGCCCGTAAGCGTTGGGGTCTTCACCTGACTTGCGGCGGCGTTTGGCTTCGCGGTCGACGAGGATGCTGCTTCGGGTTTCTGGGACCATGAGGAAATGCATGATCTGAACGACTACGCCAAAGATGAGCTGGATCCAGAAAACCCAGTTGTAGTGGAGGTATGTTTGAATGAAACCACCAAATATCGGTCCAAGCGCGCTACCGCCCACGGAAGAGAAGACAATAAATGCTACCGCGTATTGTTGGTCGTCTGGCTCCCACATGTCGGCTACCATACCCAGGGTGACGGAGCCACCGGCGGAGGAGAGACCAACTAGAGCACGTCCGACAATCATGGTGCCCAAGTTGGGTGCAAGTGCACAGGGGAGCTGCCAGATATTCACCAAGAACAGCGAGAGCTGTAAGACAGGCCAACGTCCAAGCTCCTCACTCCACGGTGCCCACAGTTCGCAGCCAAAAGCGTAAGCGATGAGCATGACCGCTTGACCAAGCCTAGCGGCGCGTTTGCTGACGCCAAAGGTATTGGAGATGCCACCAACAGCATTGGCGTAGATGCTGGCATTGAAGTTCATGGAGGTCTGAACAGCGAAAATGACACTGAGAATGGTCCATTTCTTAACTGTTGAATACCGGAAACCAAGCTTGTCGTAGCAATCTGCGTCTTGCAACTCAACTTTGCCATCTGCTCTTTCGGGCCGGGTTGAGTTGTGATGGACGCTGCCGCTTCTACTCTTCCTTCCTGAGGGTTGTTGAGGAGGGGCTTGTATTTGCTCCGTCCATTCTTCAGCTAAATTTTCGGCTGGATTTTCACGGACGACCACTGTTTTCGAAGTCTCGGATACTGGACGAGTCGAAGGCATTATGGATGAGGAGGATCCACAGGATAATACAGCACAAGGCTTGGTGACTGGACTGTGGATGTATTTGGTCTCCAGAAGTATTTGATGATTGACGTCGAGTCCCGATGGATGTTGCAAGCGAAGAGTGCATATAGATAAAGCTGCCTCCTTGAATATGGTCACACATAGATTTTAGAAGGGAAAACGGCTGTCGTCTATCTCTACGAAGAGATGAAGGAGAAGTAAAGTGCCGTCGTGCCTTTGGATGGCGAGCCTGGGAAAGATATACGAAAGACATTTGGGTACCTTGCCAATTTGGCAGCGTGCTCACGAATGAGCGTAGTATCGCGCTATCAAGTGTCGGTAGCATCTAGGTTTACCTCATGAGAGACGCTTGTAACACCATGGTCCATACAATTTTGTGGTTGGACAAATGAACGCAGTTGGCCAATGACAGTACTAGGAGTTGATCATACTAAGATTGTTCAAGCTTTTGCCAACTCTCGTGCCGAGATAGTGGTCCATCAGAAACGCTATCCGAACGAATCAACTTACTATCCAAGTTACTACCTAGTACTGACTTAAGCTAGCTGTCAGCGGATCGGCACCGGATTTACGCTGATCTGAACCTTCAATCTTTGACGACGTACGTAGTAGTACTACGGAGTACTAGTGAGTACTACATACTTCACCCAATCCCAAGCATGAGAATGATCCCTAGTACTGGGTACCTTCCATTAAATACCCCTAGGCTCCGTGAACAGCCGAGTGTAAGACTAGAACAAGAGCGGTCACTCGGCAAGGGTGGGTCTAGGATTCTGAGATGCAGCCGAAGAAAGCAAAGCTGTAAAGCGGAAGCTCGTCACCAGAAGATAGATGTGGGTGAGCATGTCACAGGGGAGTACCTTGCAAGCGGTGCTTTGTACGCTGACAGTCTCTTGGACTCGCTACCGATGCCTCACTATACCTCCCCCCCTTAACATGTTTGATCTCCCTGTGCTGGTCTCTTGCACAAAGGTACATCTTTCACAAAGCGCGCAAATTCTGGCACCCTCCCTTGCAAGCTCTACTTTCATAGTCATCGCGAAGATGCTGTGTCACGACAGCGAAGGCCTCGTGTGCTTTATGAGAACCCATTCTGGTGTCAAACTGCTGGTTCTAGGAAAACCTTTTCAAACATGTTTCACGGATGTTCCGATCTAAAATCTCGAGTTAGGCCGAAGCCATGAAGTATCAGGTTGCCGAAAAGGGATATTTTATATCTTGATTGCAAGAATGATACGAGCAGCCTCAACTTCAGACCTACCACCTACAACATCTCGACTGGTTTCAAGGAGAGCTTGTCCTTTTTAGAACAATTGTGGTCTACCATCATGCCACCTAAAGATTATACGCCATGGAAACTTCCGTCGGCAGCAGAAGAGATAGATAGACGAGCAGCAAAGGGCACTTTGCGTTCTTCCAGAACCTCCTCTGCCTCTGCCTCTTCCTCCTCCTCCTCCGGCGCCCACCCTTCTTCTTCAAATTCCTCGTCCGCCGGTTCGACGAGCTCTGCTTCCCCTCTCCCCTCGGCCGGCCGCCAAAAGCCTCCGTCCCGAAAGAGTGGGAACAAATCCGTTCCAAGCGGCCGGCCAGCTTCTCAAAGTGCTCTACTGTCTTCCTCGACCGCGCAGCCATCTAGCGGAAGTGTAGCTCGACCCTCACGAAGCACATATACATCCAAGCAGAGCGTCCCAGCAGCCGCTGAAAATGCAGGTTCAATCACGAGTCAGAGCGTCGATCCTCGGCCTCAAGCGGAAAAGATAGCAGAAACAAAAAAGCTCGAGAGCGACAAGGAAGCCATTTGCGACGAACTTGACAAGTTGGAGATCCAAATTGGGAAGGAGATTAAAAAGAGGGATGACATGATCGCCAGAGATGTGAAGAAGTTTAACGCAAATTAGATTTCATAATTTTTGATAATCAAAGACTTAGAGATTGTATGAAGGCTTGTGATACGCGAGAACTTTGGATTGAGTTCTTTGCTCAGACTGTCCCATGTGAAACATTACATGTTGGATCACCTAACTGTCGAACCTCTTCAATGTTTTGTCTTCACAGTCAATGTGGTGCCATTTTAGGGATGCAGAAGCGTCCCGTGGCGCACTTGTACCCTCACCCGAACTATAGGTCATGGGAAATCAATTGAAACAAGCTGTCAGGGTCTCAGGCGAACCTCAGGTCAAGTTGAGCATGTGTCTCATGGTATGAAGAAATCCGACGCATAGGTCCGAAACATCAATAGTTCTGGATGAAACCCATCGACCATTACATCAGTGGTTACGACGTTCATTTTTTCAATCACTGAAGCTCGAGATTCTTCAACGTTGTACATGCCTGAAATCATGCTATCAAAACCTTCGCAGTGTACCCGGTCTCTGAAAGGGGCAAACGGCCCTATCTATCGGCAAAATCCCAACAGCCCCATATGTCCCCAAGGGTACACGCTGGACCAACGATAGCTTCTTTCTTGTCAGCGCCCTCTTCCCCTCTATCTGTAGGCAGCATCACAACTTTCGATGCAAGCAATGCACATCTCCCTGGGCCCACCACGGCAGCACAGGCCACGAGAACCAAGCGAGGTGGACCCCTTACGGCTTTCCCCCCTAATGGCAATGGCGTCAACCCCTCATACTTGAATTCATCAGAGGGAGGGCCACTAGACCAAGATATTATACGTATAGTAGAGCAGTGTGAAGACGTGGATGGCGCCCTACTTCTTCTGAGATCAGAACTACTGCTCTGGGCGCGTCGCTCATACAATGGCAGAACATTTACCGGTGATTCTGATGCACAGGTGAAGCAACTGGTAAGGGTCGTGGAGCAGCTGAAGAAGACGGGCCGGTGCGTTGTTAGAGGAAAGATCATTTGTCCCAAAGCTGAAGATTGACTTGGCTTGATAGAAAGTATCTGGCGAAGGATAAGGACATTCACTCTGTGGAAAGAGAGAGAAATATATGTTACGTTGCTCTGCTCCAACAAATGAGGATCTTCTGTCTGATGAGAGCATATCTTTGCTAAGAACTGGCAATCCTCTTTCTCTCTCTCTCGCTGTGCCAAGATATGGATCATTGTTTCTTGAGAACAAAAATTTCAATTGGTATCCTCTAATCGCATGGCACGTTAGAAGGGTAAGGTAGAATAGGCGGCAGTTCAACAGATTCTTTCGTCCTTGGTCACGAATCTTGGTTGATTTGCCAAGAACCCTGAAAAGGGATGACCTACTAAGTACTAGTAGAGCTCCTGGCGTGTTACATACAGTGCTACTCCGTAGTACCACTATATTTACTTACGCGGTCAGACAGATTTCTTGGTCGAAACTCGGAATCATTTGCACATCAGCACTTCTGATTTGATAATCTCGCTCCCGGTATCACATGGAAACGACGATGGTCGGATAGTTGTGTGTGTTCCGGTCATGCAAATGTAAGATGTCATCCCGAGGTGCTTGAAACGTGGCGTGCTTTCTCGCTTGCCTACCGTGCAGCCCGTGCTAGATGCTAGTTCGCGAGATCTCACATGAAGTAACATGTTCGATTGGGTCATGGTGTAATGGGAAAGACAAGTACGCGGAAAACTAGTTCCTATATTACAAGGTACTGTTTCTACCCCGCGATGAGACGGCAAATGGTCGTTGACTCACCCCTCCATTTTGAAGCACGAATTGTTTTCTGTATTTCTTCCAGGAGCCACTGATTGTCGAGCCATCTTCTAAGCTTAATCTTGTATCGAAGCAGATCCATCTTGGATTTACGCTCTCGATCTGATCAGACACCTTTTTAACCTAATCCATTTTGACACTCTACGACCTTCTCATTAACTCCTGCCACACCCATACTGCAACGACCTCCAAAAGTCTTTCCGGCTTATCGCTCCACACTTCTCTTCGACTCGAGAAGAACCTCACTTCTTATGGTTGATTGAGGTATCAGCGCTCGGATTATTGGGATTACAAGTAACGCCCTTTCTCCTCTTCCTGGTGCAAGAAGACGACTAAAACCAACGCCGACCGAGAAACACGTTACAACCAAACAGATTCTAGAATAGGCCCCTCAGCTGAGATTCTGTAGCTCATGCTCTTGCTGCGTCTGAGGAGACGCCAGCAACACAAGCATTGCGAAGCTTGGTGGATTCAAAACGCCCTGGACTAGGCCTGAACACTCCTGAACTTATCCATTTTTGTGGTACCAGGCCAGTCATTAGGAGGACAACCAGACTCGTCGGCCGCAGTAAGAATGGATCCCTTCGATGCTTATTTGCAAACCCTGGCGTCGAAGGAGATCACTTCCGAATCCAGCAGGGGATCTGATACTTCATCCGGCAGGGATCCACCAGCGGAAGTAAGGATGCCGCGCCCCCCAGCGAAATGGATATCCCGGGTGAAGAAGGAGGCCGATCCCGAATACAGCTCGGGAGCTGGTGCTTCGACCGGCTCTGATGCAGCAAGGACAAGCCTTGCTGCGTCCATAAACAGTGACAAAAGGCGGCTTAGATTGAGACAGCGAGAGCTCGATCGCTTTGAAGCAGGCCATCCACAAGAACAATCGTTTCATTACTCAATGACCCCCACTGAACTACACAACCACCTTGAAAGGAATGTTAAAGAGGCACTGACCCTGCTTCAGAAACACCAAGGCGAACTCTTTAGGAGAATTAAGTCGAGTAGTTCTACTGCAAACACTTGGAATGCTCAAAAAAACGCTCAACAGAATCCAGCTCAGCAGACGGTTACCTTTCGTAATCAAGCTGGGAAAAAGTGATGGCTGCTTATCAAGGATGCCAGCGTGGTAATACTGTATTGAGCTAGAAAACGATTGGTCTTGCCTTAAGAAGAACAAAGCTAGATGAAACAACTATGCATGATTCGAGAATCTCTACAAGTAATGATCGCGTGTGAGTTACTTACGAGTATTGGTGTCTTGGTGTTGTCACTTGTCTTGACACAGTCGATAAACTTTTACCATCTGCTCTTGTACATCTTGTACATATTCCTTTTCTTCTTTAGCTTTTGTAATCGACTCCGTTTCAACAGTAGATTCTAGACTCAGTGGTTATTCCGCCGTCCGAGTTACTAACTATGCAGTGTTTCAAGATCTCAGTTGGTGTTCAAGACTACTCAATTAGAATGGAATATGGAGAGGTCAAGATTAGTGTACGACGATGGAAGTGTTTGCTATTTGCAACGACAGAGGTGGTCAGAAGAAGAAAAGTCACCAGGTTCTGCGACGACGTAGATGCGTCTGACTTCGACTGTATCACGTCTGTGTCAGGTTTCTTCTTTTCACACCACTACACTGGAAACTTCCGGCCGCATTCCCCAGTCAAGAAAGCCCATGAAACAGAACCGATTCTCACGCAGTGTGGAGAACAGATCTCGCCAGTACGAGAGCTTGTTTGGAGCTATGTAGTCGGGGTACAAATCGAAGAAACATTTTCATGCATTGTTGCTTCGATTGTCAAAGTAAAGCTATGTATTAGACTTTCCGTCCTGTGTTTTCGGCTTTGATCACATCATTTGCTTGCGCACCATTCATTCACTTTCCAGCAATCAACTACCCTGACCACCATGTCACATAAGTTTGCTCGACGGACATATGGCCGCTCGAGAGCTGTGCCGATCAATGTTCCTTCAGCAACCACGGACCGCAAAAATCGTACACTGTCGGAACCTGCCGCCACGCAGGCAGTCCCTTTGCCACCACCCCCAACACTGCCACCACCGTCCCGATCATCAAGCTGGACTTCGACCTCGGTCTCAACATCCTCGTCAAGCTCGAGTTCGACAACCTCTCTACCCCACCGAGCATCGGTCCCAGCATCAAGCCTCTCTTCCTCCCAAGCAACCTCGGGGCTCCTCCCTTCGACCATTTCACGACCACCTCCTGGCCGCTACAGCCTTCGGTCTGAAAGTGGACCCGCATCCTCGGCCGAGACCTCTCTGTCTACCTCGGATTCAGTAATAGACTTATACAGCGGCTACGGCGGCTTCTTCTGCTGTAGCTTCGAGGTCACAGGCGACGAGTTTGCATATTTTACCCAGGCGCGCAAGCGCGGTCTGCCGCTGCCCCGGGGACAAACTTATGAGGATCGTGTGGAGGAGCTTGTGCAGACTGCGAGGTTTCAACAGGTTGAGATGGACTTTGCGGAGGGGAAGATTCAAGAGGAAGAGAGGAAGATGGAGAGCATGGCAGTGAGTACGAAGGGAGGAAGAGGCAGCGGTAGCGGTAGCGGTAGCGGTAGTGGCGGCAGAAGAGGCATTTCTGGCAAAGCGGGGAGGGTTAGTGGCCTCGCTCGCGATTCGGACGCTGCTGCTTCTGGTTCGGCTTCAAGTTCGCACTCTAGTGGAGCGCGACCTGGTCGGAGGTGAAGCAGATGCGTCGCTGGCTTCGATTCGCCAAGTGCGCCTCACCAGGTTCACTAAGAATGTGGGGCTGAAAGGTGGAAGGCATCCATTTTCTTAAATTTTGAGATGCGCACACGAAGAATCGATGCTGTTTTTCAGAACCACTTACATCTAAGTAATGAGACATGCGGCCCGGGTGTCTCGTAGCAAAGTTAGTGCACTGGATCAAGCATACTTTTCATAAGTATGACTCTTGACGCATTGTCCTACCAGACGGTCCCATAGAATAGTCACAATTGCTTGTGGCAGTTCCCCATTGTGATTCAGGGGAACGTTCGAAGGTAGGTTAGTGCTGAGTTATTTATCCTGACTCTCAACATGGAAAGTAATGGCATCCTTTTGATCTCCGCCTGATTTCTTCAATTTTCATTCCTGTCGCATGATTGTACAAGTTACCTCGTCCACCTAGGTGTGCGAAACCGCGCTCTACACGGGTACGGAGTGGTGCATCAAAAGTCTTCAATATAAGCTAAGTTTAGAGCGTCAATAGCACCCTGAATCTCAGCTGTAGTGGCGCATAGAAAACGTTATAAGGGGAGGAGCCCTAGAGCTACCCACACACGGGTTTTGGGCCAGGCTCAGGATAGTAAAACCCGGCCATTAACGGGCCGGGCTGCCCAAATCCAGGGCCTGGCCCAACCCAACCCGGCCTAAAACCTGACCCGCACTGGGTTGGCCCGGCCCATGTAGCAGCCTAGGTTAAGATAAGATACTACCGGGGGGCCTGAAGTATTGTTAGCTCAGCGCTAGTATTTTTGCTTGTAAACCGTCTCTGTACAGAGCCGCTATGCTCAAAGAAGCTAGTTGTAATTATTTGACCCGTCAGAATGGATGCACACAGAGCAAGCTTTAAATTGACGAATTATAGCACTATGCAGCTGTAATAAAAACTAGCTGCTCCTAGCTCCAGACTAACAATGCTTTAGGCCCCTCCCGTACATAGTAAGCTTCAGCGGCTTGTAGGGGGGCTCTCCGTATAGTACACCTACACTACTACCTAGACAGTCACGCTAATCACAGCTAGCTGTTACTGGTAAGCCTTGTTATTAGCGTAGTTTGACTACTTTTGGGGCACGACTCCGTACATTTATTTCAAATGGCAACAACACCACCAATTTTGAGTTTTATTATCATTGTTCATACGCCTATCGAACTCTTAGAGCTTATGACAGAGCCACAGCAGAAGGTGAGCAAGAAAGAGAGCAGTGGCGGTGCGACCTGAGCAAACGCGGAGCCGAAGTTGAGCCGGGTGACTAATCCTGAGTCAGGCAGCCAAAACGGCCAACCCAACTGGGTGCCAAGGTGCGGTCTAGATTCGGTGCAGGATACTAGTACCACTACCATAACATCTTCTCTGCCTCTCTCACTCATTCTTTCGTGATAGATGAAATCAGAGTCCCACAGCCGGTCCAACTCATGATGGAGCTTAAATGGCTCGACAAGGTTCGCTAGATCCGGGCTCTGCACCACAGTTCGAATGAGAACATAAAGCGAGTAAAGGTAAGCCATAGATCGTACTGCTTCAGTGCAGTTGATGCTTGGGTCGAGCACAGGCTGAACTGCGTCTCTAAGACAGCTGCACACCAGGATCATAGGTAGTAGGTCTTTACGGTCGGCTATGGTAACTTCAACAATAACTGCTCGTTTCAGCCCAGATGGAAGGGCGGCAAGATTGGGAGTATTTTGGTCGTGAGTAGAAATGGTGTTCTGCTTCTAGAAGTGTTGTTACCAAACGGTAAGTAGTTAAGGCGGAAGTTATCACAGTGAGAGCTATGACTTTATAGGGAGATAAACAACTGACTCTCTCGAGGTTCGCCCACGCGAATTCACCCAGCACCCTCTTTGATTTGCTTAAGCTCATCTGTTACTTTTCTTAGAGCGCCAAATAGGCCATCACCCGAATGGGAGTGGGCGAGCCTCTTCGCCATGCCGAGCTTCTCTCCAATATTCGATAGTTTCCTCACCACCCACTCCTTCTCCTTGGCGCTTTCAAGACAGAACATGCCCGTGCTCAGGGCGAATGATACGTGGCATGGTCCACGAAATGAGCACGTTAGCATATAATCGACACTTCTGCACACGTTCTGAGCTGCCTCAATATTCTCCCTTGCATATAATTGACGCGCAAAAGCATCCTCCTCAAAATATATGAGTACTGTATTTATGCGCATAAGGGCATTCCAGTAGGCGACGTAGTGGGAGGCGATGATGACATTAGGGTAAGCGTAGCTGATGGGAAAGATTGGATCCTGAGGTACGTTAGTATACTCTCTGACTGCTTGCCGTATATTCTCCAGAGCCAGGTCAAGGCGCATCATTGATGCCTTCATATTGGCGCGGTGTATTTTGGCACGAGTAACAATGTCATTCATTACGCTCTTTCGATTTCTTCCGGGCACGCGTGTGAGTTTCGCTATGTTCCTTGCATCACTCACTACCCCTGGCAGTCTTACAAGTTCCATAAAGAAGTCCTCACGAATAGCGAGGATTTCTCTTCCATGCCTGTCGGTAACTGCTTTTTGCGCTTCTTCTTGGATGTACCTACCGAGCTTCCGCCACTCCGGATTGTCCAAGAAACATGGCCTGCCATCCATAAAAGCCTGAATGACCAATGCCATCCGATACTCTATGAATACCGATTTGTTCAAGCCATGACGATGAGCTTTTGGTCCGCGCAGCTGCATCAGCGCACCCGCACCACCGGCATGCTTTGTCCATGAGTCGTATCCCGTTCTCGTATTGTTATTTGGTGAGAAAACCTCATAGAGGGAGAGCAGAACGGCTGCTGAAAGGGCTTCTGAGGACCAACCGCGACACGGGTCGCACAAGGCTCTACTGAGGAGGCGTAGGGATCGACCGTATAATTTACGGGATTCGAGTAGCAGATGCGGCGTGTTTTGTGAAAGTGATAGATAGACCAGGGACACAGCGCGCAAGGCAGTATCTAGAAGCGAGTCCTTTCCCTGTATCGAAGCAAGCTCTTCTAGCCAATGTGGCTTCCTACGGCAAAAGGCCGGAATATTCTGATTGGCCGGAAGCATGAAGGAGTTGAACATAGACACTATCTGCCTTTGCTGAAGGTCCGGGGCGTAGATGTTCCGAACGAGCATGCCATCATAGCTCTGCAGCTGAGGCCGCCTAGGAAGTGCTGTATCTTCGGTCCATCCGAGACGAAGTTCCTCGTCATGACCTTTTAGTTGGTTTCCTCCTGCGACCCGGGCCTGATCGTTTGGACTTTTGGGGGAATCGCACACAAGCGAAGGTTTCGAGATTAGCAAGGAAGAGGCACCATGGAGATGTTCAAGTTTTCTATCTCCCAAATCGGTAACGTGATCACATTTTTGATTTCCACAGCGCGTTTGTCGCGTGCGCCCGAACTGCTCGTGCAATTTTGCTGTTTCATCCTGAAATTGGACATTGGAAGGGTATCCGGGGCATAGACGATTGCCTTTCTGACAGCGCATGCAGATGGGACGAGCTAAATCACATCTTACACGACGTTCGACACAGGTTCTGCATCCCTTGCTTCGAGGTTGTCCAACCATGAATGCATTCAAAGCGCTCTTTTCGGATAGCGGTATCAGAACCGGAGAATTGCGCTTGACCTATGCGCTTAGGGGTATGACATCGGCATGGATGTTGATGAGGCCGTTGTCTAACATGTCGACATCATTTGCTGCGAGTCTTCAGAGGGAACATGAATCCTCTGCGAAACGCTGTTTGTGTCACTCGAGCGCTGTTGGCCCTGTCCATCCGCGGGATGATCAGGCTCAGCGACGGAGACTGGAACACCGGCCGGAAAACTCCGATCTGTAGCCACTTACTTATCCTTGGCAATTCTTCACATCGACGTCACTACTATATTCTATATTCAGCTCCTCAGCTCCCCAGCTCTACAAATGCCCATCCGCCTTAAGTCTCGGACATGGTTCATTGAACTCTTGCAGGTTAGGCTTCTTCAAAATTCACCAGGTGTCATGAGACATAGCGTAGGTATTAGACTTCCCCTTTGCATTTATATGCAGTAACTACAAGAGGTGTGACACTTCTGTCAATTTTCGTGTCATCAATCACTATCACAGGCCCAACATATTCCTCCATTCGTCTCTCCTTCTACTCATTGCATTGCACCATTTATAAGTCTATCGTGTTTACGTTCGGTTGAATAAAGGAGGCTCTTCTGGCCATCTCTTTCATTGAATTGTCTACCTGCCAAACCTTAGGCCAGCGAAAATGGGCTGTGGCACAAGCAAGTCACCACATGCCCCTCAACGTCAGAAACGAGAAGCGGCTCGCTCGTCACGACTTTTTTCTACGGCTGCGGAGCAAAGGGCAGCCGGCCGACCAACTCCTTCTACGGTTCAATCCCCAGCGGAGGTTCGATCGACTCGCCGGGCGCGTCTCGCCAGTCCTGAACTTGTTGAGCGGCAAGCATCATCAAACACACCACGAACTGCATCCCTTATTGTAGAGCACGGATCATCTTCCCGGTCAAGCCCTGCCGCAGTTCCATCTCCAGCGGAGGCTCGGACGACTGGCCGGTCGCGTCTCGCCGGTTCTGAACCTCCTGCGCAACGAGCATCATCTGAACCGCAACGAAGTGCTTCCCTTCTTGTACAGCAAGGGTCAAGTAACCTATTGCCTGTTCCCAATATTCACGCTATAGCAAAACGAGGATCATCCCCATTATCCTCCACTTCTTCTCCTACTGTGCCAGAAGCAGAGCTGGAGCCGCGAAATCTGTTCGCCACTTCGGAACGAAAAGGAACCGAAAAGCCTCAAGCTCCCGGCAGTGCTATGGCGCAAGAAGTAGACCTCCGCCCAAGACTTCCCTGAAAATACTTCTACAGATTTAGGAACCTGCCAGACGCCTGCTGCTTCTCCGTCCGATGCATGGTCTTAAGTCTCAACACGAAGACCACATCATAAAAAAAGGTGAGGGCGATTTAGATGAGAATATATGTGTAGAAGGGTTGTGGCATGTTTGTATCCATTTACCGCAACAAAAACTCCTGTATGAAATATACCGATTTTAGCATTGATGACATGAAGAGAATAGATAATATTGATTTCCCATGTGGTCACGTCCGATCCATGAGCTTTGAGACTGACACTGGTATCGAGTCACACTGGGACAGCTTGAGCCATCATATCGTTCAGGCGGGGCACCTGCTTGGATCCATTGACATGTGAAAATCCCGCCCTGCTTAACTTAGTGTTGAAGCGTGTCAGATTCGACGCGCCATAACTGCTGCCGGCGATGAAATTCCTCAACACCAAACGCGGATGCGGAAGCGTGACATGTGCCCTATCTATTCAATCTTGGTTAAATTACGTAGCCGCCAATCCTAAACCTCCGAGCCTTGATTAGCCGTTTCGGGCTGTGGTTCTCCTCGTCTCTGTTACACGAAGCTTGATCAAACGGCTATCGTGGTGTGAGAAAAAAAAAAGTATACCCCGTACTTAATGCGTTAGGCTGGCTTTCGAAACTGATTCTGTTCTACAAAATGTATTCTGCCTACCCGTGGGCTCAGCCACGTATATGAACGCGTTTGTGCTTCTGGATGTTGTGAGCTTGCTGTAAGACATAACCAATCCCATTCTGAACTGAACACCATTTTTCACGTCTCCTACTTGTGGGTTGATGATCACCGGCTATGGGCTGTGGCGACAGCAGGCCACTAGGGACTTCTGATACAAGCTCAGAACCGTCGGCGGCTTCTTCCTCTGCACAGGCTCAATACTTAGGGTCGGCTTCATCTCGTCCGAACATAGCCCAGACCCGCCCACGCCCTTCGCAAAGAATGGCTTCCCCTCCATCTGACCGACGATCGCGGGCCCCAGTCCCCCGCAGAAGAGGGTTCTCGATTCAGGAATCTGATGTGCCGATATCTGCGGCCACAATGCAACAGCTCCAACGTGCTGCATGTACTCCGATAACACAGTACGCTCCTCTTTACTCCTCTGAGCACCATGAACAGGATCGCCCACTCGCCTCACGACTGTTGAGTTCTTGTCGTCCTGAAGGGCATCGATCCCCCTCCCGGACGGGGCGATCTAGGACTCCGGAACCTCCTCTGCGAAGGCGATCCAGTGGTTCAAGTTCCTCCCAAGAGCACCAAGACGACGGCCGAACTTTCTCCCGCACCCTAGACAATCTTCGTGCTATGCATCTCAAAGCTCCCTCTACTTCGCAGAGAAGATTGGATGCAAGTGCACCCGCGCCTGAACCAATACCATCTTCTGCCAAGGAACAAGAACAAATGAGGCGTGAGTCTCCGCCTCCAGCTTCACCCAAACCTACCAGACCGCCTCCCGCACCCTCCGCTGGAGCGCGCTTCCGAAAATCGTTTGAGATCGAGCAGCTCGGAAGTCCCGCGACGAGGCTGCAGCAGCAATCACAAGCCAGTCCCTTTTCCACCTCTTCTGCATCGGACTCCACCGCCTCGGGATCTTCGCCCGCGTCTCGCGCCGGACGGGTCCTCTACGGATGCAGTAGCCGCGGCCACCGTTTAGGCCCTCGGTATCAATGCCCGGTCCGAGGCTGCGCCTGCAAGGTCGGGTGTCAGGATCCAGATTGTGAAGTCTGCGAGATCGTTAAATCCCTGGGAAAGGCTGTACCCAAGAGAAAGTAAGTAAGTCGACCAACCAATCCAGAACAAGTTGTTGCCTCCGGGTGATAGGAGGAGATGGGGAAAAGCATGAGATTCTGATCCATTTTTGTGTCGCTTTCTAGGCTTTTAGGCATGGTGGTCAAAGCTTCTGTTGCTGAATGTGTGGGCGTGGTGAAGAGAAGGGGGGCGGCATAGCCAAAAGCTTGCAAAGGGGAGAGACATGTGTATATTCGATCAAGCTTCTGTCTGAACATTCTGTCAATTAAATCAAATCACCAGTCAATCATACGTACTTGGCACCATCAAACAAAATTCGCCGCCATCTCAAACACGTCCACCACTTGAGTTCTAAAAGCCTGCTGTAACTTCAAATCCTCCTTGTTGTCATCCCTGACGTCAAATGAGCCCGTCAAACACTTGACCACCGCGTCCCGATATTTCCTCCCCACGCGGGACTCGAGCCTCTTCTGCGCATGCTTGATCAGCTGTGATTGGATCGCGTAGCCATCCCTCGCGTGCGCGAACATGTTCTTCTCGAGCTTGATCGCCGGTTCCCACAGCCCGATCTCCAACAGCACCACCCCCAACGCGTAGATGTCGTGGATCTTGGAGAACATCTTCTCCGGCTCGCCCTGTCGCTCCGGGTGCCGGTAGATGTTCTCTGCCGGGAGGAAGTTGGCGGGTCCGGCGCTGAAGAAGGATTCCGGTCGTGAGAAGTTGAAGCCCATTACCCAGGGCTCGGTGAATTCGACTTCGCTGTTGGCCGAGGGGAAGAAGAGGATGTTTTCGCTGCGGAAGGATTCGTGGACCTACGGAGCAGTTCAGCTGTTTGGGTTCAAATCAGTGGCGTTGCTTACCCATTTCACCATGTGTAGCTGCGCGATGCAGCGCGCGAGATTCAGTGCCAGCCGGAATTTGTCTCCCAGCTCTGGCTTGGATTCGGAGCTGGATAGTAGACGGAGCAGACTGGTGGGTTGTGCGTCCGGTGTAGATGGCATTTCGAACACGAATCCAATGGACTTTTGCATGGGCATGAATTTCCATCCCACGCATCGAGGAATGCGGAAGACCTGCTCTTTTGGCTGGTGAAGTAGTTTTGCGAGATCATCGACCTTCTTCCGGGTACGACCATCGAGAACGTTGGAAGGGCACCTCGCTTCGGTCTCGTAATGGTGGCCTTCGTGCACATAGGCGATTCCGTCCTTGGTCAAGGTCGCGAACTTGCCTTGGTTTGGCACCGGGGTGATGGGTTTCAGGTACTGGTTCCATGACGGATCGGTGAGCTCCAAACCCGATTGAACGTTCAAGGCATCCCATTGAGTCAGGCGCAGGGTTGCGTCGACATCGAAGCCCAGCTGTCGGGAGATCTCATCGCGTTGGAGGCGCTGCAGATGCTGCACATTGACACCCAGTTGCGATGCCAGACACCACAGTTTGATCTTTTCGTGGACGCGGTTGTTCTGGTCGCCGACTTCGTCCACGATTGCCTTGACTCTCTTCTTGTCCTGGAAGCTCCATCTGAAGAAATCGGGGATGCTGGGACTCTTGCTCCGCGGGGAAGGGACATGTGAGTTGGGTGTCAGGGTGCTGGCTAGCGAAAGGTTCGAGGTCTGGGAGGCAAGTCCGAAATTCTGCTCAGTGACACCATAACGTCGTTCGAGAAGGTCGCATCCTTCCTGTAGGATTCCCTTCAACGGTCCCAGGAGTAGTTGGATCTGCTTTTGGATGTCTGGTTCGAATTGCTCAAAGAGAGTTTTGTTGCCATAGATGGGGGTTTCTGAAAAGAGTAAGCCGCGCAAAAGCCTGGTGCGAATGTTTTCGTCCGCGATCTTGCGGGATAGCTTTCGAGTGTCATCGTCGAACGCCCTGGAGTCTTGGATCAATTCATAGGTCCTTTCACCGAGCTTGAGCAATTGATCCAAAGCGGCCAGGCTGAGGCCAGCAATAGAGACGGGGTCGATCGCCATGAGTGGCAGCAGGAAAGGGATACATCAACCACTCCGCCAAAAGGACAGCGCTTGTGGGTTTCGAACCACACACTTAATTGATGTACCCCTCACTGACTCGCCCAACCAACACAGGCGGCGTCCCGACGCCTTCGAACCCAATTGAGACTGAATATTGCTGAAGTGATACCGAATTCTGAACTGACTGAAACTGAAAATGCCGAAAATCTGATTTAGAGGGGGGTTCGAACTGCGGGCTGATGCCTTAAACCTGTGCCACAAGCGACTGTCCTTTTGGCGGGGTGGTTGATGTATCCCTTTTCTGCTGCCAGCGACCGATGGGCCGAGGTGTCGGGACCCCTAGAACGGGATCGGCCAAGCCGTGATACAGGGATGGCCACCTTTAAGCTTTCGGGAAATTAATGGGGGGCCTTGGACAACTTGTTGTCAATGATCAGAGAAGAGGAGTGCCAATGGAGATGTTCAAGATGCAGAGAGTATTCTTCAGCCCCGGGAGGAACTCTTTCTGGAAGAGCTGGAAAGCTTCCGGAAAGTCTCGAGGCAAGCGTCACTTCGGCCGGAAGACTGCCATTGGACCCAATCTGCAAGCCACAAGCCATCACCAAATCAGCCCTTCCGGCCCCATCAGGCGACCGAGCCTGATCTAGCCTTCTTGTGGCCTGATGCTGAGCGCATGCTGGACACGGTTGACATGGACTCTGCTGAGCCTCAGCAATCTATTGAACCACTGCTTGACAACTCTCATCCCAGCTCTGAGGGAGACGACGAACCCCATTAGCCAACCGGCCTAGGAAGCTTTTCGGTACTTAGCCTTAAGCACACGTCGTAGGACCAATCGCTGTCTTTAATCAGGACGAAGACTCTATGGGGGAAGCGGAGTGCACCATGCTGTTATGGCCGCTCTGACGGTGAGAGGATATTTCCCGCCCCGTGTCTTTCATAACTCAATGCCTATTCTGATCCAGATCCTCCGCCGAGGCTGACACTTCCTTCTGCTAGATCCAAAGCATCGCCGAAACCCTTGACTCGAACCTCTCATGGAACACCAAGCTGTCCAGAACACGAGTCTCCACTGTCGATGGCCTGGCTTGCACAGAAAGCTCCGATGCAGCTGTCCAAACCTTGGAGGGTGTTCTCCGTATGGTCAAGAGATTGAAGCTGAGGCAATGCCAATTCTCTGATATCGAAGAGCTGGAGCCCAAGGTAGGTGAAGGGGAGACCTTTGTCGTCGATCGCTGCAAACTCAACGGGAAAGTGGTCGCGGTCAAGCACATCAAACTAGGAGACTACAATGTCGACCAGCGCGCATTCCACTGGCGTCTTCAGTCTGTTGTCCGCGAGATTTCTATCATGCACCATCAACCACTTGCTCAACACCCTCACATCCTTCAATTGCTTGGATACGGGTGGAAACTAGAAGGAAGCAGTCTCTTACCTTATATCGTCGTCGAATATGGGATTGGAGGTGACTTACGTTCATACCTTCAGAGCCATCCGCAATCATCTCTTAAATCCAAAATCACTCACTGCGGCGACGTTGCCTGCGGGCTGATGGCTTTGCACCAATGCGGAATTGTTCACGGGGATCTGAAGCTCAACAATGTGATTATCTTCGAATCGTGGGATCGCCCTTCAGGAACGATTGCCAAACTATGTGACTTTGGACATTCAATCCTGCTGGCAGTTGAAAATCCCAGTCAATTACGATATGTGGGCACGACCTTGTGGGTATCACTAGTTCTAATGAAAATGGAGGTTGCTCACGTTCTTCCAGATACAACGCGCCAGAGGTGGCCAAGCAAAGGCACACTCCGATCGACTGGGAGAACCTACACAAGTGCGACATCTGGTCGTACGGCCTTCTTGTATGGGAGATACTAGCAAACGGGGAGATCTACTTCAAGCGAAAGTGGCGGCACGATCCCAATTTTGCTCGCACGACCAGGGAAGCACTTTCGGGGACCACGTTGGGTGATTCCAGGTGTCCGACGACAAGGGAAGAGGCCCAGGAAGAATCCATTCAACCGGAAGAAGAGGGCGTTATGGGCACCTTCGACTCGAAACATTTACGGAATCTTGCTACGCAGTTTGTCAATACAATGCAGCTCCCCATTTTTGAGAAGGGCTGTCTCGGACCCCTTTTCAAACTCACGTTGCAAGAAGACCCGGCCCTGCGTCTTTCAGACCTGAACCGACTACCAATTGTCTCGGTGTGGAACAAATCAGGTGCCAGCTCGCTTCAGCACAAGCTTGCTATGCACGTGGGCACCTCGGAATTCACTTTTGAGGTATAACACACACCTGGTCAAGCCGCGTCTCTACTGACAGCACTACAGATGTTCCAAGGGAGAGACATACCATGGGAACATCAGGTATCCATGCTCTCAGACTTCGAACGGGTTGCCAGTCTGCGCCAAGGTGGTGAGCAATCGACTGCTGCCGCCTTTCATGTCGCTTTATGTTACATTCTTGGATTCGGAACCAAAGTAGAATACTCCACCGCCACTCAATATCTCCGGAAAGCAGAAGAACAAGCACATCCGCTGGCCCAGCTATTTAGTCCCAAGCTCTTGAGCAGAATTTCCAATCTTCCCAACCCAGGACTTGTCGACTACACCAGCATTGTGCATAAGGGATTCCGTGCCAAGCGGTTCTTCAGCAGAAATACCAAAATCTCCTTGACCACGGGGCCCGCCAAATCAACAGACTGTGAACTAAGCGGGCTGGAGCTCGACACTGATGCTTCACAGCCCCGTAGTTTCGCTAACTTCCAGGATTTCCTCGCATGGCAGTTGGCCTTCATCCGGCTGAAGGGCGATTTGACGCAATGGCAAGTCACAATTGGAACTGGGCCCAAGATGAACTTCTTAGAGTGTGCCATCGCGTTCGCCGACACAGCATTACTGTCACACCTGTTGAGCAATACCGATTCTGACTGGGATAGAATTGGGGCCTGGGGAGAAACACCGCTGGTGCAAGCCACAAGACGCGGTAGCGCCAAGATGGTCTTAAGGCTGTTGAATGCCTCCCACGATCCGGCCAGATGTGATGAATCTGGTGCCTCTGTGTATCACTGGCTGTTTTCGCTCACCGCGGACAGCGAGGAAGCCAATGTGGATTCTGTTCTTACAACTCTTTTCCTTCACCCCCATGCTGCAGAGGCTATCGAGCGTGCGTGCACCACGCCATACGTGCTGCACGCTCAATGGCCGCTGCAACTACTTGGGACACCACTGGCGTTCGCTGTGAGTAGCGGAAGTCTGAAGACAGTAGAAGCTCTCCTCCAGCACGGTGTCGATCCCAGAGCACCTGTATACGCCGCTGCCGAGGATGGTGTCCGATCGAAGTGGACAGCGCTTCACCTTGCCACCAAATATCACTTTCCCCAGATTCTTACTGCGCTGGTGCAAAAAGCAGACGAGATTGTTAGATCTTCACACAACCCATTAAAAGAGCTTGGGATTTCCATGGCCAGGAATCCCTTCCGCAACCCGGAATGGAAAGGCAGAGAAATACCAGAGGCTCTCCTGGCCGAAGCTCTGCTGGAGTTTCCAGACTTACAGCTGCCTTGCGTGCTGGGACACATAACGACATTGGAGAGATATGGTATCCATGGTGGAGACTATAGACGAAGCATCGTTGACGTACTCGATATTCTCCCCTCGCGATGTCTAGAGTGGAGATGTTCAGATGGTCAGACAGCATTGATGCAGGCGATCGACAACAACGACTACGATCTGGCATCCGTCCTGCTCGATCACAGCCCGCACCTGGCTTCTGCAGCGTTTAGAGACCCCACCGAAAAAGGAGCACATACCTACCCTTTCCACTTTGCGTGTCAGATTGCCTCCCGGTGCGACAGCGAGGAAACGACCGACATCGCGAGTCGAATCTTGCAACTTCATCCCGAAGCCGTGCGCGACAAAGACAGCAGACTGAGGACCGCCCTTCACATGAGTGTGACGGGGTCATCAAGCAGGGTGACCAAATTTCTTCTCTTCCACGAAGCGCCCAAGGATGCTGAGGATATCGATGGCGCGTCCCCGTTGCACTATGCACGCTCTCTGGCCAACGTGGTAGCATTGCTTGATCACGGGGCTATGATCGACTATACCAATAAGAAAGGCCTTGCTGCGATCCATCTCGCGGCTTCGATTGGGGCGGACGACATTGTTGCTGAGCTCGTCAAACGAGGGGCAAAGCTCGACCTTTCCAACAATGATCTTGGAAGTCCACTTCATTGTGCGGTGATCAAGAAGAGCAAAGCGTGTGTGTACTCGCTAGTCCAAGGCAACGCTCCGATCAATGCTCGAGATCGCGACAACAACACCCCATTGATCTTAGCTACCCAAAGTGGGCGCAACGACATTGTACAGATTCTCCTGGAGCACGGTGCCGACGTCAGCCTGCAGAACAATTCGCGAGTGACGCCACTCCGGGCTGCCGTTCTTACCAAGTCTCCCGCACTGGTGGAGAAGCTGCTTAATCACAATGTCTACCATCTTGCCCAGGAAACATCGTCGCAAACCATCTTACATCTTGCCGCCGCGCAAGCAGATGCAGCCACAATCAGAGTTCTGTTGGATAAACTTCTTCACACTGGGGTGCTCAGCATCAATGCGGTCAACGGCACCTTGCAGACTCCACTGCATGTGGCAGCACTGGCTGCTCGTGTTGGTATTGCGCAGGTCCTGCTCGAGTACAAGCCCAAGATCGACACGTTGGACGTTGATGGTGCCACGCCTTTGTTGGCCGCATGTCGAAGCAGCAAGCAAAGGGTGATTGATGCCAATGGAAATCGGACGGAGTTTGTCGACTTGCTCGTTGAGAAGGGAGCTGACCTTCGCGTATATGACTACAAAGAGCAGGGTGCCTGGGTGCTTGCTCGGGAATATCAGGACTTTAACCTGATGGCGTATATCTTGGACAAACTCTCCCAAATGGATTGTCTGCATGATCATGTGACATACAAAGACCCAGTCGACCGCGAACTCATTGAGTGGGCGATCCAGCAGGACGAATGGGATTTTGTGACCACCTGTCTCGGCACCGGTGCTATCGGCTCTAAGTTTCTCCCGCAATCCATGGCCAAGGAAAGCAGGACCAACATTGACAGACTTTACGCGTATGCCAAGCGAGGAGATAAGGACATGGTGCAGTGGGTGTTGGAGGCGAGCAGAAACGGCTCGTTGTCCAACAGTACCGTGCATACTAGGATCAGGTACACCGGGATGAGAAATATGTACAGGTACACCGAGACGAGAAATCTGTACCTTGAATTCCATGAATCCCTGGCACCGTCTGGCTCGACCATTCTTTTCGTCCCTCCTTCGTCCGCGCCACACCTAGCCAAAGATCTGGAGTCACCCCGGGTGAGCAACTTCTTAGATGGAATGCTTCGCAAGAGGAGTTCGACGCCGAAGCCCTCGTTGGAAATTGGAGAATGCAGTTCTAATCCTAGCGATCTGCTCTTGACCCCGACAAGTACGATGGACTCCTCGTCTCATTCTCCCAGTCGTTTACGGACGCCGTCGTTTGGGTCTTCGCTTGAGAATTTGCTGCAACGAGTTACACCTGGCGAAGTAAATCGAAGTAGCTTGGATTTGGGGCGTTTCTGGCCCTGATTGGCGTTTTCGAGGGGACTTGATCATTCTATCCCATGGAGTTCTCGGCTGCAAAGCCGGTGCATAACAAATATGCTGAGCACTTGTGCCTATATGGCACTGCAAACACAGGGAGTACCAAACCACGAGACCACCTTTGGGTTATTAGTGGATGATGGAGGACGATGCAACGTGGTGATGCTGATGCTGATGCTGATGCTGATGCTGATGCTGTTGCTGTACTGCTTTGGAATCTTCGGGTAGTTGTTCTGCACATATCAGAGGTAGCCCACGCTATACATGACACACTTCGATCTCCCAATGTTGTTGCTGCTCGTACACATCTTAGGACATACAGAGTCAGTCCTCTTCGTGCTTACCAGTGAATATCGTATGCATATCGCATCTTCCCCTCCACTCCCATAGCCCTAGCCCTAGCCTTACCATTCCAGCCCACCTCTGCCCCTGCTTATCGAATGACAATGTCCATAGACGAGGTCCCAAGATGACTAATCCGCCAATTGAAGCTCTGGTTCTCCGTCTCTTTTGAGGTCGACCTGTACGTAGCCTTATCCACCACTCTGTCGTAAAATTCGATCTTTTTTGATTGGTCAGTGCCAGCCACTAGATTAGCCATATCAGGTTAGTTCCCGCAGCCTTAACCTTAAATTTCTGACCCCCAAAGTGGCAGCAGGATAGGAATGTACCAATTGATAGATACCAAATGACTCAAAAGCACCACCAAGAGGAGATATCAGGGCCAATTGATGCTATTGAAGCTGCTGCACTGGCTAAGAACTGCCCTTGACCCAAAAGAGCTCGAACTCAGAGACAGGCCGCGTAAAGCACTCCAGGAACTATCTACTAACACCCCTGATAATGCAAAAAAAGGACAAAAGGATATCCATCAGAGCCTATGATCTTGCAGTAAGTGTAAAATCTCAATCTGCCACAATTCACATTGCTGGGCTCATCAGTTACCCTCTCCATAACAGAGATAGCAAATTCTATTTATTTTGGTGTTGTCACATCCTAATTAGGTTTACTGCATATTATAATAAGGTTCTCTTGGCACCCGCTCCGTTGACCAATCAAAAAAAGATCGAATTTTACCACAGAGTGGTGTATACCGATGACCTGGATCAAATTGATCGTGGTACTTGGAAGAGATCGTCTCCGGACTCGACGATGGAGAGGCTTGCTTGCTCGTCGCAGAATTCATCATTCATGAGCGGAAATTCACGACGACTTTGTGTTGCACGCTCATAGTCGAGGAATTGAATACTTCTTGATGGACGTTGGCCTCCAAGTGAGATCTGAACCTGGTCTATGAAGGAGGCATTGTTGTTCAGATCTGGGTTTTATTTCTGAGCTGTTCGCCCGTCTTGACATATGACAGTGTACTCTTGTACTTTTGTATTCTCTTCAATCTTCCCAACAGAGGGCCGAGCTGGCATTTCTACCACTTTGCCAACAGCTCCCAAGATCGAACAAAAGAGAAGGTGACCGACCATATTGACGAAACATCCCAGCTCAACACTGGTGCGCTACAGTATCGCAGCAGTGAGCATCACCTCTCACCCCGACAACAACATGCCTCCCATCCCAGCTCAAACCCGCCTCGGCCCACCGTTCCGCTCCACCGACGCCCGAATAATCATGTATCAACAGACGCACCACTCCCCCTCTGAACAGCCCGTCTCTCTCCTTCCCCTGCTGACCGCCCAACCCGAGCAGCCACCCGCAATCACGCACCTCATCCTCGCGGCCATCCACCTCAACGACTCCTCCCCCGAATCAACCACAGCATCCCCGTTCCTAACCCTAAACGACCACCCGCCAACCCATCCCCGCTTCACCCAACTCTGGGACGAAGTGCTCCTCCTCCAGGACTCCGGCGTCAAAGTAATGTGCATGCTCGGCGGTGCTGCCCAGGGCAGTTTCACACGCCTGGACTACAGCGCCGAAGAACTAGCGCTTTTACCTCCATCGTTATCACCAGAAGACGAAGCAGAAGCAAGCTTGAATCCGGATTCCAATCCCAACCACAGCGACGACAGCCGGGGCCCGAGTCGAAGCCGAGGCCGAGGCCAGCATGGCGGCACCCTGCCCGCCCCCTCCAACTTCGAGCGCTTCTACACCCCTCTCCGCGACTTCCTGCGCTCGCGCAACCTCGACGGCATCGACCTCGACGTCGAAGAACCCACCTCCCTGCCGGGCATCATGCACCTGATCGACCGTCTGCGTCGCGATTTCGGCCCCTCTCCCTCTCCCTCCCCTCCAACCCCAGCCCCGTCCCCCAACCCAAGCTCCAA